GGACATTGAGGCAGAACCAGATTGAATGGAGTCAGAAAATGGAAATAGAACGAAGACAGCTGTATGAGCTGCTACAACAACAACAACCATGGCCGGCGCTTGAGTTCTGGTGGCCACTGGCCAACCGAAGGTGCACATTTTCAGCTGATCTCTTTGGCAAGTAAACACGATTATTTTGTTTGTTTACAAACTGCTGGACAACGAATGTTTTCTCATCGGAGAAAACCAAATTCGTCAGTTCACCACTTTCGGCCAGGCCAAGCCAAGCCATTCTTTAGCTCTTTTGAGTCTATTTTCTTTCGGTGGTGGTGTAAGTTCTGGCACTTTTTGGGATTTTCAATGGCTTTACCCCGAGCTCATTTTTCAATATTTGCCGAATGAAATATTGCGCTATGTTCAGCTCACGAGCCATTTTTCGGCCTCTGCGGCGTGGGTTTCAATCAAGTCGCTTCTTTACTTTTCGAACCATTTCTGCTGATGTTGCTGTTTTCTTCTGTCCACTTCCTTGACGTCGGGCTACGCTACCAGGATCACTGTAACACACATTTAAATGCTGGAATGCTCTAACGATAGCCACTTGTGGTTATCCAGCCAAATATAAAGAAATCACCCGATCACACTCCAATTCCACCACGCATAACTTTTTTGTCGGGAAAATTCTCAACAAAATGCTTTTGTACGCTAGTAAACAATAAAATAAGCTGTCACTGGAATAATTTTAGCAGCTGTCGGACGAGTGACTTTTGAAATGACAGCAGTCTGAAGTTGGTTGCAGTTTTTTCATCTCACCCTGTATATAGACCAATAAGTCAATCCCTCCTTAAGAACCGAACAATTTTGACGAACAAGCACATTTCTAAAAAAAAAATGCAAAAGAAAAAAGTATTTTCTATTTTCAAATACCGGTATTCCCTGTGTTTGTTTTTTTTTCACTTTTCTCTTCTTATTTCTTTAGTGCAATATAGTTTAATTTTAATTATTTTTTTTATTAATGAAAAAGAAAAAAGAAATTTGAAATAAGAAAATAAATAATTCACATTTTGTGGGTACTTCAATTTACACCCCGCAACTCTATTGAAACATTTATTAGAACAATTAAAGAATCAAAAAAAAAAAAACAAAACAATATATATATGTGGTTGAATTTAATAAATAACGTAAAAAAATGATGACAAATGTTAAATCGAATGATATATAAAAACAAATGTATTGTTAAAAGTAATATATACAACAAAGGAATAAACAAAAAAAAAATCGTCTCAAATCGAATCGATTGTGAAATGTCCATTCAAGCCGACAAAAATAATGATATATTTTTCCATTTGATTCTTTCAATGTCATGTGTAATTTATTAAAAAAAAAAGAAAACCAATAAATCAATAAAAAAAACATAATATGTTTAAATGTAAATTATTTTGTTTGTTTTAAAAATTGTAGTTCCATAAATACCATGTCCAGCAGGAATTTCCATTGCCAGATGTGTAATGGGGAGCGCATGGTAAAATAACAAGGTAACCCTTTCCTTTTCATTTGTTATTTCAACATGTAAAAAAGCAGTAAGTTCGGCCGAACGGAACTTTGAATACCGTCCAACATTTTAAAATTTTCAAAAAAAAAAAAACTCGTTGAAAATTTTGTTAAAATCTTAAAAATACCGAATATAGGGAGGTAATGATATATGGGGGCTATACGAAGACCTGGACCTGCATAGACAATTTTCTGTCACAGGCTGTCGTACATATTTGGAACGTCAAATACGAAATTTCAAACAATTTCGGTCAATATTGTACCTAAAATCATTAAAATACCGAATATCCGGAGGCACCGTTATATGGAGACTATACGAAGACCTGTCGCTAAAATCATCAAAATACCGAATATAGGGAGGTACCTTTATATCGTTTCTATACGAAGACCTAGACTTGCATAGACAATTTTCTATCACAGGCTGTCGTACCTATTAGGAACTTCAAATAAGAAATTTGAAACAATTTCGCTGAATATTGTACCTAACATCGTCAAAATACCGAATATAGGGAGATACTGCTATGTGGGTCCTATACGATGACCTGGACCTGCACAGACAATTTTCTGTCTTAGGCTGTAATATCCATTGCCAACTTCTAATACCAAATTTTAAACAATTCCGGTGAAATATGTCGCTAGAATCATCAAAATACCGAATATAGGGAGATACTGATATATGGGGCCTATACGAAGACGTTGACCTGCACAGACAATTTTCTGTCTTAGGCTGTAATATCCATTGCCAACTTCTAATACCAAATTTTAAACAATTCCGGTGAAATATGTCGCTAGAATCATCAAAATACCGAATATAGGGAGATACTGATATATGGGGCCTATACGAAGACGTTGACCTGCACAGACAATTTTCTGTCTTAGGCTGTAATATCCATTACCAACTTTTAATACCAAATTTGAAGAAATTCCGGTGAATAATGTCGCTAAAATCATCAAAATGCCGAATAAAGGGAGGTACTGCTATATGGGGCCTATACGAAGACCTGGACCTGCAGAGACAATTTTCTGTCATAGGCTGTAATATCCATTACGAACTTCAAATACGAAATTCCAAACAATTTCGGTGAATATTGTAACTAATATCATAAAAATGCCTAATATCGGGAGGTACGTTTATATGGAGGCTATACGAAGACGTTGACCTGCGCAGACAATTTTTTGTCTTAAGCTGTAATATCCATTACGAACTTCACATACCAAATTTGAAACAATTTCGGTGAATAATATAGCTAAAATCATCAAAATATCGAATATAGGGAGGTACAGCTATATGGGGCCTATACGATGACCTGGACCTGCAGAGACAATTTTCTGTCATAGGCTGTACGAACTTCACATAACAAATTTGAAACAATTTCGGTGAATAATATAGCTAAAATCATCAAAATATCGAATCTCGGGAGGTACTGATATATGGGGGCTATACGAAGGGGACACAGGCCTATTTGGAACGTCAAATACGAAGTTTCAAACAATTTCGGTCAATATTGTACTTAAAATCATTAAAATACCGAATATCGGGAGGCACCGTTATATGAAGGCTATACGAAGACGTGGATCTGCACAGAAAACTTTCTGTCATAGGCTGTAATAATCATGGCCAACTTCTAATACCAAATTTGAAACAATTCCGGCGAATAATGCCGCAAAATCATCAAAATACCAAATATAGGGAGGTACCGTTATATGGGGGACATATATCGTGGACCTACAAGGTAAGCTGAAAAAACTGCAACCAACTTCAGACTGCTGTCATTTCTAAGCCACTCGTCCGACAGCTGTTAAAATTGTTCCAGTGACAGCTCGTTATATTGTTTACAAGTGCACAAAAGCATTTTGGTGAGAATTTTCCAGAAAATTTTTTCGTGATGGAATTCAAGCGTGATCGGGTGATTTCTTTATATTTGGCTGGAAACCACAAGTGGCTATCGTTAGAGCACCCTAGCATTTTAATGGGAATAAATCGTTTGTGTCTCGTACCATCGCTTGTTACCGTTACCGTGATACTAGCGTAGCCCGACCTCAAGAAAGTGGACAGAAGAAAACAGCAACATCAGCAGTAATGGTTCGAAAAGTAAAGAAGCTGCTTGATCGAAACCCGCGTCGCAGTGGCCGAAAAATGGCTCGTGAGCTGAACATATCGCAATATTCCATTCGGAAAATATTGAAAAATTAGCTCGGGGTAAGGCCATTGAAATTCGAGAACTTACACCGCAACGGAAAGAAAACAAACAAAATGATCGTGTTTACTTGCCAAAGAGGTCAGCTGAAAATGTGCACCAGAACTCAAGCGCCGGCCATGGTCGCTCTCCGTTCGTATTAATCGACCGTGGCATTAGAATAAATGACGAAAATTGTCGCAAACATATTCTGGAGGGTGTATTAAAGCATTGGGCACGCAAACATTTTGGCCGCAGACCTTGGACATTCCAACAGCACCAACAGCCAGCGGTCATTCTTCAGTTAGCCAGAAGACTAAAATGGCCAAGGACGACACGCTGATACAACGTGGATGCAAACCTACTAACTTCTCTGCTCTTTATTCAGATTCTCGCTTATTCACTAATTGTTATTATTTTCCTTCCCTTCCCTTTATTCTATTCTCCTATCTTTTTAAATTAGATGAACACAATAGACCAATAGGTCTCCGAATGGAGTGGTTGTTTATACAACCGCGCATGCTTTAACCTAACCTAACCTAATGACAAAAGCAAAATCGACCTGTTTGACTCGTCTTTACTGACATCCTTGCTTGTCTTAAGTAGCTGGACCATCTAGCCCTTTTTCCAGATGTATGTGACTGGCGACAGGTTGAGAACTTTTGTCAGGTGCCCAACTCCCGGCGTATGCAGTTATTTTGACTTTACCATTGATGTGTTTTTGCAGGCCCAACACTTTGGATGATTGAAACTTTATCCATCGCTGGAAAATAATTATTACGACGTAGTGCCTTCGCTTTGCTGTACCACACTCGGGGTGTTCGTCCGTTACGTCGTTAAACGTGACTGTGATCCTATCGTGTTTTTCTAAGGGTTCGAGGACGATTTACCCAGTGTTCACAGTTTACTCAATGTTGCAACACTCGATTGTTAATCTCAACTGTCAATTTACTGATTTTGGGATCAGTAGTGCTGGTACGACGAAGCTAATCACGCTCAATCGCTAGTCCCGCTGTATCTACTGGGAAATTTTGTCTTATCTCGGGTAATCGACCGGCAGGTATATTGCGATCGGCTTCAGCTGTATTTATGATGTTTCCGGGAATTCTTTCCGTCTACCGAACATCTTTGAATTCCGATCGCAAAAAAATGGAATGAATAAATAAATTTTCCAAATGGACAATATGATTATTAAAGATGAAATGAAGCAAAATATTTATTATTAAAAAATTCTAATATCTATAAATCATTTGTGTTTATGTACATTAAAATAAAATTTAACAAAATTGAATGCAATTCTCTCTCTCGTTTTTGTTTTTTTTTTTTTGGCAATAACAAAACTGATAATGAATGAAAATAAACAAAAACTACATCTAAACTTAAACAATAATAATAATAAAAAAGATTTATATATAAAAACAGATAATTAATTCATTAATCTTATTTTTGTTTTGTATATATGTATATGCATATGTAATTTACGTATGTCTACGGTGTTAGCTTTATGACTATAGAAAAATTCAGGTATATTTTATACGAGTCTTGTTGCATACAGTTCTAAACTGTATCGTTTGTTGTTGCTGTTGTTGTTGTTTTTGTTGTATTTGTATTTAAATCCTTTTTATTTATTCTAATTTTATCGATCACATTTGTTTGTATGTCATTGACACAATTTGTAGAGATTTCATAATAGAGATTACGCTCCCGAGCACTCTGTAACAGACTGCGCCATGCCGGAACGACCTAAAATAGAAGGAATATCAATGAAATGAAATTAATAATTTTTATAAGACAGACTTATTCAATGTAAAAATAATATTCGCTTTTTAAAATATATATTGACTTCTAGCGTATTGTTTTTCAAAATCTTGAACCCTGTATGGGGGAGGTACCAAAATAAATGGTCCGATCTGTACCATCCTTATAACATATCTTGTATTGATGAAAATATTGAGATGTGTCAAGTCTTAATGGAATCGGATGTTAATTTTGCGTTTCATGAGCTTCATGGATATTCAACATTGTCACCCTTTTGTGGGGGAGGTACCAGAAGGAGTGGACCGATATATCCCATCTTCACAGCAGATCTTAGTGAAAATAATGGGATGTGTGAAATATGAAGTGAGCCGAATGCTTATTTCGGATTTTAAAATCGTTTCACCGATATTCAAAATTTTGAGCCTTTGTGGGGGAGGTATTTGAAGAAATGATCCGATCTCTACCATCTTTATAAAAGATCTTGTATTGATGGAAATATAGAGACGTGTCAAGTCTTAATGAAATCGGATGTTAATTTTGCGTTTCATGAGCTTCATGGATATTCAAAATTTTGATTCTTTGGGGGTGGGGGTGGTGCCAGAAGAAATGATCCGATCTCTGCCATCTTTATTACAGATCATGTGTTGATGGAAATAATGCGAAGTACCAAGTCTAAATGAAATCGGATGAAATCGGATGACCTTCATGGATATTCATAATTTCGACCTTTTGTGGGGGAGGTACCAGAAGAAGTGGACCGATATATTCCAACTTAACACCAGATCTTGGGTTTATCAAATATTGGGATGTGTGTAACTTGAAGACAATCGGACTCCTACATCACATTTTATAAGAGTTGTAATTTTTCAAAAATTTGACCCTTTGTGGGGGAGGCACTTAATGTAGTGGACCGATATTGTTCATTTTCGCACCTGACCTAGCATTGATGCAAATTCTGGGAGTTGGAGAAAAATAAGATTACCCTTTTCCTTTCTGTGCAGCGAAATATTTTTATGAAAAGATTGATCTTTTGTGGGGGAGGTACCAGCAGGAGTGGACCGATATTGCCCATCTCCGAATTCGATCTAATAATATTACTATGTACCAAAATCGTATACCCACTTCGAGAGTTATCGTGCGCACCAGAAGACAAACGGACGGACATCGCTAGATCGACTCCAAATGTCCTGGAACGAATTTGGTCCAAAGGGACCTAGGGCCCCTCTCCAGCCATATGACTAAGGGTATAACAATGAAAAGAAAGATTTGTTGGACTTTCTGACAAATTTCAGGCATTGGAGACTTCAGCGGTCCCCGTACCAAGTTCGTCCCCGTACCATAGAAACGTCAAGATAGATTTGAAGTGGCTGAGAGAAGACGATCATGGTCATGACATTGTGACCTGTAGAAAATTTGCGACACAATCATCAACAAATGAAAGGTACACTTGGATGAAGGCAGTCCATTTGTGCCTTAAATGTCTGAAGTAGGGGAAAGAGAAGCAATGCTTCAGCGATAGTAAGTACCAGAAATGTGGATTGTATCACAATGACATATGCTAAAGCAATTGGAGAAAACAAACAACAGGAATGCAATGACGACCAATGCCAAATGTCCTTTTGGCAACTGCACAAGTTCGAGTCAAATCCCTACATGGAGAATCGAGGTTGTGTTCCTTTCATGTCTTTTTTACAGGATACGAATATGTTGTATCGTTTTTACGATGTTTTTATATGTCCTCCCCATTTAAGGGACCAGATAAGTTGTTTTTAAAGGGAGATGGAGTTCATTTCCCGCAAGCTAACCGGGATTTTTAACGCTTGCTTGGAGGTCAGTGGAAAACCCCATACATGAGGTTGTACACTACATTGACAGTACCTTTGATTTGATTTTCCAATCCTTAGATACATTCAATGTGAACCAATTCCTTCGGAAATGGATAAGGCACATGACAAGAAAGTATAAACTATGGGCTACAGAAGCACTGCCTTGGGAAATTTAATGAGAACTGCCTGATTGGAAGGGGATGTAATATCTCCAAGAAAATATGGCCAGTGATCTCGAAGCGGAGATCAATGTCACTCATCTTCTTGGCGAAATCTGACCTAAAGCTAATAGTGGGTCTAATTACGGGTCACTGTAACATAACGACCATGACTTCAAAGTGGCGACGACACCGAATATTACAGGCATTGTCTGGAGAGGAGAAACCGAGACGGTGGAGCACTTACTCTGCCACTGTCTAACTCTCTTTGGAGCCAAGACAGAGGCTACTGGGTAAGCAAATTCTGCCTCGGTAACTGAACCAGTAGTTATGCTTCAGTTAGCCAGAAGATTAAAATGGCTAGAGACTAACTTCTAATTCCCTCATTCTTCTCCGTTTTTTTCTTACTTCGAACTTACCTCTAAATTTTTAAAATTTCCACATAAAATCAGACATTTTTTAGGACGTGTCAAGGCCACATTAAGTCTTTGCGGATTGGACAGGAAACCAATACCATTTGTGCGGGCATTCGATATAACAATGACATCTTTTTCCAGACCCTGATACGAATCGATGGTGTTCACCATAATGTTTGTTAAGCCAAGAGATCTGAGAAGAATAAAAAAAAAATAGAAGACGTGTGTGTGTGTGTGTGTTGGTTTATCACTTCACCACCATACCTAATGGAATGTTCCAATGTTGTCCGATGATGGGCATATGGTGTTATTACACCATAGCTATTGTATTTGTTTGGTATAAAACCATCTAGTGCCTTCAAGAGTTTGGCCACGAACTCCGCCTCCAAATTGTTGGTAATTTTTCCATTCGAACACGATGCATTTTGGGTATAGGCCAAATTTAGAACGGAAAACGGCATTAGTGGAGTTTTATATTCCATTGTGATGCGACCATTGATTAATTCATTGCGATAGAAATATTGATTGGGCCATCTACATATTTCCGGATTCATGCGATACTGGGTCTGAAGGCCACATATAATGTGATCTTTGGTTATGAGACCACTCGTGCTGCTAGCGCTGGCCGTGCTTGGTAAATTGTCCAAACAGTTTTGTATGCGCGTAAACATCGAGGTACCCAAACCCAATTCATTGGCTTTCTAAAAAAAAAAACAAGACAATTTTAACAAATTTTTTTATGATTTTCCAGGGCAAAATAAAAACACCATCATACCTTTGACAATATTGTGGCGGGCAATTGTTGGGTATCACCTACCAATACCAGGGAATTTATACCAAATCTCAGGGGTAATAATGTCCAGGGTTCAGTACATTGTGTGGCTTCATCTATGATGCAAATATCAAAATAGTTTACATATCTGAAAGGAATATGCATATGTTGTGCCCTTAATTTTATTTTTTCTCACAGCCAAGAGACAATCAGACAGACAAACTTACTGGGCAAGCTTAACGCAACTGGACAGAGTGGCACACACAATATTGGCATTGTTTAAAAACCATGTGGCAATACTTCGCTCATCTTCAGGCCTCGTAAATTGTGTCGATATATTTCGCATGAGTTGTAGTTTCCGCTGTTTCTCCAATAGCATATCTTCTTCGACAGTACCTTTTATGTTGCGTTTCGACATCTCAGCAATTTGGGCTTCCAATTGCAAGATCTGCAAGCACAAGGGTTGTATTGAGGTTAATAGATATTCTAGGTAAGGAGACATGTTGGGATCAAACTTTTCAGTAGCTGTATTGCAATTTGTACTAAAAAATGTTCTAAGTACTAAAGAGTTGTAGGTACTAATCAGTACTAAATACTTGTGGGAAGTTTTATTAGTGTCATGTGGCTTGATATATTAGCGAAATTCAATTTGTCAATTTTTGTACCCTCAGCCATATGTCTAGAGAGGGTATACAGGATGAGATAAAAAAAACTGCAACCAATTTCGGACTGCTGTCATTTCTAAGCCACTCGTCCGACAGCTGTTAAAATTATTCCAGTGACTGATCATTATATTGTTTACAAGCGTACAATGAGAAGGTAAGAATTTGGTGAGAATTTTCCCGACAAAAAAGTTATTCGTGCTGGGATTTAAGCGTGATCGGATGATTTCTTTATATTTGGCTGGAAAACCACAAGTGACTATCGTTAGAGTACTCCAGCATTTAAATGTGAATAAATCTTTTGTGACTCGTACCATCGCTCGTTACCGTAATACTGATACTGGTAGCGTAGCCCGACGTCAAGGAAGTGGACGGAAGAAAACAGCAACATCAGTAGAAATGGTTCGAAAAGTAATGAAGCGATCGTCGCAGTGGCCGAAAAATGGATTGTGAGCTGAACATATCGCAATATTCCATTCGGCAAATATTGAAAAATGAGCTCGGGGTGGTAAAGCCATTGAAATTGCAAAAAGTGCAGGAACTTACACCGCCGCAACAGAAAGAAAATAGACTCAAAAGAGCTAAAGAGTTGCTTCGCTTGGCCTGGTCGAAAGTGGTGAACTGTCGAATTTGGTTTTCTCGGTCTCCGATGAGAAAACATTCGTTGTCCAGTAGTTTGTAAACAAACAAAATGATCGTGGATCGTGTTTACTTGCCAAAGAGGTCAGATGAAAATGTGCACCTTCGGTTGGCCACCAGAACTCAAGCGTCGGCCATGGTGATGGCGTGGGCCGCCATAACAGCTGATGGTCGCTCTCCGCTCCTATTAGTCGTGGCAAACCGTGGCATCAGAATAAGTGCCCAATATCATCGCGAAAATATTCTGGAGGGCATGGCCGCAGACCTTGGACATTACAACAGGTCTCAGCACCATCGCACTCAGCACGCGCCACCCAAGAATGGTTACAGAATGAAGTTCCTCGCTTTATTTCCAGCGCACAATGGCCACCAAAATCTCCGGTTACCAATCCGTTGGACTATAGTATCTGGAGTATTTTGAAAAGCAAGGTTGCCACTAAAAAATACCAAAGTGTCGATCACCTCAAGCAAGCGCTTCGCCGGGAATGGGCCAAAATACCGCAGAGCAACATCGGGGCAGCGTGTGACGGTTTCATTGGCAGTTTGAATGCCATAATTCGTGACACAGGTGACTAATTCGAACAAATCTAAACTTATTCTAAAAATAGGTGCTATTTCCGATTTTTTTTTTTGCTTTCATTCAAAAAAAAAAATGTAAAAATTGTGGCGTTTGACTTTGTTGCAGTTTTTTTATCTCACCCTGTTTAGCGAGCTGTTGCAGTTTTGATGATGTCGTAGAAAATCATTTCTCTCTGCTACCCAAACATCAGAAAGGGTTGGGCAGTTCTCTGAAGCGAAGATTGTGTGAACTCTCAAAAATCTGTCCGGTGGGCAGTGCGGCGTTCAGAGGTTATGAAATCTGCTTATGGAGACAATTATCGGGAGATGGTCTGAGTCAAGGAAAATGAAGGGTTGCCAACTCAGGTCATTTATAAGACCGATAGTTAAGTCTGACGATCTGTAATACTATCCTCTAAGTCGAGTGGGATAAGAAAGTGTACAGAATGTGGAGTAATCAATCTCCTATGCCAATCCCGATGATCCGCTCTTGTCATTATTGAGTGCGGAAAACCACTACTCATGGTGAGCATTAAAGTCACCAGACGTTTATTGTCTTCTAAAAGCGGGTGAATTGTCTAGCCATGGGGATACAATTCATGTATGGGTCAGTAGAGATCAGCTCAAGTGTGATACACTTATATTGAACAGAAAGGCTAATCCCCCGTCTTCACTTATTGTGCGATCCTTCCTTAAACCATACCAGCAACGTTGTATGCTAGATTACACATGATGTTAGAGTCATATGTAAGTTGACTTTTTATACCCTCCACCATACCTAGTATGGAGGGTATATTAAGTTCGTCATTCCGTTGGAAGCTCATCAAAATAATAATTTTAAACATCAGCGTAAACGACGTTTAATCCTGTCCGTCTGTTGTAATCACGCTAGAGTCAAAACAAATTAGGATAGGAAGCTACAATTTGGCACAGATTAGTCTTTTGTGTGGAGGCAGGTCAAGTTGAAAAATGGGCTATATCGTATAGCCCCCATATAATGGTACCCACCGATATTCGGTATTTCGATTATTTCTGCCACATTTTTCAATGGAATTGTCTGAAAATCCACACAAGGGGTTCCTTCTGAGTACTTTGCCCCTCCTGGAAGAGAATTGTCTTTATAGGTCCACGATATAGTATATACCCCATACAGCGGTACCTCCCGATATTCTTAATTTGGGCTATTTTGGGGACATTATTCTGCGGAGTTGTTTCAAATTTCGTATTTAGAATTCGTAATGGGAACAACTGTCTATGGCAGAAAATTTTCTATGCAGGTCCAGGTCTTCGTATGGTCTCCATATATCAGTACCTCCCTATATTCGGTATTTTGACGATTTTAGGTACACTATGCACCGAAATTGTTTGAAATTCGGTATTTGAAGTTCCTAATAGGTACTACAGCCTGTGACAGAAAATTGTCTATGCAGGTCCAGGTCTTCGTATGGTCTCCATATATCATTACCTCCCTATATTCGGTATTTTGACGATTTTAGGTACACAATGCACCGAAATTGTTTGAAATTTGGTATTTGAAGTTCCTAATAGATACTACAGCCTGTGACAGAAAATTGCCTATGCAGGTCCAGGTCTTCGTATGGTCTCCATATATCAGTACCTCCCTATATTCGGTATTTTGACGATTTTAGGTACACAATGCACCGAAATTGTTTGAAATTTGGTATTTGAAGTTCCTAATAGGTACTACAGCCTGTGACAGAAAATTGTCTATGCAGGTCCAGGTCTTCGTATAGCCTCCAATACAGCGACTATATTTGGTATTTTTAAGATTTTAATAGAATTCTTAACGGATTTATTTTTTTGTGGAGTGTATTCAAAGTTCGGCCCGGCCGAACTTACTGCTTTTTTATTTGTCATTTTTTTTTTCTCCACTTACTTGATTCTTCAAATTCTCCTTATTCTCCAATGGAATTTCCGGATTTGTTGACTTTAGTTTTTTCATTTGTTCATGTTCGATGATGGCTTGCAATGTTACCGGATAAACGAAACGATTTATCTTATCCTGCAAGCCGTAGCGTATCAAACGAAAACGAATTTCCGGCCTCATTCGCATACTAATGTCATATAACTTTCCAGCAATTACATCGACGGCAGCATTACTCTGGGCACAGATCAAAATTTTCTTATCCATACAGCGAACTTCATCGCCGTATAGCGTTTGCAGCGCCAAGTTTGTTATGACACAAGATTTCCCCGTACCGGGTGGTCCCTGTAGCAACGACACATTTGGCGTTGTCTCATCAATGATGCGAACATAGGTGTTTAGCAAGACTTGGCGTTGTTTATCGTTTAGGGGATCGAAACCGCGATAGATGACTTTCTTTTTGGGCGGATGTCGACATTGCAGCATTTCCATGGGATCGAGTATTTTCTTGAACAGTGGAGTTGCCTGCAATTGATAGACGGCATTGAAGGCACCAAATTCAACGCGAACATTATCAATGACCGGTCGTATGGTAAGTTCATGTATGCCACAAAAGAAATCTTTGGTAATATTTTTGGGTACAATTTCAAAGACCATTGTACTGCAGGAACCTACAGGTGGTAGAAGAGCACAAAAAATATGATATATTTTTTTATGATTATGGATGAATTGAACGCCCTTACCAGCCCCTTTACGTGTCGATGTTAAATAGCCGAACATATTTGCATTCATTTTATTCGATTCCAATATCACCAAATCATATTTACTGCTATCCAATTGTTGGCGATTTTGATAGTTAACTGGAAATGGAAATGGAAATAATGTGTCATTCATTGCCAGGCATAAACCTCTAAAAGCATATTTACATTTGGTTACCAGCATCAAACGATTTGCATTGGTCGTCACATACTCCAGTGCCACTTTGTATTTTTTCACTTTCGACGTGAGATTGTATTCCCGTTCCAATAGACTAACAAATTCCAGTTTCATGAGGGGGAAGACAATGCTGAAATGCCGTAGAAACAGAGATTAGAAGATTACAAACCTCAAGCCCCCCTCCACCATACAACTTACCTTTTGTAATGATCAAAGGAACTGAATTGTGTTGGCATTGGATAGACAATATCACTGGCTGCATCAACAGCGGCATTTCGTTTTACCAGCCATTCATCGCTCCATGTTAATATTTGTGTAATAATTTGATCGGTATTATCGATAATGGGATAGGTACGTCTGATCAGCTGGCGTCGATCCTTGTGGGTGCTGAGCGGTAAGATGTCTTTGGCGGCAACTTTACGCGCCCCACTAATCCGTTCAATGTAATGTATTACTGGGACATCATTAAATCGCACAGTTTTCCTCTTCTTTGCGGGATTTTTTTTGGGCGAGAGTATGGAGATGAGTAGAGTTCCATCCTGTTTACTACAACGTTGCGTTGAAATGGAATTAAGTTTATTCTTGTTCTTCTCCGATTCGATTAGGTTTTTCTCCATGGATGCAAATGTTATTTTATTGGTTGTTCTAAGGGCTCGAGCTGCCAAGGCTTCTTTACACACGGCTGCAGGGGTATCTGAGGGATGCAACGGATTATGGGTCACAGAGGTTGTTGATAATCGTCTATTTGGTATGGTAGTTGTTTCCTTGTCCTTATCGAAACTGGAATTGTGGTTTATGCAAGAGGTGGCCGTTGTCGAGAGTCGCCGACTTGGTATCCCTGGCTTAGTTTCAGGTTTCTTTAGCAATAAATTATCAGGTTTTGCAATCTCCTGCGAGAATGTTGTCAGGCCACAGTCCATGCTTGTTGAACGTTTTATGGGGTCTTTTTTGGCAGGTGTTTCGTTTGTGCTGTTCGAACGTGGCTTAAGTGGCTCCTTGTTCTTTGAGATTTCGCAATGATTTGCCGGAACTTTGGGTATTTTAAATGTAGCCGAGGATTTCTTTACAACATCATTTTTACGCCACGTCGTCGCCTCCACATCATTTTGTGCCAAAAATGCACCCCGATTATGTTCAGTAACCTTAACCTTGGCCTTTTTCGCTTTGCTATCTGCATGATCACTGCTGGTGCTGGCGGTGCTTTTACGTTTTAAATTATCCTTGGCCGGACTTGGATGTTTTTCGGCCAATTGTTTGAGCCTGTCCTTTCGACATTCCTTTATCATTTCCATACGTTGTTTGTCACGTTTCTTACCCACACTGGGTTTCTCCGTCCATTTCTTTTTCAGAATTTTATTAATTTCTTCATGTCGAATTTGTTCACGTAGGGAATTGAGTTTTTTCGAAAGGGCAGGTATTTTTTGATGTTTTAAAATAGTTGGTGACTTTTCGGCCGAGACTCCCCTGAGTTTTCCTTTATGTTTTGGCAACGAGGGTGCAGATATTATGGCTGGTGGTGGTCTTACAACTGGTTTTCCTTTCGTCTGTTGCACTTCATTTGCACTTCCACCAAATTGGGCTGGAAATTCCGCCACTTTGTTTATTACTTCGGCCATTTTTACGCCCTCAAATTCATCTTCAGACGAAGATGACGACGAAGATGCCACTGCTTTGCATTTGCTAATGATTTTCCTTCTTGGTCGTATGAGTGGAGAATCATTGTCAATGGGACTTTGAAATCTATTTCTATCAACATCAGGACTTTTTTCTCTGTTTGTGGATGTTGTTTGCTCTAATCTTGTAAGACTGACAGAACATTCTTTCATTTTTATGCCACCCAAGGCCGTTTGGTCTGTGGAAAATATTTCATTACCGCTACTATATAGATCTGCAATATGAGCCAGCTCTTCCTCCTCCTCCTCTTCAACATTGTCCAGATCAGTTCCATGACTTGGATCTTGTTCGTGGCCGATTTCCTCAGCATCCTCATCACTTAAATTATCATCCAAATCATAGACTTGCGATTGATTATTGTAATTGAAACTTTGTGAAAATATTTTGTTGGACCAGCCGGAGACTTTCGTTTCTAGTTCCTTGTCATAATCTTCATCGTCACTTATGACCCAACATGAATTATCCAATTCGTTTAAAAGTGAGGCACTTCTTTCCAGATCTGGTTCTTCCTTGATTTTGATGGGAAGTTTCAGGTCATTATCATGAGGATGATCTGCAGATGGCACTTCCTCCTCAATGTCTTTGTCAAAATCATCCTGCAACTCGGCCTTCATATCGTTTATCAACACTTGTGAAAACATAAACTCTTCAATGTCTTCATCATCTGAATGGGGTTCGTACGAAGTGTAATCCTCCAAGTCAACATTATCATTGGCCACGGTCGCGGAGCTGTCCTTGCTCTTTTGGGCATTTAGGTGATTCTTAAGTACTGCCAAGGCCTTCTGCGTTGAATTATCCTCCTCGAGGGAATCATTCAGGGATGTATTGAAAATATTTGGACTTTTTGATATGGGAGGATTTGGCAGTTTGGCAGGTTTAGTGTCCTCCATGAAATTCTCTTCACGTGTGGCTGATGTGGAAGTCAATATTCCCAGCTCTTCCTCATCGCCAGCTGTGTCATCATCACTCAACAGTGTTATACACTCCCCATTGACAATGGGATTATCCGTATGGGTTGCTGGTATCAGAGGTTGACCACTGAGATCATTATAAACCATTGGGTTTATTTCCTTTAGAGTATTTTTCTGTTCGTCATCCAGTTCGCCAAAAATGTCCTTGACATCAGCAGAAACTGAGTGTATGAGTTCTTGTTTAATACTTGGTATTATTGGTATATGAATCTTAGTCGGATCATTGTCATTCTCTTGTGCGTTTGCGGCGGGTCCGGCTGTGATAGCAGAGGGATTTCCATTATTTTTATTTTGACTTCTATTTTCTTGAATTCCGCTTTCTTTTTTAGCAGCATTTTTTTCCACTTCATCCTCATTTCTAAATGATTTAACATTGTTATCATATGGAGGTAATGATTTCGATGGCACATCCTCTGTCTTGTTGTCATTAATGCCTTGTTTGGGAAGATTATCTTTAGATTCGAGACTATTTGTCATTTGTCTAGAGTTGGGCGAAGCAGTTGGATTTGCTGCAGATTTGCCACCAGATCCCTTGGTCTCAAATCCTTCTTCATCGTCGCTTATTATTAAAATAGCTTCCTCAACAACAGGTTTGCTGGCCGATACATGCGTGCTTGTCGATGCCCTCTCCTGATTGCTTTTATTCGGCACCGCAGATTGAGCTGAATTTGAGGTTGACGCTCCTTTTGCCCTAGTTATTGGCATATATTTTAACTCATATATGGGTAGTGTTAGCTCATCTTCTTCTGAGCATTGTATGGAAACGCCAATACCAATGGTATCACCTTTATTGAGGGTTATCGTTGAGCTCTTATGCAGGGTGTTGTTAACGAATATTCCATTGACAGAATTCTAATAAAAAAAAGAGAAATTGTATTAGTATTCAATGCAAAAATAACCAAACCTATATTTTGCCAGCTGAGATCAGATGGTATTAGCACAACTTTCAATTTTGGGTAAGCATACAGGGTGAGATAAAAAAAAACTGTAACAAAGTCAAACGCCATAATTTTAACGTTTTTTTTTTTTTAATTTTATTGAATGAAAGCACAAATGTCGGAAATAGCATCAAATTTTAGAATAAGTTCAGATTTGTACGAATTGGTACGAATTGTGGCCTTCAAACGGCCAATGAAACCGTCACACGATGCCCGAGTGTTGCTCTGCGGTATTTTGGCCCATTCCCGGCAAAGCGCTTGCTTGATCCACGATCCATTTTCAGTCACTGCGACTTTTCTTTATTTTTCGAACCATTTCTGCTGATGTTGCTGTTGCTGTTTTCTTCTGTCCACTTCCTTGACGTCGGACTACGCTACGCTACCAGTATCACAGTAACGAGCGATGGTACGAGTCACAAAAGATTTATTCACATTTAAATGCTGGAGTGCTCTAACGATAGCCACTTGTGGTTTACCAGCCAAATATAAAGAATTCCATCGCGAATAACTTTTTTTTCTGGAAAATTCTCACCAAATAGCTTTTGTACGCTTGTAAACAAAATAATGAGCTATCACTGGAATAATTTTAATAGCTGTCGGACGAGTAGCTTCGAAATCACAGCAGTCTGAAGTTAGTTGCAGTTTTTTTTATCTCACCCTGTAGGCCTATCTCTGTACTTCCACCTTTTTCTAAAATTCTTGAGAATGCAATGAAGACACAAATTCTTAAATATTGTCAACGTTACTCAATTTTCAGTCCGTAAAAACCACAACACTACTTCGGTTAATTCATTCCTATCTAGTTGAACGTAAGCCGTATGTATCTTACAATGGTTTTAATTCATGTATCGGTAATGTGACTTCTGGTGTAGCACAAGGAACGATTTTGGGCCCCATTTTATTTTTTTTTTTTATATAAATGATATTTCTTCCACATTGGAAAGTTTGATATGTAATTCAAAAACGTATGCAGATGACATTTTTGTTGTTGTTGTTCCAATCTTATTCTTGTGTAGAATCCGTGAATAATCATCTTTCATTTATTTCAAACTTATTGTTATCTAACAAATTGACCTTCAAAGACTAAAGCTTTATATTTTCATCCACGTAACCAAATTGCATCTCTTAACAGTATTCCAATCAATGGTTGCCTTATTGAATTTGTACATTCCATGAAGTGTCTTGGCTTAATTCTTGATTCTCACCTTAGTTTTACTGACCATATTAATGATATTAATAGATGGAAAAGTGTGCCTTACTTTGAGAAGACTTGATAGTCTTAAAGCTTTTACACCCTTAAATGTCAGAATACACTTGGCTAACCCTTTATTAATGGTCCATTATAAATTATGGCATTGAAGTTTTTTCAAGCTTTCAAGAGTTCGCGTTTAATAAATTCTGCACGTAACACACAAATTGATGTTCCATTAGTACGAACTTCTTTGAACACTCCTTCCTAGTTCGTGTTTACCGAGACTGGAACTGTTTTCCACGTTTGTTGAAAAAATTTGGCTATTCTTACTCCACATATAAGAAGTTATTGAAATCGCATTTTAATGTTGAATAGGATGCATAAAATTAATTTTTGTTGTTGTGGGATCCCTAAACTTATTTTAATTTTACAATATTCATATGGCTGGGGGCGGGGTATTCTCATTCTATCATAGTTTAGCACTATTTAAGTTAATCTTTCAATACATGTATAATTGACCTTCAATTGATTTCTTTGTATTGAGTGTAAATATATGAAATGATTCAACATTTTCCAAGAAAACGATACAGTTCACGATGTATGATTTAATTAGTAATTTTTCATGGCTATGCTTTGTCTTCAAATTATTCTGATACTTTGTATTCAAACGCGATAGTGAGATTTTTTCCATTCACATTGCTTTTGCCTTTTCTGCTGTTTCCTCTACAAAGGGAGATGAAAAAACTGCTGTCATTTCCGACAGCTTTTAAAATTATTCCAGTGACAACTCATTACATATTTTACAAGCGTACAAAAAGCATTTTGATGAGAATTTTCCGGAAAAAAAAGTTATTCGTGATGGAATTCAAGCGTGATAGTGTGATTTCTTTATATTTGACTGAAAAACCACAAGTGGCTATCGTTAGGGCACTCCAGCATTTAAATGTGAATAAATCTTTTGTGTCTCGTACCATCGCTCGTTACCGACTACATGATACTGGTAGCGTAGCCAGACGTCAAGGAAATGGGCGGAAGAAAACAGCAACATCAGCAGAAATGGTTCGAAAAATAAAGAAGCGACTTCATCGAAACCCGCCTCGCAGTGGCCGAAAAATGGCTGGTGAGCTGAACATATCGCAATATTCCATTCGGCAAATATTGAAAAATGAGCTCAGGGTAGAACCATGGAATTTCCAAAAAGTGCAAGAAAGAGGTCAGCTGAAAATGTGTACCTTCGGTTGGCCACCAGAACTCAAGCGCCGGCCATGGTGATGGTGTGGGCCGCCATAACAGCCGATGGTCGCTCACCGCTGGTATTAATCGACCGTGGCATCAGAATAAATGCCGAATATTATCGCGAAAATATACTAGATGGTGTATTAAAGCCTTGGGCACGCAAACATTTTGGCCGCAGATCTTGGACATTCCAACACGCGCCACCCTAGATACCGCAGATCAACATTCGGGCAGAGTGTGACGGTTTTTTAGCCGTTTGAAGGCCATAATTCGTGCAAAAGGTGACCAATTCGAACAAATCTAAACTTATTCTAATATTTAATGATATTTCCGACATTTTTTTGCTTTCATTCAATAAAATTTAAAAAAAAAACTATGTAAAAATTATGGCGTTTCAATTTGCTGCAGTTTTTTATCTCACCCTGTAAGTCGTTTTTTGGACAAGTCTAAAAAACTGCACTATTGGCATATTTTTATACCCTCCACCTTGGAAAGGAGGGTATATGAACTTTGTCATTCAGTTTGTAGCATCCCTAAATATTCGTTGTAGACCCCATAAGGTATATATATATTAGTATTTGTGGGTCCTAATGGGTCGTAGCTCCGGTGGCGAAACATTGTATGTATGATCCCCAAATAGCGGTACCTCCCGATATTCGGTATTTTGATGAATTTTGCCACATTTTCCAACGAATATGTCTAAAAATTGGTATTGGTGGGTCCTAATGTTTCCTTTACCCTAAGTTGGAGGGTATTAAAATGTTATTAATGTTTTTTACTTGGTTTTTATTTCACCATCCTAAACGATTGAAAAAATCAATTAATTAATTGTGTCACACACACAGAACATACCAAATCCTTGATTGTAACCGACTGATCATCTTGGGACACCTCGACCTCAGCATGGTGTCGGGAAACATAGTGCGAATCCAATATTCGAATGAGTGAAGATGAGTGCCGTCCCACACTGTTTAGGCCTAGTCTCAGGCGATGGCACTCTCCAATCGTGCTACGTTCCAAAACCCATGATGAATATCTAGGAGCTGTCATATTTGATTGAACGGCTGCTAATACACAGCAATGACGTATTTGATTTATAAGACTTCCATAAAAATAACCTGGATATTCTAAATATTGATTCAAATCGGTCAAATTTTGTTTGTTTTGTTTTTTTACGGGATAGTATTGCAGACAACGAAGTTGAATTACTTTTTCAGTGCCGGCGACGCATCATATGGTTGGTAGCCCAAACGGCGTTGTATAAGGTCTGTTCGATGTATTTATTTTATTTCATTATCCGTCTGATATAGAAACATCGTACAGACAGTTAACATCACTAAAGAGAAACTTCTGAGAGATATTGCTCTCTCACGCACTAACTTAACAAAAATATCCGGAAAGACTTTAGACAAAATCTAGTCAGATAAAAAATTGTCCCGAAATTAATGACCATTATGCTAGGAACACAATTGGAGCGAACGACGAATTTCGCCCTACGCGGCGACAAAATGAGCCGCGAAAATTCGTCGTATGGAACACAATACCGACGAAATTATAAAACAGCTGATGAAGTTGTTTACTTTTTGCTCATTTGTTGACTACAATGAATTATACAAGAACACATAATTCTTTACGTTCTCTATTATAATTTCACTTATGTCCATCTTCTCTATTATAAATTCACTGATATCCATCTTCACTCAGGCGCAAGTACACAAATAAATAAACAAATTAATTATGTTTTTTTATACGAGTAACAGATAGTAGAGTGACCATAACAAATTTTAAAGTAAAAAGTAACTTTATTTACTAAAACACATACAATTCGTACAAGTATGGCCACCTTGTACTGTTTTGTTCGCCGGTCGCCGGCGTATGAAATAGAAATAAAGCTAATTGAGTTCGCGGCGACCGACGAAATTTTCGCCGGTGCCGTGATTGTGTGCACTTCCATATACACATATGTGTTTTATTTTTGACGACGAACATACGCCGCGAAAAAATTCGTCGTTCGCTCCAATTGTGTTCCTAGCATAAAACACTACAAATACTTTTTTGGACAAATCAAGTTACATTAAAAATACAGGGTGAGATAAAAAAAACTGCAACAAAGCAAAAAATCAAATTTTAGAATAAGTTTAGATTTGTTCGAATTGGTCACATTTGGCACGAATAATGGCCTTCAAACGGCCAATGAAACCGTCACACGCTGCCCGAATGTTGCTCTGCGGTATTGTGGCCCATACCCGGCGAAGAGCGTGCTTGAAGTGATCAACACTTTGGTATTTTTTAGTGCCTTGCTTTCAAAAATACTCCAGACACAATAGTCCAACGAATTGGTATCCGAAGATTTTGGTGGCCGTTGTGCGTTGAAAATGAAGCGAGGAACCTCATTTTGGAACCATTCTTGGGTGGCGCGTGATGAGTGCGATGGTGCTGAGTCCTGTTGGAATGTCCAAGGTCTGCGGCCACAATTTTTGTGTGCCCAAGGCTTTAATATACCCTCCAGTATATTTTCGCGATAATATTTGGATTTTTATTCTGATGCCACAGTCGATTAATACGAGCGTAGAGCAACCATCGGCTGTTATGGCGGCCTACACCATCACCATGGTCGGCGCTTGAATTCTGGTGGCCACTGGTCAACCGAAAGTGCACATTTTCAGCTGACCTCTTTGGCAAGTAAACACGTTCCTCTATCCTATAGACGTTGCACTATAAAAAACCTATAGAAATCCACTTAGTTTTGAAAAAACATAAAAAAATTGACATATTAATGTTCCCAAACTTTCATGCATCTACCTGTATTGTTCCACCATGATATAGCCCATGAAACATATTTTCCCGACAATAATATGCAAAGTCTCAGCCGCTCACTGGCAAAATTACTATCTCCACTCGAACACTTTTGCTTGACTCTTGACAAGATTCAGTAACAATTTGCACCAACTTAAACTATATAAATTACTAAGTGATCGAACACACCTATTGTCAAACGCAAATCTTTGTTTACAAATTTTCGCGCCTTCAGTTGTTTTCATTTTTTCATTTGGTTTTGTAAACAATTTTGCAATTAAGAATGAAATATGACCCCCGCGATTGGTAAAAAGTAGCCAGTCCAATCATGTCCAGAAATAAAAATATAAGAACACGAGAAAATACTGCCATACCAAATGAAGAACAACAAAGAAAACGACAAAAATTCGAGCGGACTATAATTGAACCCAGCGAATCTGTGCTATGGCCAGAAACAGATGATAGCTTTTTTTCAGATGTTAAATTGGATACAATTTTAAATACGCACCGGCAACAAGGCGCCAACAAACCAGCCGATTTGAAAAATAATGATAGTTTTTTCAATAATGACAATAGTTTATTTAGTGATATTGTGTTGCCGCATGAATCCGAAGGTGTACACAGCAATGTGGGAGGTACACCAATCAATCCCATACTGCCCACATCGGATACAGGCATTTTGGGTGATGATACACTCTTTTCTGAAATTGATGTTGATCAGATAGTGGCAGGGGAAAATTACAAAGCAGATGATAACTCCGAGAGGCAAGTGCAGCCCGGCAACTCCAAAACTATGAAGGAAGCGGATATATTCGAAAATGATGATTTCCCCCTTGAAGAGCTATTAATGCAAGGGACCCAAAAATTCTTGGCAGATGTAGCTTTTAAAGTGCCCAAACCTCCGGACGGTGGTGGCAACAACAATTGTAAGACACAAACAAATGTTGATTGTTACATGGCAGGTACCCAGTATGAAACTAGGCAAGAAATACAAAATCGCACCTTAAATCCAGAGCAACAGGGACACAGGCTCAACACGGAACTTAGGCATATTAATCGGGACGCGGAGGATGAGAACTTTGGCGAACAACCCTTGGAAGATTTTCCATGTATGGGGGATTTTTATGGTCTTCCGGATAGAGTGAAACGCATGATTTTTGAAACCAAGGGAATTAAAACATTGTATGGTGAGTTAAGAAAATACACAAAAGAACTTTAGGATAATCTGCTTTTCTATCTATGTTTCAGAATGGCAGGATGAATGCCTTAACTTATCGGCAATAAGGCAACGTAAAAATCTTATTTATGCCTTGCCCACCAGTGGTGGTAAAACCTTAGTTGCCGAAATTTTAATGTTGCGCGAGGTTATATGCCGAGAAAAGAATGTCCTGTTTATATTGCCCTATGTGTCCATAGTGCAGGAAAAAGTAAGTTCCACATATGATACAAGTCATATAATTGCAATTTTATTTTGGACTTTGCCACATATAGGTTAGTGCAATGTCGCCCTTTGCCATTGCCTTGGATTTTATTGTGGATGAATATACGGCCGGCAAGGGCAAATGTCCTCCGGTGCCAAGGAAAAAACGTAAAAGCATTTATATAGCCTCCATAGAAAAGGGTGCCGTATTGTTTGACAGTCTCATTGAAGCGGAAAGGGCCAATGAAATTGGTTTAGTTGTTGTCGATGAATTGCATTTGATTGGCGAACGGGGCCGGGGTGCCTACTTAGAAGCTCTGCTCACCAAAGTTATGTATTTAAACGGTTGGTATCTAACGTATTGGTGGGAGTTCAAAAGAAAAGTAACTCAAAAACATTTAAAATTTTAGCAAAAATACAAATTGTTGGCATGAGCGCCACCATTGGAAATCTCTCGGAAATATCAACATTCCTAAATGCTGATGTTTACACGCGCGGCTTTCGTCCAGTCGAATTAAAGGAATACATTAAATGTGGTCGTGATATTTTACAAATAAATTTACAAGGACAAACTTTAGAGGAAATTTTCGTATTTAGTCGTAGTGTTAATTTTAATGTAAGCGTAACATAGCCGAACATATAATAATTCTCCATTCCATTTTTAAAATAATCTATTTTTGACAGTATAGCGAAGCTGTTTTACGTTCGGATCCCGATCATTTGGCTGGTTTGGTAACGGAATGTGCTCCGAAAAACGGCTGTCTGATATTTTGTTCATCGCGGAAAAATTGTGAAAATGTAGCCACGCTTCTAAGTCGGGTGTTGCCAAAGTAAGTAAGGACATGTATTTGAAATATAGGATACTTAGGATTGGTAAGAATGTTGCACTGCTCCAGAACTTGCTGGAATCTACAAATAAGGTATTTTATTCCATATCATAGAGAAACCAGTTGAAAAGTATCAGTCGGTTTTGCCCACAGATGTATACGCTCAGCAAATGTCCAATTATTATACCCTTAGCCATATGGCTACAGAGGGATACGGCCAAAAATGCCTCATCGAAATAACAGTTTTAGACCCTAGGTCTCTTTGGACCAAATTCGTTTGAGGACATTTGGAGTCGATCTAGCGATGCCCGTCCGTCTAGCTGGTGCCCACGATAACTCTAGAAGGGGGCATCCGATATGTTCCAAACTTGGTACATCGTAATATTATTGCCAAACTTAAATCGAGTTCGGAGATGAGCAATATCGGTCCACTTCTTCTGGTACGTCCCCAACCCAGGAAAAGGTCGAAATTTTCAAAGAAAATATTTTAGTGCACAGAAGGAGAAACTATAGATCGATTTTGCTCCAACTTTGCAAATCCTTATATTTGCGTTACTTCTAGGTCAGGTGCGAAAATGGACACTATCAGTCCACAGAGGGTCAAAATTTTGAATAATTACAATTCTTATAAAACGTGTTGTAAGAGTCCGATTGTCTTCAAATTTTACACATCTCAATAATTTAATTAACTCCAGGTCTGGTGTTAAGATGGACAAAATCGGTCCACTTCTTTGGAATGTCCAAGGTCCTCGGCCAAAATGTTTGCGTACCCAAGGCTTTAATACACCATCCAGAATATTTTCGCGATAATATTCGGCATTTATTCTGTTGCCACGGTCGATTAATACGAGCGGAGAGCGACCATCGGCGGTTATGGCGGCCCACACCATCACCATGGCCGGCGCTTGAGTTCTGGTGGCCAACCGAAGGTGCACATTTTCAGCTGACCTCTTTGGCAAGTAAACACGATCATTTTATTTATTTACAAACTGCTGGACAACGAATGTTTTCTCATTGGAGATGGAGAAAACCAAATTCGTCAGTTTACCACTTTCGGCCAAGCGAAGCAACTCTTTAGCTCTTTTGTGTCTATTTTCTTTCTGTAGCGGTGTAAGTTCTTGCACTTTTTGGAATTTCAATGGCTTTACCCCGAGCTCATTTCTCAATATTTGCCGAATGGAATATTGCGATATGTTCAGCTCACGGGCCATTTTTTGGCCATTGCGACGCAGTTGCTTCTTTACTTTTCGTATCATTTCTGCTGATGTTGCTGTTTTCTTCCGTCCACTTCCTTGACGTCGGGCTACACTACCAGTATCACGGTAACGAGCAATGGTACGAGACACAAAAGATTTATTCGCATTTAAATACTGGAGTGCTCCAACGATAGCCACTTGTGGTTTTCCAGCCAAATATAAAGAAATCACCCGATCACGAATAACTTTTTTGTCGGGAAAATTCTCACCAAAATGCTTTTGTAGGCTTGTAAACAATATAATGAGCTGTCACTGGAATAATTTTAACAGCTGTCGGACGAGTGGATTAGAGTGGCGGCAGTCTAAAGTTGGTTGCAGTTTTTTCATCTCACCCTGTATATTAAATTTCACATATCTTACAGAGCCACTAAAAACTCTATTAAAAAAAATAATAATAATACTAAATACTTTCAGGTCGAAATTTCTGGAATATCGTAAAAGTGAAAAAGCCGATCTAATGGATGCTCTCGATAAAGTGTGCGGCATACTGAGTCCTGTTTTGGCGCGTACCATACCCTACGGCGTGGCCTATCATCATTCGGGCCTGACAACCGATGAACGAAAATTTATTGAGACAGCGTATCGTTTTGGAGTTTTAAGTGTTATCTGTTGCACGTCCACACTTGCAGCTGGGGTCAATTTACCCGCCAAACGGGTAATAATACGGGCCCCATATGTTGGCAGCGAATTCATGACGCTGTGCAAATACAAACAAATGATTGGAAGGGCTGGTCGGGCCGGTATGGGCGAGGCAGGTGAAAGTATCCTAATAACCTCCAGCCGTGATAATGTACGAGTGGGTGAGATGCTCTTCTCACCAATGGACAAGGCCATTAGCTCATTGGATTATGATGGGAAAATTGGTTTGCAGGTAGCATTTCATTTCAATTTCCAAATATTGTGTTTTGACACCTGCATTTACAGTCTCTTATTCTAAGTGCAATTGGCATGGGAATGGCCTCATGTCGCGCCGACTTACATCGTTTAGTAAAGGGCACTTTGTTGGCGGTGCAGGCCACCCAACTGGGTGTCTCAGTTACATCCATGGTCAAGGAAATACTCTGTGAAATGTTTAAAAATAAAGTTCTGCAATTGGCCAACAATAGTAGCGATGCCAAAAAGGATGTCTCCGATATAATGATAACACAGGATTTGATCAACAAATCGAACAGTCATCAGTTACCGGAACGTACCATTAAACTACACAACAACACCCGTTTCCAGTTGACCACAATTGGTAGGGCTGCCTTTAAGGCTGGCATTGATTACAAACGTGCCTATGCCATACACAATGAACTGGCCACCGCCCAAAAACAATTGATATTAACAAACTATGCCCACATCCTGTATTTGGTGGTTTCCTTTAATTCCAATGCCAATGGTGATGAACTGTTTCCGGCCGATCCCACAATACTTTTTCATTGCTATGAAAAATTGGAAGAGCCCACACAACGTCTGTTCAAACAGCTGGGCTTTACGGAGGCCCATGCCGCCAAAATGGCCAAGACCATGTCAATTCAAGGACCCATGGAATTGAAATTAAATCGTCTGTACAAAGTGCTAATCCTTCAGGATTTTCTCAATTTAATACCCATACCCAGTGTGGCTAACAAATATAATATCGAACGTGGCACATTGCAAAATCTCACGAGTCAGGCGACGGCAGCAGCCAGTGCCATTGTACGTCTGTGTGATCAAATGGAAGAATTTTGGTGTTTCAAAAATCTATTCGAAAGGGTGGGTAAGAAAATGGATAGATGTGGTACCGTGGAATTGGAGCCGCTGTTGGAGTTGCCTGCAGTGAAAATGGTAAAGGGGAATTCAAAAGAAAGACAAAAAATAAATTGAATTAATTTTTTTCCAGAATCGGGCCAAGCAATTGTACGCAGCTGGCTACAAAACAATTGAGGATATTGCCAAATGTCGCCCAATGCAGTTGGTGAAATCTGTGGAGCACATGCCATTGAGGATAGCTAAGGAAATTATATCAGCAGCCAAGGTATGTGAACATGTGTTCTTTTTCTCAACAACACCGTTGATGTAAAGGCCACTTCATTAATTTCGGTATTTTGAAATTCCCTTCCCTTCCCTTAGATAATACTAATGAAAAAGCTTGATCATTTGGAAGAAGAGACTGAAGCTATCAAAGTGTGTCTCAAGCCCGGCAATGATAATCTCAGTGAGGAAATACAGGTCTAGTTTGGCGTTGAATACAAATATTTGGGTTCCGACCAAACACACAAATTATTAAAAATATTATGCGTTCCTAGTTTGACAGAATTTTGTTGTTATTTCTTTAAGTATTTTTCCTGATAATTAAATACAATTAACATTCCTTAGATCATTTTTGCTTAAATAAAAATTTGCAATTTGAATGAAATCGGCCTTGGGTCTTCAAATTGTTCTCATGAAATAGAATAAAACAAATCTAATTTAAATAACGCTTTAGATAACAAATAAAATAGTTAGTGAGTCAGTTTTGCTGACAGATGTATACCCCCAGCCTTGAGTTATGATTATTCAAATTGTTGACCCTTTATAAGGGAGATTCCGAAGCAGTTGGCCAATATTAACCACTTCGTATCTGACCTAAGACTGATGAAAACATTACAACTCATAAGCTGAACATATCGCAATATTCCATTCGGCAAATATTAAAAATTGAGCTCGGGGTAAAGCCATTGATATTCCAAAAAATGCAAGAACTTACACCGCAACAGAAGGAAAAAAGTCTCAAAAGAGCTAAAGAGTTGCTTTGCTTGGCCGAAAGTGGTGAACTGCCGAATTTGGTTTTCTCCGTCTCCGATGAGAAAACATTCGTTGTCCAGCAGTTTGTAAACAAACAAAATGATCGAATGTTTACTTGCCAAGGAGGTCAGCTGAAAATGTGCACCTTCGGATGACCGGACACCAGAAGTCAAGCGCCGGCCATGGTAATGGTGTGGGCCGTCTTAACAGCCGATGATCAATCGACCGTGGCATCAGAATAAATGCCGAATATTATGGCGAAATTATACTGGAGGGTATATTAAAGCCTTGGGCACGCAAAAATTTTAGCCACAGATCTTGGACATTCCAACAGGGCTCGGCACCATCGCACTCGGCACTCGTCACCCAAGAATGGTTACAAAATGAGGTTTCTCTTGAGATTTAACAGCGCCCAATGGCCACCAAAATCTCCGTAAACCAATCCGTTGCACTATTGTGTCTGGGGTATTTTGGAAAGCTAAGTTGGCAGTAAAAAACCCCAAAGTTTCCATCACCTAAAGCAAGCGCTTCGCCGGAAATGGGCAAAATTACGGCAAACAACATTCGGGCAGCGTGTGACGGTTTCATTGAAAGGCCATAATTCGTGCCAAAGTTGACCAATTCGAACAAATCTAAACTTATTCTAAAATTTGATGTTATTTCCGAATCTTTTTGCTTTCATTCAATAACATTTAAAGAAAAATGTAAAAATTACGGCGTTTGACTTTGTTGCAGTTTTTTATCTCACCCTGTATGTTAGAGCCATATCCAAATCTGAACCGTATGTGAAATTTGAAGAGAGTTGGATGTTTATTCCGCATTCTTTGAGCGTTTTGTTTTTCAAAAATCTTGAGGTACCAGAAGAAATGATGCTGCATGGCTATTTAAAATGTTGACCCTTTTGTGGGGGAGGTACCAGATGGAGTAGACCAATATATCCATCTTCACACCAGATGTGTATAATTTGAAGAGAATCGGATACTTATTTCGGATTTTATGATCGTTTTGGTTATTCAAAACTTTCACACTTTGTGTAGGAGGTACCAGAAGGAATGTTCCGATCTCTATAATCTTTATAACAGATCTTGTGTTGATGAAAATATTGAAACTTTCCAGTCTTAATGGATTCTGATGTTAATTTCGTTGCGAGCTTCATGAATGTTCAAAATGTTGACCCTTTGTGGGGGAGGTACTGGATGGAGTGGACTGATATTGTCCATTTTCTCACCTGACCTTGCACTGATGCAAATATTACGATTCGCAAAGTTGGAACAAAATCGGAGTATTCTTTCTATTTCTGTGCAGTAAATTATTTTCTTTGAAAACGTTGACATTTTGCATGGGAGGTACCAGAAGGAGTGTACCGATATTGCCCATTTCCGAACTCGATCTAAATTTGACAATAATATTACGATGTATCATGTTCGGATCAAATCGGATACTCTCTTCGGGAGTTATCGTGCGCACCAGCCAGCCAGACAGACAGGCGGACGGACATCCCTGGATCAACACCAAATGTCCTGAAGCGGACTTGGTCCAAAGAGACCTAGGGTCTAAAATCGTTATTTCGATGAGGCACGTTTTGGACGTATCAATTGATATATACCCTCTCTAGCCATATGGCTGAGGATGTAAAAATAAGAAACATTTGACCGCTAAATATTGCCCGATGGCCAGCCCTACATTTTGAGACCCATGCTAAATTCCGCGTCGTTTGGTCTATTATTGCGACCTGGATAGCAACTGCATTTTAACACCTAAATATTATGCTATCATCTCCAAAAATAATAGGCTTCTATTCTGTCCCTAACCACACCTCCATGTTATATTTCGTGGGGATCGGGCCATACTTGCGACCTGTAGATTGATTACAAATTAACATTGAAGGAAGTACATACCAAAATCGACACAGCTCGACGAGATAGGAAGATTCATATACATTTTCCTATGTCGTGGACCCATATTTCGAGATGTTACATAATTTTTGGCCCAATCAAACTTACCCCTACCCCGAACACATAGTGTTGTAGGGTATAAAAAATGGTTAAAATTGTTCTCCAAAACCTTCAATACTAATTGCTTTAAGATAATTTTATCATATTATCACAAATTTCTTAATTTTTTGAGATTTAATTAAAGCAAACCAAACGATACCAATCACTTTCAGGTCTTCGCCATTTGCATTTTACATTTTTTTCTCTTCTCAAATACTTCGGCTAGTTGGGTCAACAGATTGATTGCCTTGAAATCTTCCTCGAATATGGCAAAATCTTCTAGTGGTTCCATAAAGGCTAGAGCTTCTTCATAGCTTTCGATTGTGGTCCTGGTAGAGTGTTTTCGGCTGTCTATTCCATCTGCTTCTGTTGACGAACTTGTTGATTGAATACCACCATCAGTCGTCAATTCCTCCTCAAGCAATTCCTCTTTGATTTTATCTGTTTCTATTGTTTGTTTTGTGGATGGGATTTGTCCCTTAAGCATACTTTCCAAAATGCTTATATCCGGCTTTATATCCTTCTCTGGCGAATCCGCCGTTGCTATTTCTTCGTCTTGATCTTCTTGGTAGTCGCCAAAATTTATGGTGGGACCCTCTTCGTCCTCATTGATCATGTCCTCATCATAGTCTGGTCGTTCCCCATCATTGCTCGCACTATCAAATATTGGATGCCGCAGCTGTTGTTCACCCTCTCCTCCCAAGTCCATCAAATGACTGCTGCCGCCATCTGGCAGCATTTGATTCTTTGTACTATCCGGCTGAGAGGACAAGGCATGATCCACTTCCTTGGCACAATAGGTTATGATATCCTTACAGTTGAGAGACTTTTGTGGCTTCCTTGAAACAATTATTTGGCTCATGTGATCCAGGTCAATATTGAAGACAGACTTGAAATCTCGTATCCAGGCTCGGTTGGGGAAAAACTTTTCAATATTTATGATTTCTTTGAACTCCATGGCACGATCACGTATCACGTCATCGGTTATCTGCTGTAGCTTGTGGAAGTGGGCCCGTTTGATATACTCGTACATACAGTTGCCGAGGAAATTGATTTTCTTGTGCCTCACCACTTTGGAGTCATCTTTCATGACATCAATAATCTGACAACTGGCATAATATTTGAGGATCTGTTTGCGATTGGCGACAACATTTTTGATTTGTTCCCAACTGCATTTAAAGGCCGATGCCACGCGCTGATACACTGGCAATTCATCGTACATGCGAATGGCCTGCACCCGTTCCTCCAAGTTGAGAATTTTTCGGGGTTTGTCCTTGAGCATTTGTCGCTGTATGACATACTGGCAGAGCTGTAAAAAGGGAACAAAACAAAAATATGGACAAGGTAGTATAAAAATAAATAAATATAACTGAAATTTTGAACTTTTGTGAGAGAGGTACTAGAAGGTGTTGGCCGACATATCCCTTATTAAAGTTTGACGCAACATTGAAATATTGGAAATTTGAAAAGAATCGGATACCAATTTTGCATATTTTATGAACAAAATTTGTGTTCAAAATTTTCATCTCTTGTGAGGGAGGTACTAATTGGTCCGCTATATGCACTCCGAAGTTTGAAAAGAATCGGTCTCGTTGTGCGGATTTCAAAAGAGTTATGATTATTCATAATTTGACCTCTTTTTGGGGCCGGCATCAGAGAGAGTGATCCGCTATATCACATTTTCACACCTGATCTTGTGTTGGAAGAAAAATTGGGATGTGCAGAAAAGAATCTGACTATTTTTATATCCTCAGCTATATGGCTACAGAGGGTGTATACCATTTGATACGGCCAAAACGTGACTTATCGAAAAAAAAAAAAAAACAGCTTTGGACCCTAGGTCTCTTTGGACCAAATCCGTTCCAGGGCATTAGAAGTCGATCTAGCGTTGTCTGACCGTCCGTCTGGCTCTCGAAGGGAGTATTCGATTTGAGCCGAACTTCTAATACCTCCCTCACAAAATGTCGAAAATTTCAAAGAAAATAATTTACTGCACAGAAAGAGGAAGGATAATCCGATTTTGCTCCAACTATGCATAACCTAATATTAGCATCAGTGGTGGGTCAGGTGCGAAAATCGGTCCACTCCATCAAGTACCTCCCCCACAAAGGTCAACATTTGGGTTAATTATAACTCTTACAAAATGTGATCTAAGAGTCCGATTGTCTTCAACTTACATACACAACAATATTTTTATTTATCCAAGGATAGGTATGAAGATGGAATATTTCGGACCACTCCTTCTGGTATCATTCCCACAAAGGGTCAACATTTTGAATAACTGTGAAGTTCGAAAAACACGAAATGAGCATCCGATTCCTTTCAAATTTCATACTTCTCAATATTTCTACTTAAGCCAAATCGGGTGTGAAGATGGAATATTTCGGACCACTTCTTCTAGTACCTCCCCCACAAAGTGTCAAAATTTGGAATAACCTAAAGCTCATAAAACGCAAAATAAGCGTCCGATTACTTTCAAATTTCATACTTCTCAATATTTCTACTTAAGCCAAATCTGGTGTGAAGATGGAATATTTCGGACCACTTCTTCACCCCCACAACGGGTCAAAATTTTTAATAATTATACCTCTCATAAAACTCAAGCTTTTCGAAATATTATCAGATATCTCATTTAAAGTGAACCAAGTAGTCGATCCGAAATCCGAATATGATACGTTTTAATATTTTTATCAGACTTATGTCAAATACGAAATATATAATAATAGCCCACTTCTTCCGGACCTCTTCCATACAGGGTCAACAATTTGAATAATCATAATACATGTCAAAATATATTTAAATAACCGAACATTGGCTGAGAGTTTGTAGCTGTCGGCTATACCGAATGATACCATTTAACTTGTCAATTTTGAATCTATGAAAAACCGAAAACTCGAGACATTTAAAAACAATTATCTTTGACCAACGTTAAAGGGGTTATTTCCAATGCCTGAATCCATGAAAAGATCTTCGTATTTTTATAAATTCCATTTTACTTTTCAAAGCCCTCCTCAGTGTTTAAGAATGAATTTTTCAGGTCCCTCTCTGCCAACCGATAAAAAACACATCAAACTGAACAAATAAGAGACATAAGTGAGCAAATGAGTCGGCGGCATTGAAACCAAAATGCAAAATTTGTTTTGCACTTGCATTTGTTTTGATGCCTTTACCATGAATCCAATGCACACCCACTTGCACATTTACTCCTTCTCACTTGTGTCAAAAATCATAGAAGGCAAAGGGGAGCAGCAAAGAGAATACACATCCAGATATATCTGAGAGAGAGAGCGTCAGAGAAAATGAGCGAAGCTCCATTGACAAAGGCAAACCCCCAAACCTGATGTTCCGAGAAAAAGCTAAAAGAGACACTCCAATGAAATAAGAATTTATTTCAAAAATGAGGGGGAGGGGGCATACCGACAAACTGCACTCTTGTTGACTTTACTTTCGATATGTGGTGGGGGTTAGGTTGCTCTGTGCCTTGTCAAATTCAGACATCGTAATGTGTTGCATTTTTTTGTGGTTGATGGTGGATTTGAAACAAAAATAGGGGGGTTACAGAATTATAATTCGAAAAACAACAAAGTTTTTTGTAAGAAACCATTATTGAAATTTTATATAAAAAAATAGAAATCTTCTCCAAATTGACATTTTTTTTAAAAAAAGTATTCCCATTTATAGTTACCTTTTTTCCCCGCCGATGTTTTAAACCAAATTTCTTTTTGGACTCAATTTTGGACACAAACGCTGGTATACACACGAACGGGAGAGTACAAAGCTATAAATCCAATCACTACAAGCCGTACAGGACGTTGTTGACGAGAAAATGTTTGAACGCAACTGAAATGTGCCAACGACAAATTGTCTCACCAAGCAGCGTCCACGGAAGAAATACACAGTAGAGCGCAAGCGACAATGAAAGAGAGAGCTTGTTACCCGAACCAACCAGCCAGCCAGCCACCAGCTACTGGCCAGTTATGAAAGTCGAAAAACGACGAACAGGCACCACAGACGCAATACCCGGCTTGTGGGGGAATATTCTACAAGAGGTTGTGTAGAATGAAGAAACTTGGTCAGCGACGAAACCCATTCGGACCACACAACCTTGTACGTGAGTCAGTTCGCCAGTCTTTAAATGTACTCGGAGAGTGTTGTACAAAAATTGACATTCCCATCCATTGAGATACAAACAAACACACATACATATGTAAGCAGGCATATGGTTTGATTCGGAGTGCAAAGTTTATTGGTCTTTTACTGGGTACAGACAGCACGCGAGAATATCGCTCTATGGGTATATATTTTTGACATAGTTAAACAGAGACTTTTCTGGATTGAAAAACTGGATATTAAAGCACGATATTCGATTTTTATATACTTTGCCAACAAATAGAGGTAATGGCATTTGCCATTTAAATGTAGTTACCTTTGTGTGGTTTGAAATTGTAATCGCTTTATAAACAAAAGGTTATTATAACACGGCACCAATAAGTGTGTAGTCGTACGGCATTACCACCGACCAAAATCCAACCAGAGAACTGAGTCTACGATCATCGGGGAACTCAATAATCGCATATTTAAAAATGCAATTATTGAGTTTCCTGATGATCGGTCGTAGCGTATCACCTTAGACATATCAGTTCGAATGCTAATAGAACGCAGATTCGACATATCAAATTTCTCACCAGTTTTCGATACTGGCACTACACGAGCAACCTTTCACGCCCGTCGAAATGTAGATATCATAAAAACCGAATTGATAAAATGCAGGAAATATGTCTGATGAGCCGCATAGCCAACGGCGAAACGCGTCGCATAGTGGTGAGTGTGTGATAGTGTCTATCTGGCTTTCCTTTTCACTGCAAATTTCAGATCATTAAGCTCGTCTCGAAAGAGAAATCAAACACATAAATCATAAAACATATGATCTTCGCCTTAATAAGGCAAAACTCAAAAATTCAGCCGAGCCTGGCTGTGGGATTTGAACCGCGGACCTCAGTGTGCAGCCAACTAGAAGTTGCCGTCTCTACGTTCAGAGCCATTAACCCGTCTTCCTAAAGTAGCACTAAAACAAGTGTATGCATTGGAAGCAATGTAGTTGTTGTGGACAAAAAATCCATCACTACAAAAAAAAAAACAAAAAAAACTTTGCTGTGAAAAAAAGATCTCCCAATAGAACTTGAGTCGAACCTGGAGAGTTTCTAGTGTATAATTCGCATATGCTAATTTGCAATAAGTTCGAAATATATACTACTTTCCAGAGAACGGCCCTTGTAAGCCATCATCCACACCAAATATGCCTGATGAACCGCATAACCAACGGCGAAACGCGTCGCATAGTGGTGAGTGTGTGATAGTGTCTACCTGCTTTCCTTTTCACTGCAAATTTCAGATCATTAAGCTCGTCTCGAAAGAGAAATCAAACGCAGGAAATGACACTTGAGGAGAAATGTCTGGGCAACCATTTTGGGAAGATCTCTGATCCAGCGAGACATAAATCGGCAGTAACCAACAAATCGAAACTTCCGAGGCAAAGTTCTGTTAATGTCGAGGATGATGAAAAGTCGAAAGATGAGTTATCACCCAACGCAACTTATGGTAGTGACGTTAGAGATGCAAAATTCTACAAAAATGCCTTTTTGTGTCTCGGCATGTTTGTGGATAGGGATCCGAATTTCCATACCGGGAAGGATATCTCATGTATCAAGACTATGTTTAGGTACGTGAGAAAGTTCGAAAGAATTCAGTGAGCTACGGTTTTACAGAGCACGAAATTGGATTCTAAAGCAAAGGCAAAGCAGGAAACTCATCACAGTAGCCGATAAATCGAAAGGGAAAGTTCTGTTAATGTCGAGGATGATGAAATGTCGAAAGATGAGTTATCAACCAACTAATGACAGTGACGTTAGAGATGCCAAATTCTACAAGAATGCCTTTTTGTGTCTCGGCAAGTTGGGAGACCGGGAAGGAAATCTACCATATTAAGTTCGAAAGAATTCAGCGAGCTACGGTTTTGCAGAGCACAAAATTGGAACCTAAAGCAAAGGCAAAGCCGGAAACTCATTAGAGTAAATCGGCTGCGTCTACGTCCGTGAAGGCAATGGTCACTCACACAGTCACTCCATCTATCTCATATAGAGTTTCTCTTGGTAAGGGCTGTAAAAATCAATGCTACTACAGAAAAGTCTACCTCTGAGCCTACCCGTGGAAAGAGGAAAAACTGTACGAAAGGATACAAAATTCTACAAGAATGAGTTTTTTGTGTCTCGGAAAGTTCGTGGAAAGGAATCCGAATTTGCATACCGGGAAAGAAATCTCATATATAAAGACAATGCTTAGATTCCTGAGGAAGTTTAAAATAACTTACCCAAACGCGAACTCTTGGTGGTACACAGCCACAGCTCAGTGAGCTACAATTTTGCAGAGCACGAAATCGGATCCCAAATCAAAGGCAAAGCCGTTTTAGGCTGCATCTAATCGCTCTTCCGAGAAGGCAATGGTAACACACCCCGTCACACCATCTGTCTCATATGCAGCTTTTCTTGGTCAGGGCTGCAACAGTCAAGGCAGTGGAAAGAGGAAAAACTGCGCGAGAGAACTACGTCGATGACATGCAAAGACGACCTCAGATTAGCTATAATTGAAAGAGGTGACCCGGAAGGGGAAATCAGTAATAGTCATTGATTGATTTTTGAAAGAAGTCTAAGCAGACATGTGTATTTTGCCAGTAGGCAGGATAAGTTTTCCGTATCCGTATTTTCGTATAGCCCCCATATAACGGTACCTCCAGATATTCGGTATTTTGATGATTTTTAGCTACATTATTCACAGGAATTGTTTCAAATTTCGTATTCGAAGTTTGTAATGGATACTAAAGCCTATGCCTACAAATTTTGTATGCAGGTTCTGGTCTTCGTATAGCCTCCATGTAACGGTGTCTCCCTTTTTTAAGTATTTTGATTATTTTAGCGACATTATTCGCCGGAATTGTTTCAAACTTGGTATTAATTAGTGAGTAATCCAGCCTATGACAAAACATTTCTTATGCAGGTCCACGTCTTCGTATAGCCCTCGTATAAAGATAATCATTTAAACGGTAATTTTAGCTGCTTTTTTACTTGTTTGAGTTAAAGGGTTCTTCATCGCTCCCCTAAATAACGTTAGAATGCGTCCCATTACAAGATTTAGCTTATTCACGTTTTTTGGTCATCATTTGCTTAATATACAGTTGGGATGTCCCCCAGAACGATAAAAACTCTGAATAGGGATACATAATACAACTCATTCTCTGTTTTAACTTATTTTTAATGAAAATAGCAACTAAACATTATATGCTTTTTGTAAATGCAAAAAAAAAATTACAATTTTAACCAGGGATCACTCGATGCATTATTCCTAATTAAGGCAATTGGTGCCGATGACGTAGATGATGAGGCCTGCTCATATATACTACCATTTTCTACTTCGCGGATTTCGCTGGTTGAGCCTGATGATTTTGTATGTTTTTGCGATTCATAGTTGTTTGTTCTGTCTATCGTAGAAACGCGACCATTTGCATCCAAAACTAATTGATTCATACAAGCATCGAAAAGAATATCATTGATGGCTTTACGGGCCAATAATTTCTGTTCATTCGTTAGCTCGTCATATTGTATGGCCCAAGATCTGGCCATTATCTCCGACGCAAGAGACATTGTATTATTTGTATCGGATGAATTTATAGGTTTCGATGTCATGGTTTTAACATCCCGTACATATTTTGGGGTATTTGTCATTAACGATCGGTTGTTAATTTTTTCATTGGTTGAATTCGAAGCACCTGGATCGTTGTCATTATTGGGCACGACCTGAATATGTTGTTCTTTGGGTATGGTTTTCAGTTTGAATTGTTTGGGAACAAGTGTCTTGATAGACCATTGACTTTCTGAATTAAGATTTTCCATACTATCGACAACGACGCCAGTAGATGCTGTAGCGTCCACACTCGTTTCCGAATCGTATTCATCATAAATCGTTGAGTGTTGTGGAAGCGAAGCGGCAACATCGGGCAGTATAATAGTATTTTTGTTATTTCTTCCATCGCTGCAGGCTAAGCCATTTGATAAAGTCACATCCCTCATCGTGCGGAGATCAGTTTTACAACTCGATGTAACATCATCCAACATCGGATAATGTTGATATTCGTGTTCGTAATCTGCCTGCGAATTGTCGTCATTGTCTCCGTCCCCATTGGTATGTTCAATGAATTGTTCATCCTTCATTTGTAGGGCATCATGAATGTCGGTACTGTCATTTTTAGTAGCACTATCCACCCCACCGCCATCATCATCCACCAGAGCATGGGACAAATTTTCCACAACATAATCATAATCAGTTTCTTCATATTTATCATAGTCGAAATCGTGATCGGTGCTGGCCATCTGAGGTTGATATTCAATTATATTGTCTTTCAGTCGACGTAATACGTGTTTATCGCTTGTCTTTAATACTGTCGATGGGTGGCGACGTTTTCGCTGTAAAAGGAGGGAAAGAAATCAAACCAAATCATTAGAAAAATGCATTCACAATAACAAAAAAATGTATAAAAATACGGAATCTATCGAAATCTATTAAGTTTATCTACTACAGGGTGAGATGAAAAAATTGCAACCAACTTCAGACTGCTGTCATTTCCAAGCCACTCGCCCGACAGCTGTTAAAATTATTCCAGTGATAGCTCATTTTATTGTTTACAAGAGTACAAAAGCATTTTGGTGAGAATTTTCCAGAACAACGTTATTCGTGATGGATTTCAAGCGTGATAGTGTGATTTCTTTACATATGGCTGGAAAACCACAAGTGGCTATCGTTAGAGGACTCCAGCATTTAAATGTGAATAAATCTTTTGTGTCTCGTACCATCGCTCATTACCGATTACGTGATACTGGTACCGTAGCCCGACGTCAAGGAAGTGGACGGAAGAAAACAGCAACATCAGCAGAAATGGTTGGAAAAGTAAAGAACGACTTGATCGATACCCGCGTCGCGTAGTGGCCGAAAAATGGCTCGTCAGCTGAACATATCGCAATATTCCATTCGACAAATATTCAAAAATGAGCTCAAGGTAAAGTCATTGAAAATCCAAAAAGTGGAAGAATTTACATCGCAACCGACAAAAAAAAATTGAATCAAAAGAGCTAAAGAGTTGCTTCGCTTGGCCGAAAGTGGTGAACTGCCGAATTTGATTTTCTCCATCTCCGATTAGAAAAAATTCGTTGTCCAGCAGTTTGTAAATAAATAAAATGATCGTGTTTACTTGCCAAAGAGGTCAGCTGAAACTGTGCACCTTAGGTTGGCCACTAGAACTCAAGCGTCACCCATGGTGATGGCGTGGGCCGCCATAACAGCCGATGGTCGCTCTCCGCTCGTATTAATCGTGGCAAACCGTGGCATCAGAATAAATGCCGAATATTATTACGAAAATATTCTGGAGGGTGTATTGTTTGGCCTTGGCAAACATTTTGGCCGCAGACCTTGGACTCAGCACGCGCCACCTAAGAATGGTTACAAAATTAGATTCCTCGCTTCATTTCCAGCGCACAATGGCCAGCAAAATCTCCGGATACCAATCCCTTGGATTATTGGTCTAGGGTATTTTGGAAAGCAAGGTTGGCACTAAAAAATACCAAAGTGTCGATCACCTCAAGCAAGCGCTTCGCCGGGAATGGGCCAAACTACCGCAGAGCAACATTCGGGCAGCGTGTGACGGTTTCATTGGCCGTTTGAAGGACATTATTCGTGCCAAAGATGACTAATTCAAACAAATCTAAACTTATTCTAAAATTTGAAACTATTTCAGACATTTTTTGCTCGAACCCCGACTTTCGGGGTCCTGGTCCGTCCCCCAAGAAAAAATAGTTTCCCGGTATCAGGGTGAAAATACCTACTACTGGAAAAACATTAAATTTTGAAGAGTTTTTACTAAACTAGAGTTTAGCCAAATTTTCGTACTTTTCGTGGCCGAATTTCGAACTTCCAAAAGCCCAACCTTACTGCACTATGCACCAAGACTGAATCTCGTGCAAAATTTCAGAATCCAGTCTGTTATTCTACTACTCTGTTATATGATAAAGCTAGATCTACGTTTAAACTTGCGTTTGCGTTTTTTTTTTTTTTTTTTCAACAAAATAGGCGATTTTCCTTACTCCATATGTTTGACAACACTTCAACTTACCATAATACTCTTCTCTCCGCTGCCATCTACTAATTTACGTTTTCTCTCTTCTCTGCGAGACGCCGTTTCCGACTGCAAAAAACTCAATAAATCAAAATACCACAATGTCGACTTATATTGGCGGCCCTCTTCCAAGCTATTATTGATTCGGGCACATTCGCGCCGATAATTTGTACGAAAAATGTTAATTTTACGCAAAACATCCTCCCGATCCGAATCAGGTTCGATTTCTCTCAACTTTTCCAACATCAGGTCGTATGCCTCACATTTTACATGTCGATTCTTGTAATTGACATGATTTACATCCCACAAAGCCGGCTGAGATTCGTAGAGACAAAAAAACTCTGTCCAAAATTCCTTGTTGTGAATGGAATGAATTGTTTGACGTTGTGGCGTTGATGACATTCTCTTTTATTTTATCTTGCTCTGTTTGTTTATTGTGGTCGCACGCACAATTTATTGTTTATGTGGTTTTTTGTTGTTGTTGTATTTTCCGAATAAAAAACAAATGCGGGTATCCGCGTTCGACAACCCCACACAATCCGATTTGGAAAAGAACTGTTTATTAGAGTTGGCAAATAATCGATGACAATATGGGTAGTATCGATATTTTTATTGTGTGTCCATATCGATTTATAATTTTTACAATCGTTAACAGCACACCTCTTGAAAACGAATATATTATTCAAAATGTACTGCCTTGTTCCAAAACCTGCAACAATTTAAAAATTCTACAACTTTTTGTAGAAGATAGTGAATACCAACTATTATTATAAACGAAACACACAGCGAAAATAATCGCGACAATTTGTACATGACCAGCAAATATCGAAAAATTGCAAAAAATCTAGAAGAGCATTGTTCTGTTCCAGAACTGCAAAAATATAAACAAGTAAAATCGGAGTTATGTTTGGCCGGGGCGAACTTTTTATACCCTCCACCATCCGGAGGAACTTGGCGGCTATACGAAGACGTGGTTCAGGATAATGTGGCGTTTCCACTGCACTTGATTCGCTCTCTATTCGTTGTTTGACCCTTAACTATGAAAAAACTACCTAATTCTTCACACAAAATTTCCTGAGCGAACACTCATATTTGTACGTTGTTCAAATCAAATCACTCTCAGAACAAAGAAAAAATATGTCCCATCCCTAACAAATGAGAGCATTTATCGAAAAAATAAATTATGACATTTAAAAATTAAAAATGGAAAAATTTGATGAAATTTTAAAAAATTTTGGGAAGACTGAAAATTATGAATGAAAACTACAATGTTGAATGGCGTATGTACATTCAAACGAAAGTAAATTTTGTTTTCTCTCTCATTCGAGGTACGCATTTTGTCCACGAGTTCAAATTTCCACAGAAAACGCAAACAAAAGAGGCAACATTTTCAAAATGTTTCTACCGGCAGAAAAAATGTTTGACAAGTGTCTCTCCAGCAGAATTTAAAAATGGAAAAACACAAAAATGTGTTCAAAATGTCAACATTTACACAAAAAGTTGAAATCGTGAATGAAAATTGTAAAATTAATGATATAATAAATCTTTGGGAGGAAAACAATAATTTCTTCTATTCATATTAGTGAGAATTTCATGTATTTTCGTATAAATTCCCATTAAAATCAACAAACAAAATTTTTGAAAAAAGGAATTATTTTACTATGAATTACGAATCGTGCCGTATGAACGGGTTAATTCGTGTACCTAATTCTGAGAGCGAACAACGTTGTTCGGTTTCCAATGGAAACACGCTATAAGAGTTTTTTTTTTTTTGCCAAAGGCTGTTGTAACGATTCTGAACTTCAAATACGAAATTTAAAGCAATTCCGGTGAATAATGCCGCTAATATAATCAAAATACCGAATAAAAGGAGGTACCGTTGTATGGAGACTAGACTAAGACGTGGAAACAAGGTAGATCTACATCTACCTTGCGTGGACCTGCATAGACAATTTTCCGTCATAGGTTATAGCTGTCACCGAAATAATTTTAACAGTTATCGGACGAGTGGCTTAGAAATGACAGCAGTTTGAAGTTGGTTGCAGGTTTTCATCTCACCCTGTACTTTGTTGGGTCTAAAATTTTTATTTCGATAAGTCTAGATCTAAAATTTTTATTTCGATAAGTTGCAAACGGAATGATAAACTTAATATACCCTCCATACTACGTATGGTGAAGGGTTTGAAAAGTATACTGCGATAAACATTTCTTTTGTTATATCAAAAAATAAGCAAAAATTGTAGAAATTTCCTGTTCTGCAGCAGATTTAAGCATTGCGATTCTGTAGCTAGTTAACGACAAGTGTCGACAACAACTTTTTTCATTAGGAACTTAACAATTTTTGGTAGCAAGGAATATAGTAGAATTTTATTAATATTTAAAAAATGGTCTTTTGTTTAATAAAATATAATCATTTTTATTTAGAATTAAAACCACACTGTGGACTGTTTTTATTTTATATTTTCTTTTGTTTAATTTTTTTCTTGTGTATCATAAAAAATATATATAGTTGTATTATGTGTTCTTGTATATTTCTTAAAAATATATCCATTTTTATGTTCAATAATACTCTTAAAATAATTTCTCCGTTTGTGTGTGTGTGTGTGTGTTTGGTCGCACTCTTAGGCCACTCTCACCTGACGTATTACCGACTTACACTCATCATTGCGGAATACTCGATTGTATTTGTTAATTTTACCCAACGTCGATATAAAGGCTTCATCGTGGGTAATTATGATCAACATAAAATTGGATTGTGTTTGTCGTTCTTCGACAATTCGATTGAGGGCATCACACAACGACAGAATATTATTGCGATCCAAATTGGTTGTGGGTTCGTCCAATGCCAAAACGCCACAATTGCTGCTGAATGTCTCGGCCAGGGCCATGCGTATAATGAGTGAAGCCAGCACTCGTTGACCGGCACTGCAACGGCCACGCATTTCAATTTCGGAGTTATTCTTGGACTGTATGACACGATAATTATAGTTGCGCCGTTTATCCAACGACGAAGCATCTTTGCTCTCTTCGGTTTGGATTTGTATGTAATCGATGTCATTGCCACGATAAATTAAACGCCAATATTCACGAATCAAACGATTGATTTCCCGCATCTTTTCCGTGTGGAATTGCATGAGAGCCCATTCGAGAGCAACACGGTGCTGTCCCAAATCGTTGGCCACCTTTCGCGTCACTTCGACTTCGTAATAGACCCGTTTGTAGTTCATTAAGGAGTTACGATATTTGGGTGCCGACAATTCCTTTTCCAATTTGCGAATTTGTTGTTTAATTTCACCCGTCTGCCCGAGTAGTTCACCTTTGCGTACCGTGATTTTTTCACGTTTAGCACTGAGTTCTTTCTTCTCTTTCGATACGGTGGAGAAATCAAGTTTACTAAACTCTTCGGCCAGCGATTCATAGGTTGCATTTAATTCTTCAAATTTTTGTTGTAGTATTTTAAGGTCACGATTATCTTTGAGATCTCGATCGGCGGTTTCTTGATTTGCCAATTCTTGTTTGATGCCCTCCAATTTTGTTTGCATTTCGGCAATAGTTTCAGCCTGTAAAGAAAAAATAAATGGTTTGTTTTAACAATAAATACTGGGTGAGATGAAAATACTGCAATCAACTTCAGACTGCTATCATTTCTAAGCCACTCGTCCGACAGCTTTTAAAACTATTAAAGTGAGAGCTCATTATATTGTTTACAAGCGTACAAAGCATTTTGGTGAGAATTTCTCCGACAAAAAAGTTATTCGTGATGGAATTCAAGCGTGTTCGGGTGATTTCTTTACATTGATTGGAAGAAAACAGCAAAATCAGCAGAAATGGCTCGAAAAGTAAAAAAAGCGACTTGATCGAAACCCGCGTCGTAGTGGCCGAAAAGTGGCAAATATTGAAAAATGAGCTATGGGTAAAGCCATTGAAATTCGAAAAAGTGCAAGAACTTGCACCGCTGCTGAAAGAAAATAGACTCAAAAGAGCTAAAGAGTTGCTTCGCTTGGTAGAAAGTGGATAACTGCCAAATTTGGTTTCCTCCGCGGAGAAAACATTCGTTGTCCAGCAGTTTGTAAACAAACAAAATGATCGTGGATCTTGTCTACTTGCCAAAGAGGTCAGCTGAAAATGTGCAAATTCGATTGGTCGGCCACCAGAACTTAAGCGCCGACCATGGCATCAGAAAAAATGACGAATATTGTCGGGAAAATATTTGGAGGGTGTATTAAAGCCTTGGGCACGCTAATATTTTGGCCGCAGACCTTCCAACAGGACTCAGCACCATCGCCCTCAGCACGCGCCACCCAAGAATGGTTACAAAATGAGGTTCCTCGCTTCATTTCCAACGCACAATGGCCCAAAAACCGGATACCAATCCGTTAGACTATTGTGTCTGGAGTATTTTGGAAAGCAAGGTTGGCACTAAAAAATGCCAAAGTGTCGATCACCTCAAGTTAGCGCTTCGCCGGGAATGAGCCAAAATACCGCAGACCAACATTCGGGCAGCGTGTGACGGTTTCATTGGTCGTTGAAAGCCCATAATTCGTGCCAAAGGTGGCCAATTCGAACACATCTAAACTTTTTCTAAAATTTTATGCTATTTCCAACATTTTTTGTTTTCATTCAATAAAATTAAAAAAAAAAATGTAAAAATAATTGAGTTTGATTTTGTTGCAGTATTTTTTTTCTCACCCTGTATACCAAGTTATGCAATGCTATTAAAAACGACTTTTTTATTTCTAAAATTATGGAAAACGCCTAAAAGTATACTTTAAATAAAATATGTAAACAATACCAAACTGCAACAAAAAGTATAACCTGGAGTACTGCTTGACACAAAACTCTTTTCCCAACTTACCAATTTGTGTAATTCTTCTTTGCTTCCTTTTAGAGACTCTTCGAACGTTTTCAATTTATGATCCAAATCTAATTTACCATAATCCAAAACTTCTGCATGCAATCTGTAAACAAATAATAAAAATATAAAGAAATGATAACTCTATCACCTCCGATGCAATGAAAGACAGACAGGCATCAGAGACCCACCTTTGTATATCTTGATCCATACGCTTTAAAGTATCTAATTTCATAAGCATTTGATTTACTTTAACACGATTTGATTCCTTGTTTTGACTCTTCTCCTTGATTGCGGTATTCAGCTGAGTCTTCAAAGGTCCTACTTTAGCCTGATTTTCTTGGGCTTCGACGGCAATTGTTACCAAAAGATTTTGCAATTCCGTTTGACGTTCCTGAAGTTGGGGTAAGTTTTGTATACCCTCCTGCAATTTAATTTGTTGATCCTTTAACCTGAAGAGGGTAAATTATCATTAGTTTTCATAAATATCCGCAGCAATTTGTTAATTAATTTTCTTACGTATTTTTTAGATCGCGCAATTTATTCAATGCATCCATGTTCTTCTCATAGTATTGTTGATTTTGTTCCAATTGCTTGCGCTTCTCCTCCAATTCAGTGGTCACAGCAGTTTTTTCAGCTTGCACCTCATCAATGGACGTGGTTCCGTTTTCATCGTCCTTATCCTTGGGGAATTTATTTTTGATTTTAACAATATCCTCTTTGGCACGAGCCACCTGTTTAATTGCCTCGTCCAGCAGAGACATATCACCCATCATGGAATTGGCCAAGTCCATATTGGCGGTGGGTTCAGCCAACAGACCCTGTATGGTTTCGGTTTCTTTGCTACACTCGGCCAACTCATCCTGTAGCTTCTGTAGGTCTTCTTTCTTTTTGGGAATGTCCTCTTCAAGTTTTTCCACCCGCTCTATGGTGGGTTTAAGCTGCAGCAATAATTCATATTTCTTTTGCTCTTCTTTTAATTGCTTCTCAATTCTTTCAATATTTTGTGGAAGGTCAACAATTTTATCATTGAGTTCCGAGGTAAGACCAGAAGCCTGCATTTAAAAGAGAAAAAAGAAAGAATAGATTATTTTTGATATGACAATGGTAGTAATATTGGTCAGTTCATACTTCAGTAGTTGTCATGTCTTTTTGACACAACGGACAGTAGGGTTCATCTTCGATTTTTTGCAAATATTGTTTATAAAATAATTCGGCTGATTTTTGTGCTCCCAATTCGAGTTGATATTTACTGAGTAATGCCTTCGACTTGGTCAACAACTCCTCATACGGTGTATTGCGACATTTTTCAAAAATGGTCTCTTTGCAATCTTCCAATTCTTTTTCGGCCTTTTGCAATTCTTCTTTAAGAGATTTGCGTTTTATTTCGATGCGCTGCTCCTTGAGTTTTAAGCCATTGATCTTGTTGTTGTACTCCTTGATTTGGCGACGAGATTTTTCATAGGTAACTTTTACATGACGTTGATAATTTGACTCGACCACCTTACCCTCTTCGAAAATTTTACGGAAATTTCCATTGTGCTTGCTCTTAACTCTTTGAACCTCCTTTTCACGATTCTCAAGTTCTTGTTCTTTCAAATTCAATTCGGCTACCAATTTTGAAATCGAATTCAAAAAAGTCAAGCGCTCATCAACCTTGCGAAAACGGGCCTCCAGACCCTTTATGGCCTCCTTATCGTTTTGTATCTGTTCGCGTAGCTCGTTTTGATTGAACTTGGCAGCGGTCTCTTCGTAACAATCTTCGGTCTCTTTTAATTTTGTAGTAACCACTTTCAATTGCTGCGTTGATTTTTCAATTTCTAATATTTTCTTTTCGATTTGTTCAATCTCTTTTTCGTGGGCTTTCTTTTGTTTATTCATTGTGACCACCGATTCTTGGAGTTTTGTTACCTCAACACGCAATTGATCTATTTTCGTTTGCCGTTCTTGATCCTCGGCATCATGTTGGCTAATGGTTTCATTAATTTTGCCCTGTTCGCTATTGAGGACACCTTGTATGTCCTCGAGTATTTTTGAAATCTCCTCCTCAGAATCCCCGAAAACTTCGGGAATAGTTAAATTCATCTGTTGTGCCAATGCTTTGATTTTATCAGCACGTTTTTCCTTGCAATCGGTCTCCTTTTGCTTTTGTTGTATTGCAACAACGCGTTTCTTATCGACATCATTGTGTCGATTTTGTAAGCTTTTCTCTTCCTTCTTGATGGAATTAAGTTTACCCTCGACTTCACGTCTTTCGAGACGCTTTTCAGACATACGTTGACCAAAGTTGCCAATTTCGGTGTCCAACTCTTCCAAAGTACCTTCAAACATGGTTTTAATTTTCTTTTTCAAATTGTTCATTTGATCTTGACAATTTTTCTGCCTGTAAAGTGTAAAACAATGCGTAATTTAAATGTTCTATGGAAAGGCAAGGCATCAACTTACTTGGTTTGCAGTTCAATCTTTTGAGCTTGCAATTTACTCATTTCTGCTTCAATTTTATGGATCTGTTGTAGACGTTCCTCAATGGGGGCCATTTCTTCTTCACATTGTTTGCACTGTTCTTCAATAGCTTTTGATTTCTCTTGATATTTTTGCAAACTCAATGTTTTCTCTTCCATTTCCACCTTTAAGTGTTCCTCAAAACGTAAATCGGCCTCTGTGTAAAAATATGGGGCAAGAAATGCAATACAATTAAAAATGATTTTAATATCATTAAATGTGTAGTCAATTGTGAGGAGTTTGGCTAATTATAATGGCTTATAATCTAAGCTACAGACAATTTTTTTACTGTTGAAAATAATTTTAATTGTATCTAGAGCTACGTGGGGACTAGGTTTTTCAAATCGTGAGTGTATAAAAAGCATTTAGAAATATTCTAATTGTTTGGAAATCAAAGTGAAAAATCAAAGCCAATTCGCTAGGTATCGATTGGATGGTACTCGCATCCTATAAAGTAAGAAACCGCCTTAATTAACATTTATAACATAACACACATACCTTTAAGTTTCAATATATCCAATTCCTCTTTTCGCATCTTAATAATACGGTCCAGAGCTTTATTATATTCAGATATACCAAAAATTGCATCGAATTTCTCCTTCAATTTCTTGGGCTCATCTAATGGCCAACTAGAATCTTCCTGATGACACAACAGAACATTGTTTATTATGGCTTTGGAGACTCCCATAAATTGAGACACAGCCAAATCGACATCGGCATTTCGATTCGAAATCGATTCGTGCGTCATTTTACCATCGCCACCATCATTCAAGTAATTCAGCGTAGCGTCGAGCGTTTCAAACGACATCTTACCGCGACGAATTGCCAGTTTCATGGAACGACATATGGATAGGCGAGCACCCTGGACATTACGCACCTCCAGCTTGATCTGACCCAAAACATCGGTTAAACCAAATATTTTAGGATCATGAACAAAGTTCTTGCCACGGTCACTGCCCGGTGGAACTTCTCCCGTCAAGGCATACTTCAGACATTCAATTACAGTCGTTTTGCCACAACCATTTTCACCCAATATCAGGGTTACCGGCGAGGTAAAACCTATCATCTAAAAAAAAAAAAAAAAAAAACAAAATAAAAAGTGCATACATCTTCACATAAATTGAACCGCAGGCTATGTTTGTGTATACATACCTGACTATCTCCAGCATTTCCGCCAAAACTTCTTATACCTTGAATCGTAAGCCGTTCAATAGTCGACATGATTATCAAGTAAATACATAAACTACGTAATTAATCGAATTTCTTTTAATAAATGTATGTGTTATTGTTGTTGTAAAATTGTTTTCACTTGTTTTTATTGCAGTTCAAATACAAAACATATAATATATGTAAAGAAAAAAGCGTAGCTTGTTTTTCCAAAATTATTGCAATTGTTTGCGTTAGAGCCGGCAAGTAATCGATGCATAAAATCGATAGTACTGATATGATATACCTTGGAAGGGAATATCGATTGAATATCGATTTTGTTTTATTTATATTATCGGACAAAATGTCAACAGAGATGAGTGCTTATGTTTTGCCCGTTATTTTTCAAAAACACGACTTCCATTTCATTGATTATTTCTATGAGTTTTACGTGAACCTATAAAAAGAAACGTGAAAGTGTAAAAAAGGGGGCATATTTTAATATTGAAAAAATTCGATATTTAGTTTTCATGCTGCGTTCTCCCAAAAAATTTCAATCAATTGTTATTTTTGCTCATCTTTTTTATTTGTGTTTATTTGTTTTAATTTTAATTATGATCATGGTAGAACTAAGAAAGTAAAGTCATGGTAGAAGAATGTGGGTAGACGTATCGAAACAGCTGTTGGGACAACGAACTGTCAAACCAATTTTTGAATTGAAATTTTTGAATGAAAATCATTCAATTTAAAAAAAATGAAAACACATGTTGTAATAACCTTTGATTGAAGTCGTATAAAAAACATATAAAAACTTACTTATGTTTAAAAAAAAATTAAATTTTTGACATCTCAATGTTCCCAAGCTTTGATGCATCTACCTATATGCTTCTACCATGGGTTAACCCAAGAAAGGTTGTCAAATTCAAAGAAACAAGAAAAATGCAACACTGTGCTGGAGTCCTATAGTCTCAAATAGACTTTTAAAAATGCATAATTTGGTTTTATTTATTCTTCAAAAATCCGCGAAACAAGAATAGAACTTTGGGGGTATTCCACAAGATAGAACATAAAATATTAGGACAATACAGTTTTACTACAAATTTGTACAATTTGTTACCCATTTACGTCGAAAATTTGCATTTATTTTGAAATAAATTCAAATTGTTGTATTTTTTATTCAACAATACACAAAATGTGTATATGTTTTGACAGAATAAGGGCAACAAAAGGAAAACATTGTATTTAGGGGGTAGCTTTGTTCTACCTTTTGCAATTGTGCCATGTGTTATTTTACATACCTACAAACCAATGTATGTCAAACTAATAATTTTGAAATAATTGTAAACAAAACTTTACATGACTTTCATTCTTAATTTCTTAATTCTGCCATGGTCTTTTTTCTTTACCGTGAAAATAGTTTTCGAACCATAAACGTTGGCTCTTAGAAAAGCAAAAAAAAAAACTTTTTTCTATTATGAGGAAAAAATTCTCCACATTGCTCTGACGTAGAAGAAAAATAAAACACAAAATGTAGAGTAAAATCAGCTGGGCTTTGCTGCTACCTTCTGGTGTTTGTAAAACGCAACAGCTGTTCAAGTAATAAACTGATGATTGGTGTGTCAGTAAGAGATTGCCAATGCTGTCAAAATTTGAGTATGGACATTCATAAAAAGTCAGCTGTTCCTTGTCGCGTATTTGCAAAATTTACATTCGCTTAAAAAATAAAAAAATAATAATTTTGGAAACACACATTTTTACAAAAATTCAACAAAATGAACAACGACCATCATCTAAACTACCCTGTATATTTTTTCAAAGGATATTTGGGCTATGAGAACGAGGAAATGTGGGATATTAATTCATCGGAACTGGAAATGATTGATATTGAAGTAGATACAACAGACGAAGAGGACAGTGGGATATCTTACTATGAAGTCGTTCAAATTGATGAATATGAAATTTCGAACAGCAGCTCTCAAGTAAATCGAATTTCAACCGACAATACAACAATACCGCAAATCGTTGATTTCAAAAGATCCGATCTAATGTTGTCGGCGGAGAATACACGCAGCACGAATGACACAAGTTTACAACATTTGAATTTAATGCCAATGACGGAATCGGCCCAAACGGCTGTATCAACAAATTCAAGGCGGAAAAAGAACAGAATGTGTTCAAATAGAATGATTCAAAATAATGCTATAATTGAAACATGGTCTCCTCACCTTTCTTGTCCCATATGCAATTGTCTATATACCAGGTTTGTTTTTTTGGAACAACATTTCCAATTGGCCCATCCCGGAATAGAATGCCACATTATATGTTGTCGTAAAAAATTCAGGCAGGCCATCGACATTGTCAATCATATATTTGAATGCCACGAAAATGAATTGGAACCCGACAACTCCATTAAAATACAAAGCAAAGAATACGAAGAATTTGTTCAACATTACATGCCAATCATGGGTTGTGGGTTTTGTTCGAATGTACAACGTGGTTTTGCCAAACTAAAAGAACACTCCAAAGCATATCACCCGAAAGAAGTTTGCTCTATTACGTGCTGTAATCGCAAATTTGCCCGCTTGGAAACGATAGCTGAACACATACTAGTCCACCTGGATCCGCAAATATTCCGCTGTCGTATTTGTAATAAATCGTATGCCACGAAAGTTTCTCTAAATCGTCATATGGGTCGATGGCACAGGATACCCAAAAGTCATTTGGTAAATGTCAATTTCTTAGAATTGGCGAAGAGAAATAAATCAATAGCAAGGATAAAATTCAATGACCTGGATGTGTTCATTGCTGCCTCCATACCAGAACTGACATGCATTGAATGTGGTTGCAAATTTTCAACCTGTGGCAAATATATACGTCATTTTAATGAGAGCCATCCCCGTAAAAAGTGCAAAATGCGATGTTGCGGTTTCGACATACATTTGCGTCATAATTTAGAAGAACACTTGCACAAGCACGGCGATACAAGTGGTTTCAGGTGCATTGTTTGCCATCAAATATTTGTGAAGAGATCCTATTTGTACGACCATATGTGTTGGCATCATCCATACACAATTAATAACGATGTTTTGGATGGCGAATGGATTGAGGAAATTAATCGAAAGGTAATATGAACATAATTTAGTTTTATCAAAATTGTATTTGAAAATCCAATTTTTACACAATTTTTTTTTTATTGAAAGTAAAAAAAGAAACTTAGTTAAACGACCTGTGAAATCATCTTGATGGAGGCTATACTTTTTCAGCTTCTTTCAAGCAGTTCACCTAGAGTCATGAAATAAACATTTTGTTCTTCATATTTCAACAATGCTCATATTTCAACAACGCTATATTACATGATGCAAGTTCCGGCTACTTCGTCAGCGAAAAGTCCACTTTAAAATTCGTTCGTTTAAGATTCGTTCCAACATTTTGTGATATGCCTTTAGTGCTCCAAATGCACAATTTGTCAAACTACATACATACATTAGTCAAGTTTTCCCATTTTTATACCCTACACCATTATGTCTTGGAACATTTGTTTGTAGCAGACAAAAGAAAACGCGATAGACCCATAGTTTCTTTTTATGGTATGCATAGTCGAGTCGATTTATGCATGTCAGTCCGTCCATCTGTCCATGTATTTTTGTAAACGAAGTACAGGTCGCATTTTTTGCCCTATCCATATAAATTTTTGCACAAATCAATGGTTTGACCCAAGGACGAACCCTATTACATTTGCAGATAATCGGTCAAAATTTAGATATAGCTCCCATTTTTCGTCCGATTTTGATTTTAATGTGCTCCGAACGTGTGATATCAGCCAAATAGTATGGAATTTTGCACACACCACAAAATTAGGCTTGAAAATAAGTATGCCAAATTTGATCGAAACTGGTTCAGATACAGATATAGCTCCCATATATATTGTTCATCCGATTTGTCATTTTTGCCCTCCGCAGCCGTAATATGCACCCGTGTTACAATGATATTTGGGGAAATATATCAAATACAGGTCAGAAATACCTTCGCTAAATTTTGTCGAGATTGGTTCAGATTTGGATATAGCTCCCATAGATATTTCGTCCGATTTGCATTTTATTGTGGACTAAACGTGAAATATTAATCCAAATGAGAAGGAATTTGGCACATACAACCATACTGGGTCATCCTTTTTGTTGAATTTGTCCTGCACAACCGTAATATGCACTCGGTAGTAACGATATTCGGGGAAATACAGGGTGAGATAAAAAACTGCAACAAAGTCAAAAGCCAAAATTTTTACATTTCATTTTTTTTTTAATTTATTGAATGAAAGCAAAAAATGTTGGAAACAGCATCAAATTTTAGAAAAAGTTTAGTTTTGTTCGAATTTGTCTCCTTTGGCACGAATTATGGCCTTGATCTGCAATGTTTTGGTTCATGCCCGGCGAAGCGCTTGCTTGAGGTGATCGACACTTTGGTATTTTTTAGTGCCAACCTTGCTTTCCAAAATACTCCAGATACAATAGTCCAACGAATTGGCATCCGGAAATTTTGGTGGCCAATGTGCGCTGGAAATGAAGCGGGGAACCTTATTTTGTAACCATTTTAGGGTGGCGCGTGCTGAGTGCGATGGTACGGAGTAATGTTGGACTGTACAAGGTCTGCGGCCAAAATGTTTGAATAATACACCCTCCAAAATATTTTCGCGATAATATTCGGCATTTATTGATGCCACGGTCGATTAATACGAGCGGAGAGCGACCATAGGTTGTTATGGCGGCCCACACCATCACCATGACCGGCGCTTGAGTTCTGGTGGCCGGCCAACCGACGGTGCACATTTTGAGCTGACCTCTTTGGCAAGTAAAAACGATCATTTTGTTCGTTTCTCATCGGAGAAACTCAAATTCGGCAGTTCGCCACTTTCGGCCAATCGAAGCAATTATTTAGCTCTTTTGAGTCTATTTTCTTTCTGCGGCGGTGTAAGTTCTTGCACTTTTTGGAATTTCAATGGCTTTATTCTTATTAGGAGTTTATATTCCATTCGGCAAACATTGATAAATGAGCTCGGGGTCATTTATCAATGTTTGCCGAATGGAATATTGCGATATGTTTAGCTCACGAGTCATTTTTCGGCCACTGCGACTCGGTTTTTGATTAAGTCGTTTCTTTACTTTTCGCACCATTTCTGCTGATGTTGCTGTTTTCTTCCGTCCATTTCCTTGACGTCGGGCTACGCTATCAGTATTACGGTAACGGTAACGAGCAATGGTACGAGACACAAAAGATTTATTCACATTTAAATTCTGGAGCGCTCTAACGATAGCCACTTGTGGTTTTCCAGCCAAATATAAAGAAATCACACTATCACGCTTGAATTCCATCTCGAATAAGTTTTTTTTTTTTTTTGAAAATTCTCACCAAATTGCTTTTGTACGCTTGTAAGCAATATAATGAGCTGTCACTGGAATAATTTTAACAGGTGTCGAACGATTGGCTGTGACAGAAGTCTGAACTTGGCGATGACAGAAGTCTGAAGTTAGTTGCAGTTTTTTCATCTGACCCTGTAATGTGAATGTTGGGAGATTGAAAATGCTAAATTTAATAGACTATTCATTGCTTTTATTTGGTGGCCTTAAATATATGGACCTTATCTATTTCGTATAATGTAGCCGTACAGAACATGTTACCATAGTAGGAAAGATGAGTATTATAGGTACTTTCAAGTTCTCAGCATTGAATGCAAACTCTTTTGCAGTCATAAATAAAGTTTCAATATAGCACTAACAGCTATAGCTAATCTGTAGAAAGATACTACATAATATATACCCATATAAATCTCCTATATAATAATCAATTTCTATTTCCAGAATATAATAAACGAGACGGCGTTTAGCCCTGCCGAGGGAAAATCATTTCTGAAGTATGAAGAAACAAAGGCCATTCACCACCTTTTGGTGGAATGGGGTGCACGAGCCTATTTGAATGGTGATAAAAGTATTGCCGAGCCCCAAATAAGAAGTCAAGCTGGTATATTATGCGATTTGTTGCACATTAATTCATATCGCTGCGATCGAACTTTATTTGCTGCATTTTGTGATGCCGTTGCAGAGAAATCGCAAATTAACAAACCAGGAACAGTTTCCTATACCTTAAATTACCAAGACATTTTGGATAGCTCTAAGCAACGCATTCATCCCTTGATATATGCACGATTCAAGGAAAGACTGAGAGATGTTGATAGGTATAGAACCTATACGATTGAGTGTAAAAAACCATCAAAAAGCTAGATTATAAGAAATTCTATTTTAACAATTTAATTTTATTTTAACTTACGTACTTATTAACACACACACACACGTTCGGTCAAGGTTCTACAGATTTATGTCACATTTCTTAAAAATGTTCTTCATATATTTTAAGCAAAAAAAAAAAAATAAATAAACGACATTCTATCCGGAAGATTGGAAATGTTCTCGGTATTGTAATTAAGCGTGTCTTTATTTTATTTCTTATATCAAATTAATGTTTTTTTTTTTTAAATATTTATAGATGTTCTATTAATATTTTATATTTTTAACGAACTGTGTTTTTATTTTTATACAAAAATATCATTAATGGCATATATTAAAAGGCAATGATGCAAAAAGGAAACTGGTGAAAACAATAGCCTTGTTTAAATGCAAGAGGCTCAAAAGGGAACGATAAAAAGTAAAAAAGTAGGATCTTAAAAATTTTCAAAAAAAAAAAAAATCCGTTAAAAATACGTCTCAAATGAAATTCCTTATATGGGGGCTATACGAAGACGTGTCGCTAAAATCATCAAAATACTGAATATCTGGAGGTATCGTTATATGGGGGCTATGAGTAGACATGGACCTGCATGAACACTTTTTTGTCATACAATGTCATGCCCATTACGAACTTCAATGATAATATCGCTAAAATCATCAAAATACCGAATATCGGGAGGTATCGTTATATGGGAGCTATATAAACCTGCATACGCGATTTTTTTGACATGGGCTGTATTACATATTACGAACTTCAACTACGAAATTAGAAACCATTTCGGTAAAAAATATTGCTAAAATCATTAAAGAACCAATTATGGGGAGGTATTGTTACATGGGGGCTATATGGACCTATTATGAACTTAACCTGCCTACTGGCAAAATACACATGTGTGCAAAATTTTAGCCTTCTATCTCAATTCGTTCTAAATATATCGTGATTACAACAGATAGACAGACGGGCATCGCTAAATCGACTTAGAATGTCACGCTGATTAGAAATATTACAGGGCGATGTGAAAAAACTGCAACCAACTTCAGATTGGTCTCATGTATAAGCCACTCGTCCGCAAGCTGTTAAAATTATTCCAGTGACAGCTCATTATATTGTTTACAAGCGTACAAAAGCATTTTGGTGAGAATTTTCCAGAAAAAAAGTTATTTGTGATGGAATTCAAGCGTGATGGCATCTATTTTTGTATATTTGACTGGAAAACACAAGCGGCTATCGTTAGGACACTCCAGCATTTAAAGATACCAGTCCATTGGATTGGCACGGTTTTTGACAGCAAACTTACTTGTCGTCGGATGTGCCTTATGTAGACATTGGGCATGTTATGTTATTAAAATTAAACATATTATAATTATTTGTTTTGCATTTTGAATTTTATAATCGAAATTCTAGAAACTAACATTTTTGAGATTGATATGAGTAAATCGATTCAAAGTTATTATTAAATTGATGTGTGGCTAGTCTGCTTGCTATTAGCAAATTGACAAGTTGTGGCAACTCTGCCTGTTTTGTTTACTGATCATGATCATAACAGGAAATAAATAAAAAAAAAAACAAACGGATTGTTAATAGAAAATAATGCCTTTTGAAGACATTTAAAAAGGAAGAACAAATTCAAAACGCAATAAACATTATGAACAGCAACATTATGAACCATGTTCTGTGTGTTCCTGCCGAGCATCGAGCCATACACCAACTCTTGATCGAGTGGACAAAACGTACGATATGGAATTCTAGAGGAGTATTACGAAAGGCCTCCGTTGAAAGTCAACTTAAAATATTTCAAAGTATTTTTAAGGTTCCCAAATGTCAGTTATACCCTTATTTCTGGAGTGATGTTTTAAACTATCAAATGATGGTTCGTACGAAAATTGCCAACGAAGGTAGAAAACATCGCTATTTGGTGGGGACACGGACCATATTGGAAATGTGCAAGAACCGCATAAATCCTGCTATTTATAAAAAGTTTATGCGTCAATGGAAGAAAAGGAAACCAAACGAAACTGACAATCCAGACCTAAAAGCACTCAACAAATATGGGCTCAGCAACAAGGAGGGTAGCAAGGAATTCATGCATTTGCTAGAAAGTTATACATTGCAAGATTTCCAAAAGTCGTTCAACGTTCAGAAGGAAATTGACGATGATGTCATTTTAATAGAAGAGCCTGTAAACTGTATAGACATTACCATGAATTCCAAAGATCTATATGACGACAATGAAATGAAATACAAACGATATTTTAATAATGGTATCGACATTATACACACCTGCAGCATTGGGACCAAACGAATGGGTAAATAAATAATGACTTGTTTTTTTTTATTAAAACTCAAAATAAATGTATTTTTTTGCAGATGAATTTCACGCCAGACTTGAACAGAATATTAACGGACACAAACAGCTGGATCAACCAGCCATTTCGCAAAATTTAAATGTTCATAAACACAAATTTCCCAACATAAAACATGAACCTGTTACCTTGTCAGAAAGCAACACACTTGCGTATCAAATAAAAGAAAAAGAAGATAAAGGCCTTCTCGACAGTGAAGAAGAAATTTCGACTTGCACCCCATGCTCCAAAAAGTTACGCGAATTCCATTGTAATACTTGCTACAACAATATTTACGGTTTTCACAATTTTTTAAAACACCTAGCAAAATGTGATAAAATTGATATTAACATTGATGAATTTGTCAAATGAAACTCGAATTTCATTGGGAAGGGAATAATGAAGTTGGCCAAAGAAACGATTTTAATTAAAGTTGCCTTACAAGTAAAAAGCTTTGGGTGTATGAATGGCCTTTGCCACGACAATTGGGTACCGTTATAGGCGGTTTTTGATAAGATAATATATAGATAATACTTTTCCAAGGGATATCCTACTTACAAGGAATTCCTTGTGTGGATTTTCAGACTATTCCATTGAAAAATGTGGCAAGAATCATCAAAATACCTAATATCAGGAGGTATCGTTATATGGGGGCTTTACGATATCGTGGATCTATATAAACAATTCTCTTCTAGGGGATAAAGTACTTACAAGGTACTCCTTGTGTGAATTTTCAGACAATTTCATTGTAAATGTAGCTAAAAATTTAGCTAAAATTGTCAAAATACCGAATGTCGGGGCGTATCGTTATATGGGGCTATACGATTTCGTGGACCTATATCGATAATTAGTTTCCAAGGAACTCCTTGTGTGATTTTTCAGACAATTCTATTAAAAAATGTGGCTGAAATAATCATAATACCGAATATCGGGGCACCGTTATATAGTGGCTATACGATATCGTGGACCTATATAGATAATTCTCTTGCGGAGGATAAAGAATTCACAAGGAACTCCTTGTGTGGATTTTCTAAAGTCATCAAAATACCGAATATCGGGGGTACCCTTATATGGGGGCTATACGATTTCCTGGACATATATAGCCCATCTTCGAACCTGACCTGTTTGCAGACAAAAGACAGATCTGTGCAAAATTTTAGCTCCCCTTCTTAATTCGTTTTGACTGTAACGTGATTACAACAGACGGGCAGACGGACAGGCCTAAATCGTGCATGACAGAATTAAGGTGATAAAGTTATACAATTATATGTTTACAATATTTTTCCAAATTATTTATTTGACATCTCATTGTTGAAATGGTAGAAGAATACAGATAGTCGCAGCGGACACAGCTGCTTGGACAATGAACAGTCAAACCAATTTTGGAATTGAAATTTTTCAATGAAAAATTATCAAAGATTGTAAAATTTGTTGTAAAATGCGCATCAGGACAACTTCAGATTGAAGTCGCATAAGAAAACACATAAAAAACAACCTATTTTTTGAAAAAAAATAAATTTGAAATAAATGTTCCCAAGCGTTGATGCATCTATCTGTATTCTTCTACCATGGTATATAGACAAATCAGAGATGGGAACTTGTTTTGCATGCAGTGAAATGCGACAAGGTAAATAACCGAAAACGAAGGGATGGAATTTTTTTATTTATATTGAATTTATCTCCTTTATCTTCATTCCCCAAGCAAAAAAACATTGTTAAATCTGGCAACTACAGTTAAAATTCGGCGCCACTGCTTCTGTACGGCGTTCATTTATATTAAGAGACCCGGGAGTTTTATTTAACGCGGAAAATTTGTTTTTTTGCTACAACTTGAATTTTGCGAGAATAAAGAATTGTGTTTCATCGATTTTAAACAACAAAATGTCCGCTCAGGCCACTAAAAATTGTATAACCCTTAAGGGTTCAGCCCAAATTATTGCTGAATATTTGAAATACGGTATTAATTCGATTTTGTTCCAAAGAGGAATATATCCAGCTGAGACATTTGAAAGCACTCAACAATACGGTCTAACAATTCTCATGTCCAAAGATCCAAAAATCGAAGAATTCCTAAAGAAGGTACTGGAACAAACGGAAGGTAAGTGTGCCAAAATGGGGCTACCAAGCCACCAACTATCACTATAACTATTTTTCCTTTCGATCAGAATGGCTTGGCAAGAATATGATCAATAAAGTGTCAATGGTCATCACTAATGCGCACACCAAAGAAGTTCTGGAATGCTGGGATTTCAAGATGAACGCAGAGCTGGGTGATGGCGAAACTATTGATCCTCAAAAATTGACATCATCCAAAGAATTGAAACGTATACAAAATGAAATACGAGATGTAATGCGTCAAATATCGGCAACAGTTACCTATTTGCCATTGTTGGATTGTATTTGTACATTTGACGTGATGATTCACACCTTGCAAACTTGTGATATACCAGAAAGTTGGGATGAAACAGGACCGGCATTTATACAGAATGCCCAGGCGGTGCAGCTACGTTCTTTCTCGACGGGCTTACATAAAGTTGATACTGTTGTTAATTATAAGATGTCCTCGTAGTGAAACATTAGCTTTTATTCTATTTATTATTATTATTTTCTTGCTGATAACAATTTACAGCTATATATGTGTCTGATTGTCTTTAAATTTTCCAATATTTTATGAAAAAAATCAAAAAATGACAAAACCGAATTTAAATTGAATTGTATGTACTTGATAATGGAAAAAGTAACTAAGTGAAGGATGAGGGCAATTAGACTATTAACTTATTTTTTTTCTCAAACGAACGTATCTATTTCCATTATATAGTTTTGTATTTCCATTATATAGTTTTGTTGGCAACATCCCTCGGCTTTGCAATCGTCCGAACTAAAAAAAAACAATTGGGATAATTGCATTTCGGCTAATTACATCCTTCGGCTTTCTAAATCTCTCCACTTTCTAACTCAATTTTTTGTTACTAGAATGATCACAATGGACCAGAGATCTTGGAGAGAATTAACTGCAGTTATCAGACAGTATCAGTATCAAGAATCAACCTACGTCTACGTGTTAGTCTAGAGACTATACAGGGTGAGATAAAAAAACTGCAACAAAGTCAAACGCCATATTTTTTTTTTTTAATTTCATTGAGTGAAGGCAAAAAATGTCAGAAATAGCTTCAAATTTTAGATTAAGTTTAGATTTGTTCGAATTGGTCAACTTCGGCACGAATTATGGCCTTCAAACGGCAAATGAAACCGTCACACGCTGCTCGAATGTTGCTCTGCGGTATTTTGGCCCATTCCCGGCGAAACTCTTGCTTGAGGTGATCAACACTTTGGTATGTTTTTTGTGCCAACCTTACTTTCCAAAATACTCCAGACACAATAGTCCAACGGATTGGTATCCGGAGATTTTGGTTTCCATTGTGCGATGAATAGTAAAGTGAGGAACCTCATTTGGTAACCATTCTCGTGCTGAGTGCGATGGTACTGAGTCCTTTTGAAATGGCCAAGGTCTGCGGCCAAAATGTTTGCGTGCTCAAGGCTTTAATACACCCTCCATAATATTTTCGCAATAATATTCGGCATTTATTCTGATGCCACGGTCGATTAATACGAGCGGAGAGCAACCATCGTCTGTTATGGCGGCCCACACCACCATGGCCGGCGCTTGAGTTCTGGTGGCCAACCGAAGGTGCACATTTTCGGCTGACCCCCCTTTGGCAAGTAAACACAATCATTTTGTTCGTTACAAACTGCTGGACAGCGAATATTTTCTCATCGGAGACGGAGAAAACCAAATTCGGCAGTTCACCATTTTCGACCAGGCCAAGCGAAGCAACTCTTTAGCTCTTTTGAGTCATTTTTCAATATTTGCCGAATGGAATATTGCAATATGTTCAGCTCACGAGCCATTTTACGGCCACTGCGACGAATCAAGTCGCTTTTAGAAGCGTTTCTGCTGATGTTGCTGTTTTCTTCCGTCCACTTCCTTGACGTCGGGAACGCTACGAGTATCACGGTAACGAGCGATGGCACGAGACACAAAACATTTATTGTTTTGCTCTAACGAAAGTCAGTGCTCTAACGAAAGTCACTCCAGCCAAATATAAAGAAATCACGATTGAATTCCATCACAAAGAATTTTTTTCTGGAAAATTCTCACCAAAACGCTTTTGTGCGCTTGTAAGCTGGTACGCTGGTTACCCTAATATTTGTAACAATTGTTACTGGAGGTCGTCTGTTAACGCAAAAGTTCTATAAAAGAGAGCGGTTGGAGAGAGAAATTTTGACAGTTCTTTCAGTGAGAGTTTGCCAATTTTAGCTGGACAAATTTCTTCTTGCAATCACTTGCAACTCTTCTTCTCATTCATCGACATTCAATCAGATGTTTTCTATTGTTTGTTTATTTCTTTTTGTCCTTTGAATTTGATTTTTTTTTTGAATTAGCAGGACTAATTGTTTTTGGAAAACAACTTTACAAAATGTGAAAAACGTAAATATTAATATGTAATTAGAAAATAAATGACTATTTCCAAAATTTTTAGACAAACGCCATTAGCAGTATGATTCCGGGAAACACATCAAATCTATCTTTCTTTTATTGCTAGTATTTTTATTTTATTGCAAATTGCCTTTTTATTTTAAAAACTTGTAAAGTTGGTGGTGCTTCCTTTCTTTTAATTCTTTTAATGGGGGACAAATTGGTTTGTTTTGACAAATCAGCTGATTAGTTGCAAGCTTGTGCAGGAATACCGTCTGTTTACTTTTCACAGTTTCTTTGCAAATGAGAATAAAACTAACTTGTTTTCTCAGAAAGATGTTGCTGGAAAATTCCTGCAGGAAAAGTAACAAGACACTCCTGATTATAATGAGCTGTCACTGGAATAATTTTAAAAGCTGTTGGACGAGTGGCTTAGAAATGACAGCATTCTGAAGTTGGTTGCAGTTTTTTTCATCTCACCCTGTAAATATTAAAATTCTCTTAAATGTAAAGTATATTATAGTTTATGGAGACATTCTCACATGCGCATGCTTCAGGGCTGGCCTTAATAAATCTTCTCAAAAAAGAACTACCCGTAAAAACACAAATATATATATACATAATTTCAAAATAAGTTGTTATATATTTATTCACATACTCTTTGGTACAAATTTACAATTAATTGCATTTGGTTTTGGATAGAAAAACTTAAAGTTTTTAATAATTTTCATGGAAAATAAGCTATATACAGTTTTCCTAAATATTTATTCAGTACATTAGTAAATGTATTTATATACACATGCTTTGGTTTAGAGCATATTATGTGCTATTGAACTGATTTCTCTAATTTTTTCATATAAACAATAAAATATCAATATAATTGGTCGTGGAAAGGCCCTGCCTTACTATATCATATGGAAATTTCCCATTTAAAAAGTTTTATAAGTAATTATGGTCATAGTAGTTTTGAGAATTATCGCATTATAAAAACGGATTGCATAGCCCACTAAAGGCTATTCTAGAAAGCACACATTCCAAAGCCAGACACAAAATCAAATTTTAAATTTGACTGGGATGTCTGGATTTTCTCTATCTTAATCCATCCAGGATTTCTTTAATCAATGTCAACATCATCCTCGTTATCCTGTACACTTCCATTGGCCTCCTTGCGATCTAATTCCCTTAAGACTTCATCGGCACGTGTTATTAAACCGATTAAACGGAAGTTTTCACGTTCCAAAGCAAAATCCTCGATTAACTTCAAATATTTACGGGCCTCAGCACAGGTACGAATTGAAGGCAATTCATCTTGGCTATCATTGTGGTAATCTCCCGTTGAATGTTTACGTTTTTGTGACGTTGCTGGGGTGCTAAATGATTGAGTGGTAGACTTAATTGTGGAATCATGAAAAATTGGCGCTTTTGTAAGGGGAGGCAAATCTGTTCTGCTTCTGGTGATTGGCTCTCGTGTTTGTTGCTGTGGGCTTTCTGACCCGCCCATCTGTTGATCCTTTTGATTTTCATTTGTTTCCTCATCTTCGGAGACTTTCTCGGTCTTGATGCGTTTACGCAACGATGACAGAGTTAAATCGTCTAGTGAATCTTTGGAGGACTCTTCCAGCATATCCCTGTTGTGCAAAGGAATTGCCACAACATGAGCCGGCAACAGGGTAGGCAAATTTGCTATTGGAGGCTTACTTACAGCCAACGGCAATTCTTCCTCATCGTCTGTAACATATTCCTTTTTAATTGTGATTGGTGTTTCTGTTTCTGCCGAGGGTTTCGAGATTTCATCCCTTTTTTCTTCCAAAAATTCTTCATCCTTGGGTTCTTCCTTGATTTCTTGTTTGATTTCAATTATGGGATTTGGTACACTAATATCATCATTGTTTTGCTGGACATTTCTGTTGTTCGAGCTGGAATTGAAACTGGAAGCAGCTGATGCGGTGTTGCTCAATGCTGCAACAACGTTACTTGCATTCAAATTGTTGTTGTTTAGCGAAGCTTGACCCAGACTTGTCAATGGTATAATTGTCATTGTCATCGGACCAGAACCTTGTTTTTGTCCAGGTGGTACGATTGGTGTTGCTACCAATACCTTTTGTCCAATGCCTGGTATGCCATTAGCTTGTATTGGTAATGCCACCAGCTGATGCATTCCTTTCATTGTCGATGAAGTGGTGGGCAGAACGACTGCTTTATTGTTATTGTGGTTGTTGTTGTTATTGCGATTCTTTTGAGTCCTTATCTCGCCATCCATATCACTACTATCGATGCTAACACAATCATCATTTGACAAAATACCATTTTCTTCATCTTCCTCGCTGGGACTACACTCTGAGAGGACATCTTTCATAACATCCTTGATCTGCACCGAATGTCCTTGCGAATAACCAATGTTCAAGGATTTGCTATCACATGTGTGAATTTTATAGGTGGCCCGAAATTTGTCACACCATTCTTTGTGCGGGAAAAAATTCTGCAAACCCATTGCACTTTTAAACTGCAAGGCCATTTTTTGAATCAGTCCATCGGTTATGAGTATATCTTTGTAGTACATCATGCGTCGTATCCACTCATATACCGCCTTGCCCAGCATAGAGACACGTACCACCTTCATTTCCAGTGTCTTGGCATCGCGACTCTTACGTGTCCTCTGTTCCCAAGCCTTAAGGATGGTCTCTTTTTGTTGGACTATACGTTTTATTTGATCCGGACTGCACTGGAACATGCGTCCAATGCGTTTGTAGATCGGACGTTTCTCATATTCCCGTATAGCTGCAACTTTTTCATTCAAAGCCAGGACATTTTTTCGTTTGATGCGATTGTCGAACATCACTTTCTCCACCTGTTGGGGCGGGAAAAAGAAAAAGATACAATTGTAGTGGAAGTTAATAGTTGATGAATTGTTGCATGTTGGTACATTCAGGGTGAGATAAAAAACCGCAACAAAGTCAAACGCCATAATTTTTACATTTTTTTTTTTTCAATTTTATTGAATGAAAACAAAAAATGTCGGAAATAGCATCAAATTTTAGAATAAGTTTAGATTTGTTCGAGTTGAAACCGTCACACGCTTCCCGAATGTTGCTCTGCGGTATTTTGGCCCATTCCCGGCGAAGCGCTTGCTTGAGGTGATCGACACTTTGGAATATATTTTCGCGATAATATTCGGCAATTATTCTAAAGCCACGGTCGATTAATACGAGCAGAGAGCGACCATCGGCTGTTATGGCGGCCCACACCATCACCATGGCCGGCGCTTGGGTTCTGGTGGCCAACCGAGAGTGCACATTTTCAGCTGACCTCTTTGGCAAGGAAATGGACGGATGAAAACAGCAACATCAGCAGAAATGGTTCGAAAAGTTAAGAAGCGACTTGATCGAAATTTGCGTCGCAGTGGCCGAAATATGGCTCGTGAGCTTAACATATCGCAATATTCTATTCGGCAAATATTGAAAAATGAGCTCAGGGTAAAGCCACTGAAATTCCAAAAAGTGCAAGAACTTACACCGCAGCGGACCACAGACCTTGGGCATTATAACAGGACTCAGCACGCGCCGCCCAAGAATGGTTACAAAATGAGGTTCCTCGCTTAATATCCAGCGCACGATGGCCACCAAAATCTCCGGATACCAATTCGTTGGACTATTGTGTCTGAAGTATTTTGAAAAGCAAGGTTGGCACTAAAAATACCAAAGTGTCGATCACCTGAAGCAACCGCTTCGCCGGGAATGGGCCAAAATACCGCAGAGCAAAAATCGGGCAGCGTGTGACTGTTTCATTGGCCGTTTAAAGGACATAATTCGTGCCAAAGGTGACCAATTCGAACAAATCTAAACTTATTCTTAAATTTGATGCTATTTCCGACATTTTTTGCTTTCATTCAATACAATTAAAAAAAAGTTTAAAAATTATGGAAAGATAAATAAAAGTAGTTTTCCCAAGATATGGATGTAAAAGATGTTACTACAATAACTGAATACCCTTTACGATATCAAAAAATGCATAACTAGTAGGATCTAGCAGGTTCTGGAACAGAGCAATAACTGTTTTACGCATGGTACAATAAAAAGGTAAGGTAGAGCTACCAGCGGATATCAATTTTTTTTCTAAATGTGACCGACTTATGCCAATTTGGTGTATGTATTTATTGTTTTGAAAAATAAAAAAACAGAATATTTTCAAAATCAATGGAAGACGCGTAAAATGCGAGGCGCGCATTAAATATATTCGTCAGTTTTGCCATGGAATTAAAAGATAGAACTGTTTAGAATATACTTTTGAAGGAAAAACCAGGTATTTCATTCATTTTCCCGCTGTTTAACTGATTTTAAAAATGAGAAAAAATATTTAATTAATGAAAATAACTTGTTGCATACAAATTTGACAGGAAGCGGACATAGCCTCAGGGCTGTATTTCTGTAGTTTTACGTAGCATTTCTACCTCCTTGTTGTACCATGAAAAAGGGTTGCCATATTCGATTTAGCAAATGAGTCTACCCCTATTGTTTTGCCATGAATGCCATGACAATGAAGATGTAACAAAAAAAACTGAGGTGAGAATGAGTAATTGTACCATGGTATTACTTTTTATTTCTTAAAACAATAAACACCAACACAGGAGTGACTAAAGTCACACGCGGTCTGAAAAAAACATTGTAATCTGCTCTGCAATAACTTTCTAGCGTACCATGATATATGTACATTTTTCCCACTGTAGAGATTTTTTGTCACTGATGACAATTGTCAGTGGATGCTGTCAATTTGTAGCTGTTTTTGCTTCGGCGCACAAATGCCGCAAAAATGGCTATTACGATTACAACAGACATCACCTGTACCACCTCCCACCCTCCATTCATTATTCGTTAGCCGCCATCCAGCAAAACTAATAACATTTCAGAGTCGAACAAAGAAATGTATGATGTTTACTATTTATCACATGCTTCACTTCTGTGACAGTAGTTACTCACCTTATTTGGCGCTGTGGTCACCGTGACATTGTTGTTGCACGGGTTATTATTCATATTTGTTGAGTTCTTCATGCTGGGTAGGTGCGTAGGCCTATAGGTATTATTTGATTTTTTTCTTAATACTGTGGTCGACGATAAGACCTGCTGCTGTTTGTAGGCTTTTATGTAAAAAGTTTTCTGTCTATGATAAGAACATTGAAATTGAATGCATCATCAAATTTTAACTCCACTTCATTGACAGCATTACAAAACGTCAAAAAACAAAACACTTTTTAATTTCATTTATTTAAATAATAACAACTGTAGCAGAAATGACGAATTTATTAAAGTTTTCGTTCTATGGGTCGGTCGGGGTATCCCCACCAAGCGTTTTGTTCTTCTTTTAATTGTGTGCGGGATGTTTTTTTCTTTTCCCCACAATAATTCTACTTGAGCGCAGCTAGCGAACAATGAAATAACAAGCACACACACACGCACGCACACACAGCCAGCCGTGTCTGATTTTCCTTGGTTTTATTTTTCGTGCTGGTCGCCTGCTCTGCGTTACTTCATCCAACAATATATCAAGAATTAACACGTTTCACGCTTTCCGAACAACTGACTAGAAAGAACATTGAGTTCTTGACGAAACGGAAACCACCCGAACGACGTTATATTTTCTACGAAGTGTGCTCTGTGACACTTTTCACCGAGCTAGCCGGAGAGTAACGGCTTCACGGAGAGAGCTGGTCGGTTGGTTGGTCGTTGCGTTTGCCATCAAAACAGAAATGTGAAATGCTCTCACTATCGCGCATACACACGTACACATACATGCTCAGCGCAGTGTTTAGGGCGCTTGTGTTGGGCTGTTTGTTTGTTGGTTGGTGCTCGCTCGTCCATATTTTTTTCTTATCAATTCAAATTCAATGCATCAGCATATAGCTACAACGAAGTGAATGCGCCGATGCCATGCTTTGTTTTAGGGTCGTATGGGAGGGAGGTGTGGACTGGCTGTATGATTACGCTCGCTCGCGCGCTCGCACACACACATAGATACAGTTTATTAAAAACACAAGATAATGATTTTGTTATTGTTTTTTGGCGTTGATAAAATTATACCATATTACACCGCAATCGTGCTTGCCGGAGAGGGGGTGGTATTTGTTATTCCCTGTGCTAGTCTATGACAGCCGTTGCCTTGTACTGCTGATATTGTTCAAGGGAGCTATTTTATTCTCTTACTCTCCCACGAGCATTAAGTTTTTTGTTTGTTCTGTTTTAATTTTGAAATACATTTTCATCGGTTTTATTTGGTTCCTGCGCACAATCAGCACAGCTTGTTTCATTCCTCAACCCCCCCTCCGAATTTATGGATGGATGTATACATGTAGGTTAAACAACCATGCATATGTTTCTATATTTATAGTGGACCTTTATTAATAGTATAAAAAAGTGAACGCTTTGGCGGATATTTGCATCAGAAATCAGGGAGAACATACAAACGTGTTTTTTTTTCAATACTTAAGTTATTACTTCTTAATTTTGCTCCTATCAGAAAATGTTATATATATTACGATTAGGGGCCAATCGTAATATATATAACGGCCAAAACAGCGTACGCCCACATTTAAGGAAGAACTAAAAATATAAATTTGACAAGAGATGGGAACCTGTTTTCCATGCAGAGAAATTTGACACGCAAAATTACAGAAAATGCAAAGATGGGAATGCTCATTTGAAATGACTTTACCTTCTTCATTTTACCAAGGAAGGGACATAAAAGAAAAAAATGCAATTGTATGATAGCATGAGATTATCTTAACTAATTTTGTAGCAGTAGCTGTGCCGATGCGACTCTCTGTATTCTTCTACCATGGCAACTAGTGACAATCGAATCTACTTTATTTGAAATACAGGGTAAGATGAAAAAAAAAAACTGCAACCAAATTCAGACTACTGTCATTTCTAAGCCACTCGTCAGACAATATTGAAAAATGAGCACGGGGTAAAGCCATTGAAATTCCAAAAAGTGCAAGAACTTACACCGCAACAGAAAGAAAATAGACTAAAAGGAGCTAAAGAGTTGCTTCGCTTGACCTGGCCGAAAGTGGTGAATTGCCGAATTTGGTTTTCTCCGATGAGAAAACATTCATTGTCCAGCAGTTTGTAAACAAACAAAATGATCGTGTTTACTTACCGAAGAGGTCAGCTGAAAATGTGCACCTTCGGTTGGCCGGCTACCAGAACTCAAGCGTCGGCCATGGTGAGGGTGTGGGCCGCCATAACAGCCGATGGTCACCCTCCGCTCGTATTAATCAACCGTGGCATCAGAATAAATGCCGAATATTATCGCGAAAATATTCTGGAGGCTGTATTAAAGCCTTGGGCACGCAAACATTTTGGCAGCAGACCTTGGACATTCCAACAGGACTCAGCACCATCGCACTCATCAAGCGTCACCCAAGAATGGTTACAACTTGAGGTTCTTCGCTTCATTTCCAGCACACAATTGTGTGTCTGGAGTATTTTGTGAAGCAAGGTTGGCACTAAAAAATACAAAAAGGGTCGATCACCTCAAGCAAGCGCTTCGCCGGAAATGGGTCAAAGATTCGGGCAGCGTGTGACAGTTTCATTGGCCGTTTGAAGGCCATAATGCGAGCCAAAGTTGACCAGTTCGAACAAATCTAAACTTATTCTAAAATTTGATGCTATTTCCGACATTTTTTGCTTTCATTCAATAAAATTTAAAAAGAATGGCGTTTGACTTTGTTGCAGTTTTTTTATCTAACCCTGTATATATTTAAGTTTTCTTTTATTCATTATTATTATTTTTTTGTAAGAAAAAGGAAAAACCATGGTACAATAAAAAGGTAAGGAAGAGCTCCCAGCTGATTACAATTTTTTTCTGAGTGTGCCCGACTTCTGCTAATTTTGTGTATGTATTTGTTGTTTGGAAAAATAAAACAAAATATTTTCAAAATCAATGATTGGAAGAAACTTAAATTGCGTGGCGCGCATTAATAATATTAACGAGATTTGCCATTGAATTGAAATATTAAACACTTAGGATCATATTTTTGAGAGAACATCCAGGCATTTTTTCATCTTTTGCGCTAATTGACTCATTTTAGAAATGACAAAAAAAAATATCAAATAAATGAAAACAAACAACTTGGCCTATAATTTTGAATATTTCTGACAGGAATCGGGCATAGCCTCAGGGCTGTATTTCTGTAGTTTTACGAAGCTGTTCTACCTCCTTATTGTACCATGGGAAAAACCATGGTTAAATTAAGAGGGTTAAGTTATATCAAATCATATCATATCTGTAATTTACCTTGATTTGTGTATTTATAATGGATTTATAAATACATATTTTGACAATGAGATGTGGTCAAACGAATAATTTTCAAAAAAAATTTAAATTTTTTCTTGGTTCGAAACTAATAAACGCATCAAAACATTTCTGCTGTTAAGATTTGCGCCAAAGTTGTTTGTTGGATCAGTTGTTATCTCACAAATTTTTTGCAAGATTATGTTCGTTTACTTTTTGCTATTTTTCCCTTATCGAGTGAGAAAATCGTATTTCTTTCTCTCTAACTTCTTGCTGAGTAAATGTTAGCGGGAAAGTGAACGAACGAACCTAGTGTTGTTGTTGTTGCTAGCAAGTCAAAACAATTTATAATAGAGTTGCCTGACTTTTGTTTATTATCGTGGTTGCCATATAAAAGCTAGAAATGTAGGGAATTTTAGTTTTGGGAACATTGAGTGATTCATTAAAAGGAACAACTGTATGTGTGGAATACCGTTATGTTTTATTTCATTTGAAAAAAGAATGCAAAACCGTTTTGTAAATGCATTTTAATAGCATCACAATCTCAATGTCAAACTTTTTTAAAATGACATTCCAAACATCTTTCTCAAGTATGTGATATGTTTCTTCGTGTTTTTAATTAACTAAATACTTGCAAAAATGATTAAGATGCCTACATATTCCTTCAAAATACATGTTTAACATACATGACGTTTGAATAAAGGCATTTTGTAATACTAAACAATAAGAAAGATAGAGAGGGAGTTTTTTCTTTTATAAATAGCAGTTAAATAAATTATGAGTTGTATTGACAAGCTTAATTGAAGGCCTCTTCTGAATTCTTATGTCTACGATCTTGATATTATGATGTTAAACTGTGTTAGCATTCCTTAATCTTTATATTCATTAGGCTACGGTTTAAACACGTATAAAGTTCTGGAATACAACATTTTAAAAATAGTGAAAAACATTAATATAATATTTATAAGTATTTCTAATTATTTTTTTGTTGGTCATTTACATCAACAAACATTGCCCACTAATAGCAGCAGCAAACTCCGTTGATGTTTGAAAACAGACCTTGTCCCAGGATAATAGAATAGATAATTATTACGAGTTCATGTCGCCAATTAAAATAAATGCACTTGGAAATATTATTTATATTTTTTATATTATAAAGGTGAATATGTGAAAGAGTAGTAAATAGACCACAGACAATGTTTAACTTAAAAGTTGTCGGGTTATTGTTTTATTTAAATCGAATAATATTCGGTAAGATTTGTGAAATATTACTAATAAAGAACAGTAGGCCAAACAAAAACTAATTACCGGAAGAAATCAAGAGAAAGCTGAGTTAAAAATAGAGAACAGGTCTTTCGGACTTTTTATACCCTCCACCACACAGCTCACAATGGCCACCAAAATCTACGGATACCAATCCGTTCGAAGGATTGGTCGATCACCTCAAGCAAAGGCCTCGCCGGGAATGGGGCAAAATACCGCAGAGCAACATTCGGGCAGCGTGTGACGGTGTCATTGGCCTTTTGAAGGCCATAATTTCTGTTTCTTTCATTCAATAAAATCAAAAAAAGTTATAAAAATTATGACGGTTGACTTTGTTGCAGCTTTTTTTATCCTTAATAATATTTAATTTTAATTTGTATCAAAAAAATAAATAAATAAATAAAAGTTCTTATTTTTCAATAAAGTGTACTCTTGGGACGCCATTTGTCCGGGAAAATATTATGTACCCTTCGATGGACACAATTCTGATTTTCAAATCAGATCATTTACTGAAATGAATTTGAATCAGTTCAGCCGGCATCCAATTGATGGTACAGTGGAGAATAATGGCCGTGGCATCTCGGCTAAATTCGGATACAAAGACGGACAGAGACCGACTATATCAAAAGGTCCTCTTGGCAATGAAACATATCGTTTGGAATTTATGTACCTGCATTGGGTGGATAGCACGATTGCCGAGCGTATCTACCATCCGAAAAAGTTTGGCGGCAAAGGATCCCATACGCAAGTTGAGTTACATATGGTCTTTACCCATGTCAATTGTGGAGGAAACATCGAAATGGCCAAAAAGACAAACTTTGGACTTGCGATTTTATCCTTTAGACATGAGGTCGGTTGTAATATTGAAAATGAAGTTATTTGTTTAATAAACCTATTTCTTTTACCAGCTGGACCCAGATGTGGTGTTTGACAACCCACTCTACAATGCCTTGCCGAATGTTATTAAGCCACACAAGAAATGGACATGGAGAAATGGTTCTTCAATAACCGAAATAGCTCATGTCTCCCACACCTATCTTGTTTATTTAGGAAAGAGTGTTTTTTCATCGCCCTCGCCAAAGGGTGAGTGCAGCGCTGATGTTATATGGTTTGAAATGGAGAACCATATAATAATTTATCCAAATACGGTAAGTTTTAATGGTGCAAAATTACACCTTTTACAGATGTAAAGCTAATTGGAATTTGTATTTCGAAATGGAATTTTCGAATTACAAATGGATACAAAGTCGAAATACAATTGACAAATTCGAATTACAACTGAAAAAGGTGTAATAAAAGACAGAATTGTTAAATTCGCTCCGAGAAAACTGCTACTTGCTATAGTATTGGGTTGGTAATCCAATATGTAATGAGTATATTAATATTTGAAGATGACAACGTTTGGCCAGCTCACATCAGCCGATGGAACATGGTACGGAAATAAAACGACAAATACCGGAATGCAGCCGAACTCATCTATATTTAGAACATCGTTTTTGTTAAATGATAATGAGGAATACGAGACTTTTGAAGGATATCCAATCGAAGTCATTCCTGGAGGCTCCCGGCAATTGCGAGCGTGGATGGCACTGAACATAATGCAGTTTATTTTACTTAAGTTAATTCAAATGAAAGTATGCGGAGTTGCGGGGAAAATTGTATAAGTTTCAGAATTAAAAAAAGTAAACAAAACAAATACAGAAGCAGCTTTAATACCCTCTACCATTTGGAAGGACCTTGCAAAATGTAAAAAAATCCATCTAATTAATTGTTTCCACTCACCTATACAAACAGTTCAAAATAAACCTGTAAGGAAAGGGCATCAAAAAGTCGGTCGGGCCGAGTATATGGTACCCTACACCAATATGCATATTTAGTAGAGCTCCCGTAACAAAAGAATTTATTTGAAGTAGATCATACCACCTATCAACATTTGGCTTTAGAGCAGTTATAGTTTGGTTTCGGAGGGGACTAATATATGGGAGGTATATCCAATTCTGAATCGACTAAATTTGGCAGAGACTTTTTAATCTTTTATACCAAATAACATTGCGATATGGTGCATAATATCACTTCGAGAAGGATTATATTAAAAAAATATATATCGGAGCCGAGTTTCACTAAACGACGACATTCACGCCATTAGGGCAGATATTGGCCATTATTTGAACTATAAACCTGAAATGGGATTAAAGATATACAGGGTGAGATAAAAAATTGCAACAAAGTCAAACGCTATAATTTTTAAATTTTTTTAACTCTATTGAATGGAAGCAAAAAATGTCGGAAATAACATCAAATTTTAGAATAAGATTAGATTTGTACGAATCGGGCACCTTTGGCACGAATTATGGCCTTCAAAGGCCAATGAAACCGTCACACCCTGCCCGAATGTTGCTTTGCGGTCTTTTGGCCCATCCCCGGCGAAATACTCCAGACACAATAGTTCAACGGATTGGTATTCGGAAATTTTGGTGGCCAATGTGCGCTGGAAATAAAGCGAGGAACCTCATTTTGTAACCATTCTTGGATGGAATGTCCAAGGTCTGCGGCCAAAATATTTGCGTACCCAAGGCTTAATTACACCCTCCAGAATATTTTCGCCATAATATTCGGCATTTATTCTGATTCCACCGTCGATTAATACGAGCGGAGTGCGATTATCGGCTGTTATGGCGGCCCACACCATAACCAAGGCCGGCGCTTGAGTTCTGGTGGCCAACATTTTCACACATTGCACATTTTCAGCTGACCTCTTTGGCAAGTAAACACGACTATTTTGTTTGTTTACAAACTGCTGGACACGAATGTTTTCTCATCGGAGAAAACCAAATTCAGCAGTTCAGCACTTTTGGCCAGGCCAAGATGTAAGATCTTGATGTGTTTAGCTCACGAGCCATTTTTCGGCCACTGCGCTTCTTTAATTTTCGAACCATTTCTGCTGATGTTGCTGTTTTCTTCTGTCCACTTCCTTGACGTCGGGCTACGCTACCAGTATCACGGTAACGAGCGATGGTACGAGACACAAGAGATTTATTCACATTTAAATGCTGGAGCGCTCTAACGATAGCCACTTGTGGTTTTCCAGCCAAATATAAAGAATAACTTTTTCTGGAAAATTCTGACAGATATCATCAAAATACCGAACATCGGATGCACAGTCATATGGGGACTACACAAAATCTAAGACCTATCTCAACAATATTTCGTCAACTCACTTAATTTCGTTCGGAAGCTATAGTGATTTCCGCAGACGGACGAACATGGGCAAAATCGGCTATGCTGATTAAAAGTATATCTACTTTGCGGGGTCTAAAATACTTATTTCGAGGATTTACAAATGGAATGAGAAAATTATATACCCTCCATACTATGACGAGGGATATAAAAATTCACAAGTTTAAAAAAATTATTTATTTTCAAAGATGTGCATATAAAATGAACTATACCGTACAACATTGTTAATCCAATTGTTATCAATTTTGTTTCGTTCCTCTGCACACTTCACTTCTTTAAAAAATCGAAAAGATTAAAAATACAATATGCTAATATTGACCTACAAAATACTAGTTTCTACAATAACAATTTCATTAAAAAATACAACAATGGCCAGCTTGTCTATTGATAAAACGCCACAATCATCTAATGACGTCAAAAGATATTCACGAAGACCAACCCCCATGAAAAACAAAAAGTGGACTTTGATACCAAAAACAAACAGCGCAGCGTGGTATTTTTAATCAAAGTGTAAGTCATTCAGACATAATCAACTATGTCATTTCTCTAGCAACAACAAATTCTTATCATATTTCGCAGAACAAAAAATCACATGTAGCAAATCAGTTGAAGGGGGGTTAAATTATGGGTCCAATATATGGACTTTGACTAAAGATAAGGAAAATGCCAAATGACGGTGATATAACCGTTAAATAGACATAGACATTGCGAATATTATTTATACCTAAACAAGGCACGTTTATTAGTTTTAAAAAAATACTTTAATTTACTAAACAATAATTCTTCAACATACATACATTTATAATTATATCTAGGTCGATTATCATATCATCGTTAAGTTTGGCAACGAAATTATCCATCCACAAAAGATACAAGACCTCTATGAAACAATTTGGCAAATGAAACATTGTTAAATCGTTTATTTTATACGGTCGACTGTCTATGTTTACGGAAAATCCTTCAAATGTGCATTTGCAATGTCAAACGAACAAGCCGCTTTGAAGGTTAACAAAAAAACAAAATCACAAAAAGAAAATGACAATAACAAAAATGGCATAGAATCTCATAAAAAATCACAACGTCGATGGATAATTTCGTTAAAATGGATGGTGATGTTTCGTTTTCGTTTACATATGCCTATATATTTTATCCTACGATATTTGTGGTTTTTACACCACCATTTTCTAATACAGTCTCAGCTACTTTCGACAAATCCTTATAGAAGTTAACATGACCACCAGATGTGGCATGTTTAAGATTGGTTCGGCATCTTTCGTTGGCCTGATAACACCAGGCTTTGGTTAGCTCCAATTCATGTTCGGCGGTTTCTAGTTTTTCATTCACAGCCCGTGTCGAACGCGATAGGGTGACAACCATTGAGTAAATATCGATGGCAGCATCAGCCAAACGATTGAGTACATTTTGTTCATTTATAATATTCTTGCCGTATTTAACAAGTAGGCTTTCAACAGTTTGTCCAAACATATCTATGCATTCGGCTGCATCTTTGGCTGTTGCTGTCAGTTGAGGAGCAACAAACGGCGAAAGATCAGTACCACCAATACCCACAGAGGAGGCTGCTCGGCGGGATGCTTCTTTGAAAATCAAACCCAAGTTAGCGGCGGGATTTTTGAAAGCCCTCTGCAATTCCTTGAGATGGGATCCAGCATACTGAATACCAGTCAGGGCAACAAACAAGCGCAAGATGTCGTTAGTACCTTCAAATATTCTGAAGATACGTAAATCGCGCATAACACGCTCCAAACCGGTCTCCCGCATAAAGCCCATACCACCCAATATTTGTATGGATTCATCACATACATACCAAGCTGCCTCCGAAGCAAATATTTTAGAAATAGCAGCCTCCAAATGATAATCTTGACTTCCAGCATCCATATTCTGGGAAATTTGGAAAGCCATAGACTCGGTGGCATACTGGATCAGACTCATCTGGGCAATCTTTTCTTGTATACCCTTGTAATCCTTCAATTTCTTTCCGAACTGTGTTCTGTTGTTGCAATGTTCCACAGCTTTGGCAATGCAGTGTTTCATGGTACCCGACAATGTGGCTCCCATGCCGAAGCGGCCATTGTTCAAAATGTTCATGGCCACCTTGAAACCTTCACCTTCCTGGCCCAAAACATTTTCAATGGGAATTTTAACATCCTCAAAGTAGACCTCTGCAGTATTGGAAGCTTTGATACCCATTTTCTTTTCAGGTGCGCCATTTGTGACTCCGCCAAAGCCTCTTTCAACAATAAAAGCTGTTACCTTGTCTTTCTTCTCGCCGGTATTAGGATCTGTCATTTCGGTTTGAGCAAAAACAGTCATTATATCGGCAATTCCACCATTGGAAATCCAAATCTTGGAACCATTTAAAATATAATGTTTGCCGTCAGCACTCTTAACAGCTCTGCACTTGATGGAACCCGCATCAGAACCAGCACTGGGTTCAGTTAAAGCAAAAGCAGCATATACTTTCTCGGTGGATACTTGTGGTAAATATTTGGCTTTCTGTTCAGGGGTGCCGTACAACAGAATGCCCTTAAAGCCAATACTTTGATGAGCACCAATGGTAATGCCCAAACCCAAATCATTAGCTCCTACAATTTGACACAAACGTCCATACTGAGTGTTGTTAAGACCAAGGCCACCAAAATCATTGGGCACTTGAATACTGAACGCTCCCAATTCCCACAATTGATTCAAAGTCTCTTCATCAATTTGGGAGTTTTCGTCATTCCTTGCAGCGTTGTTGACTTCACGGAAAAATCTTTCAAATGGATCTATGAGACTGGCTGTTAGTTCTTTTTCTTCTTCGGTAAGTACGTCCGGATAGGGAAAGACTTGCGTCGATGCTAAACTGCCACGAAAGATGTTTGCCATAAAGGAGGCATTTTCCTGGGGTTTCTTTACTTCACGTTTAGGATTGGAAGAAGTTTTTGGTGCGGCTGTAGCGTACAAACGCAACAAGTATTTCGTTTTGTTCGAAGGAGCAACTTTTTCGATTACTTTGAACATCTTTGTTATTAAATGACGACTAACTGAATAATGATGGACTTTGATCGAGCTGGATGGAATTTGATTTTCTCTTGAAAAGTATGAAGGCGGTAAAGAATGGTGAAGTAACGGCGTAAATAAGCATTGTGGTTGGCATTTTGCATATTACCGGCGTCATAGTGTGACTTTGTGACGGCGTCATAATGTGTCTTTAACCATAATGATAGCATATTTACACCGAAATTGAAATCAAATTTCAAATATGATCATCTAATTGATGAAACTGGTATGAAACTGCGTCATAGCCATGGTAGAAGAATACAGGTAGTCGCATCGACACAGCTGCTGGGACAATGAACTGTCAAACCGATTTTGATAATGAAAATCGTGAATGAAAAATTATTGAAATTTGTAAAAATTGTTGAAAAATACATATCATTACAACCTCCGATTTGCGTCGTATAAGAAAAAATATAAAAATCAACTTATTTTTGACAAAGCACTTAAAAAAAAATTGACATATAAATGTTTCCAAGAGTTGATGCATCCATGGTCATAGCCATGGCAGAAGAACACAGGTAGATGCATCAACGCTTGGGAGCATTGATATGTCAAAAAATTTAAATGTTTTTTTTCAAATATAAGTACATTTTTATATGTTTTCTTATACGATGTGATTCGGAAGTTATTATAATTTGAGTTTTTCAACAATTTTTACAAATTAAAATAATTTTTCATTCAACATTTTAAATTCCAAATTTGGTATGACAGTTCATTGTCCCAGCAGCTGTGTCGATGCTTCTACATATATTCTTCTACCATGGTCACTAGCCATACAAATAATAAAAAAACATGACGATGTCAGCTTTATTTATTTAAAAACTACACGAAAGCATCTTTATTGTGTTAACGTGTTTTTGCATTGCTATTTGAAATTATTGTATTTTTTTTATTCAAAACACTACACACACATACACTAAATGTGTATATGTTTTGACAGAATAAGGGCACCAAAAGAAAAAAAAATTGTATTTATTGGGTAGCTTTGTTCTACCTTCTGTAAAATATATATATTCCTGATCAGCATACAATTCTATATCGATTTAGCGATGTCCGTCCGTCTGTGGAAATCACTCTAGCTTCCGAACGAGATGAAATAGGTTGATAAAATGTTACTCGAATGTATATTATGCCTGCAGTACATTTGGTATTGAATGGGCCATGTAGGTCCACATTTTGGTATAGCCCCATATAATGGTACCTCCCGATATCCGGTCTTTTGTAAATTATAGAAAATTGTCTGTGCAGGTCCATGTCTTCGTATAGTCCCTATAAATTGGTACCTCAAGACATACCGTATTTTGATGACTTTAGCTATATTATTCACCGATTTTTTTTTCAAGTTTCGCATTTAAAAATTGTAATTGCTCATGATAAAAGTTGCCTATGCAGGCCCACGTCGTCGTTGCCTATGCAGGTCCCTAATATAACGCGTATATTTGGTATTTTTTAAAATTCTAACAGAATTTTCAACGGATTTTATTTATTTATTTATTTATTTATTTTTTTTTTTTTGAAAATTGCCAAATTCGTTCCAAATGGTGGAGGGTATTACAAAGTTCCGCCCGGCCGAACTTACAGCTTTTTTACTCGCTATACTTTAATAAAACAAATACTGGTGCTTTTGAATTATGTACATGGTTTTTATTTTAAAATAGTTCGACTTTAAGCCTATTCTGAAATATTTATATATACAGTTTTTGAAATGGAATATGGTCTATGAATAAGATTATTGGTATTATTGATTTCTGTAGATTTGTTCAGAAAGAGAATTTACTATCAAATTTTAGAACTAAATTGTCGTTCATTTAACTTACAAAGCAAACAAACGATCCTTATCAGAATTGGCAACAGATTAAATGTAGTTTTAAGAATTTGGAAAATATTTGAGTCCAAGTATGGATGAGTGTATGTCTTGTTTGGGTATTTTTCATTATATTGCAAAATAAGGGTGTATATCTTTGGTTAAATTACCAATGTATGATTAAGGAATGTAAACAAAAACTATGGTTAAATATAGACTCCTTTAGTTAAGGTGTCCCAAATAATAAATAATATTTAGAATAACTTTTGTGTGAAAAGTTAAAATATTCCAAATCTCAATTGTAGTCATGAGACATCGTATTAAAGTTAAAGAATTTGATCCAATGATTCCAATTTATGTTAAGCTATTTTACTACTTGTATCAGAAGGTGATTTTGAAAAAAAAATATTTTCTAATCGATTTGAAATTAAATTAAGAAAAGTGTTTGGTTCATTATGGGCAGTTGGTATTTATTAATAAATTAACTTATATACGATATATATTTTTTATAAAGAATTTCTATATTTTTTAATTTAAAAAAATGGGTTTTTTGTTTTATAAATATGTTTTTTTAGAAGTTTTCTTTTTTTCTTAAACAATTAACAATAAATACATTATACAATACTTTTTTTAACTTTAGATCTAAGACTACCAGAGGATGTGTTTATTAGTATACTTATACACCATTAGGTTCAGTCTCTGATGACAATTTGCCTTTTCGCAGAACCGCCTCCAGTTGTGACAATAAGCCAATGGCTCTGAAATTCTCTTTGAACAGAGCAAAATCTTCCAAGGGCTTTAGGTATTCCAATGCTTGTTCATAGGTTTCCAAGTCTTTGATATTTGTTGCCAGACTGGGCGATGGTGATGTGTGGCCATTTGTGGTGATATCGCCATTTTGTGATTTCGGTGAATTGGAGCGGGAATTGTTGTTGGTATTCGATTGTTGCGAATTTGTGGGCGAGGACGTAGAACGACTATTGCCATTGGCCAGGGGCAATTTTATTTTAAAACTCTTCTCATTGTTGTTTTCATTGCTTTCGACGGTAGGTGATTGGGATCTCGATCCAAAGTTCGGCGTGGCCCGTTTACTTAATTGTCCATTCCTATCACCATCAGAGGCTGATAGTCGTCGTTTATTGGCATGACCGTTTACGGGATTTGGTAAGCTGTATCTATGCTTCATGGCATGGTCATTTTGGGCCGATGAATGAGAAGGTGGCCGACCATTGCGCTGCCTGTCGTTGTAATAATCTTCATAGGTGTTATAGTTGCTCGATCCATCTGAGCCATATGAGTTGTTAAACTGCTGTTGGCCATGATTGTAATAATTATTTTGCCCCGCTTTATAACTTTGATAGTAGGCTTGTGCTTTTGTCTTACTATCCTGATCATCTTCCTCCTTAATACCACTTACTGATTGATCCTGGTCGGTGTCATCGTCTTCATCATACTCCCCATATTGTTTCATGTAGTCGATATATTGTTCGGGTACATTCTCAAAATTGTCCAAACGTTCCACGTTTGTGGGCGGAAACGAAGCCTGCAAATCTTGCACAATATCCGGTATCCATAGCGATGGGCCCATGGGCTTCAGTTGATTGGAGGCCAGCTTTTTGGCAAAATTTGTTAAGTGTGTTTCACGAAAACGATTTAACCAGCGATTATCCGCCACAAATCCTTCACAGCCAATAATTTGTTTTGCTGTCTCCGCCTTTTCCTTAATCATGCCATGGGTAATGGAACCACGTAGTTGAGGATTTAAATTGGCCCTCACCAGCCATTCATAGACTACGGCGTTGATGTAGGCATGTTTACGACTCCTTTCGAGCTCAACAAACATGGCTTGGTTTTCCACATCCTTAAGATTCGCAGGAACATCTAGATTAAGGGTCGGCACTGCATTGCTTGTCAAGCGGCGACCTCCAATGTGTTGTGGCAAGAAATGGGCGGCACATAAAACTGGTTTCTTAAATGGCAGTATACGACTCATCGAAGCATGACATGCCTGCTTCCATTCTTTGTGGTAAGGATTTTCAGGTCTTGGAAATTGAAAAAATTGTAAATTGGGATTTGTTCGAGAATTAGACATGCACCCCACAATACAGCATTTGCGAATCGCCGGCATTATGGAATTTGTTTGTGCACAATTATCTACAATATATGGAATAATAAAACGGACGCTTTTCTTTGCTTCACTTTTTCACTGTCCTTCCTTCACCAATTTCGTCCTTTCTTCTGTTTTTTTAGCGGGTCAATTTCAATTTCGTTGTTCTCGATGAGAGCAAAGAGAGGTTGGTTGAGAGTGAAAGTGAGTTTGTTTGTCCCTTCTTTGGCTGTTCTCTGCAAAAAAGAAAAATAAACAATAAAAGTGTCAGATTAGATGTTGTCAAAAAGAATGTTGCCACATCAAAAATATTAAATAGTGTGTGCTTACGCGAGGGAAATTGTTTTAAAGGATTATAATGCACCATCCAATGAAAATTCATGGTAGAATCAAGGAGTAAAGTCATGCAATCATATGTTTACAATTTTTTTTTCAAAAATTATTCATTTGACAAGATCTCATTGTCAACATTTGTATTTATAAATCCATCGTACATGCACAAATCAGAGATGGGAACCTGTTTTTATGTAATGAAATGTGATAAGGTATATTACAGAAAATGCAGAGATGTGTATTGCTTATTTGAAATGACTTTACCTTCTTAATTTTACATAGGTATTATTACAGTACGCATGGTAGAAGAATATAGGATATTTTTTTAAATTTTTTTTTTTAAAAATTTGTTTTTTTGAGCAGATTTTTATATGTTTTCTTATATGACGACAATCGGAGTTTGTTATGATATGCCTTTTTCCTATAATTTTTACAAGTTTGAGTTTTTTTCATTCAAAATGTTCTATTTCAAGATTAGTTTGACAGACGTTTTTTATACGACGTCAATCGGAGGATATTATAATACACGGTTTTCAACAATTTTTACAAATTTAAGTAATTTTTCATTCAACATTTTCAATTCCAAATTTGGTTGGACAGTTCATTGTCCCAGAAGTTGTGTCGATGCGACTATCTATATTCTTCTACCATGAGAGGACGTCTACATATAAATGGGTTTACCCACTGGATTTGAATTTTAATTGTCATATCCATTAATCATACTTCAAATAAATCCTCTTAAAGAAGGTTAACCCTAGAAAAAATTATTTCAGTTCCATGGAAAACTGTTTAATATCTTTCATGTCCGCTCACAATGCAAATTTCTTCCAATCATTGACTTTTTTTTATTTTTCAAAACAACAAATTCACCTTATACTTTTTATTGTGCCATGCTACCAGCTTAAATAGAGGACGACATATTTTTGCGTGTTCTCGTCATTATGCCTACAAGTTTTACAAGGTTTTCGTGTACGGGAAGTAAAGTTTTCAAGTAAAAATTTTAAAACTAGTACAATATATAGCAGGTTCTGGAACACAACTTATGTTCTTCACCGATAGAGGGCATGGTACAATTACCAAGTTAATCTCATGCTATCATACGATTACAATTTTTTTCTTTCATGTCCCTTTATTGTCAAATTTATATTTTGTAGTTCTTTCTTAAATATGGGCGTATGCTGGCAAGAGTTTTTCATTAATTTCAGATCAAATATTTTGTTATTTTCACGCCTTTTAGAGGGTAAGTATATAATTTAAAACAGAATGGTTGAATGGCTTTCGTGTACGGCAACGGCAACGCTTGAGAACATTGATATGTCAAAATTTTTTAAATGTTTTGTCAAAAACAAGTAGATTTTTATGTGTTTTCTTACACGACGCAAATCGCAGGTTGTAATGTTATGTATTTTTCAATAATCTTTGCAAATGTCAATGATTTTTCATTCAAGATTTATAATTTCAAAATCGGTTTGACATTTTATTGTCCCAGCAGCTGTGTCGATGCGACTATCTGTATTCTTCTACCATGATAGAAGATATAAAAATTGTGAAAATGACAAAATATTTGGTCGGAAATAACTGTAAGTTTCTTGCCAGTTGTACATCCACATATAAGGAAGACCTACCATGTATACATTTGACTATAAAGATTTATTATTATTATATTGAGAATAGTAATATGAATGTATCAGGTGAAGCAAGTTTGACATTAGAGTTTCTATTCAGGTTTTTAACGATTTTGAAAGTCAAACCCCACAATTTAGTTTCGGAAAACATTAGCATTTTTTAAATAAATGATAAATTATATGTTTAATAAACCAACTAGCTCTTCGCTAAAATCCTATTGGGTGCATCTATCTAATAGGACGTTTACCATGGCACCTTTCTTATTTTATGAATAAAACACACAAACACAAGTTATATATTTTATATTGTTTATTATAAATAAAGTTATATTATTTGGAGAGTATTTCATGTACTTCTATTTACAACAAAAACAGGCATTAACCACTGAACTAAAATATACAAAATGAGATTGGTTTTCATTAAAAATAAGTATCATACAAGTAATCAGTCATCGTAACAAAAAATATATAAAAGTTTTCTTGGAGTATAACTTAAAGTCCTCCATTTAAGATATTCCGTAATACGCATTTAATTATTTTTGTCAAACAAATTGTAAAAACTAAAAACTTTTGTCGCATATTTACAAATAAACTATAAAAACAAATTCGAGTTTTCCTTTTTAATTACATCCATTGGTTATGGCTTTTTTGCTGACTGGCGGACGATTGTATTTTTTCAATATTGTTTCTAATTGCGAAATAAGACCAATTGCCCGGAAATTTTCTTTGAATAGGGCAAAATCTTCCAGAGGCTTGAGATATTCCAATGCCTGGGCGTATGTTTCCAATTCCTTGGGTGCAGTAGTCTCTTCCACACTACTACTGGGTGTGGGCGAGCCATTGCTTGCATGACCGTTTGCTGTGGCGCTGGTTTTGTCAGTTTGTGATTTGGGTGAGGATGAACGAGAACTGTTGGCATTGTTGGGAATTGTTGGTGTTGAGCTTGCTTGGGGCGGAGGAGTTGGTGTGGCATTATTCGATCTATTGGCCAGGGGAGGTAATTTAATTTTGAAATTATCATTACTATTCGATTCATTAGCCTCGTTTGGTTGTGGTGGTGTTTTGGCTGTAGGAATTGATGGTGGCGGGGATCGTGAAACGCATTGGCTTTCGTTTATTATGGGTGAGGCACGTTTGCTGGGTGGCAAACTATTGCTTTGATCCTCATTATATGGTCTTTTTACAGCTGGCGAAGAAGAGGTTCTTTCATATTGCAAGGGATCTATGGGCGACGATCGCATCTGAGCTGGAGAGTGTGATGATGGCCGTTGGGGTGGATGAATTGGGAACTGTTGAGGTATTGGTTGTGGGGGAGGCGTTGGACGCTGTTGCTGCACCGGCGAATGTGACATAGGTCTTTGTGGTGGAGGTGGAGGAGGGTGGGCCATTGTTTGTTGACTTGGATGGTACCCTCCATTATGATAGCTATGATGAGGTGGCATCGGTGGTTGCGGTGCTATTGCTGGATGGGGTTGATATGGTGGCTGCTGATGTCTTTCATTGGCATAATAGTCATGATAGGCATTATAGCTGGAAGCCGGATGATGTAAACCAACGCCTGCCGGATGACCATAGGGATTATAGGCATTTGCATGAGATGGGGGTGGTGCTATCACCGGTGGCTGTGGATGATGAGGTGGCGGCGGCGGCGGTGGACCTGAGTGCTGTTGATAATAACTGTGTTGTGCCTCATATGGCGGCTGCTGCTGTTGCGGATGATAATAGCTATGCGTGGGCATTTTGTGTGGTTCTGCATAACCATTGCTGCCGTGCTCATAACCACTGGGTGGCTGTTGTTCTTGTTCTCCCCCTTCATCATCTTCCTCATATTCACCATATTGCTTCATATAGTTAACATATTGTTCGGGTACGTTTTCAAAGTTATCCATGCGTTCCGAATTGGTTGGTGGGAACATGTGCTGCAATTCCTGCACAATATCCGGTATCCACAGCGATGGCCCCATGGGCTTCAATTGATTGGAGGCTAGTTTTTGGGCAAAACCAGCCAAATGACTTTCACGAAAACGATTCAGCCAACGATTGTCGGCTGTAAATGTGTCACAACCAATTATTCGTTTGGCTGTATCGGCTTTTTCCTTAATCATGCCATGGGTAATGGAGCCACGTAATTGTGGATTTAAATTTGCCCTTACCAGCCATTCATAAACCACGGCATTTATGTAGGCACACTTGCGACTGCGTTCAATTTCCTCGACCATTGATTGTTGCTCCACGGTTTTCAGGTCGGAGGGAACATCGAGTTTCAAGCTCGGTACTGCACTGCTGGTTAGACGGCGACCCCCAATACAATGCGGTGCAAAATGTTCAGCACACAACACCGGTTTTTTAAAAGGTAAAATACGACTCAATGAGGCATGGCAAGCCTGAGTCCATAGTTTATAGAAAGGATTTTCCGGCCGGGGGAATTGAAAAAATTGCAAATTTGGATTTAGGCGCGAATTAGAGTTGCAACCCACAATGCAACAACGTCTGATGGTTGGCATTCTCTGGCCTTTTGTATATGAACTTGTTTACTTTATTTCGGACCGTTTTGTTTTGATTCTTGTTATTCTGTTTACTGCAAAGAGACAGAAGCAAAAAGGAAAGAGAATTACATTACGGAATCAGGGTTGTCATTTATTATGATTACTCGTTTACAGCAACAACAATAAAACGAGTAACCATATGGCAAAGTATATATATATTTTTAAAAACAATATGGCAACAATGTGACAAGAAAAAAAGTAACAGAAAGAACAAAGGAATATGTGGGCACATTACTTTGTCAGTTAATATTTTATAATTAAATATATTTTTGAAAAAAAAAAAAACAATTTTTATAAAATTATTTGCAAGTTTTCCGTCACAAATGGCAATGCTCTCATTTTCCGTTATGTTATTTTAGTTTCTCTGTGTTCTCATTAACGAGAGTTGCCAAATTGCATTTAAAGGTATATTTCAACCCTGATACGCGCATTTTAAATGGATTCTCTAGCGTCGTCTTCTGACTCTTTTCAGTTGTTCTTGATTTGTTTTGCATGGAAATTGTTTAATATTGCAAAAAACAAAAATGCAGATGTATTATGTAAATATATCAATTGAGTGCTGTTGAATTATATACAAATAATTAAGGCTTATTTTCAGATTGGTGCAAATTTCCATAAACATGGGTGTTATTAAAGGTAAATTTATATATATTTTTTCGTATGTTCCCTTAAAGCAGTTCAAAAAAGTTTATAAATGAACTTCTCGTGTATATTTGTAATCAAAACCTGAATATCTTACGATATCATATAGATCTAATGTACGTACAACAAATCGACAGTAACAACGAACAACTAAACCTTGAAGTTTTATAGCGAAAGGTATATCATGTACATACATACATTTTAAGTTGAAAGACAGGCTTTCAGCTAACAAACTACCAGCTGCCACGGCCAACAATCAAGCTGTACGAACTACTGCTGGTATCCGGTGGTGCTCATTTGCTGTCTTCCGCTCACATCGTACCCATTTTTAAACAGCTTTATATTTCTTAATTCCCTGGCGTTTAAAAAAAAGCTAGTTGGCTAGAGATTTTTGTCCACAACGTTTTCAGTTTTCATTTCCAAAACACGCAAAGCATGAATGCCAGGGAAAAACGACGTTACATGACAATAAACCAAAGACCACTGTAGATTTTTGTAGGTATACCCACTACTATAACATTATTCAAAAGAACTTGGAGTATATAAAGGTTTAGAACGAGTATACCTGTATGTATGTATGTAGAGTATACACTGCTTTTCATCCATTCTTCCCCTTGGGCTTTTTGCTAAGAGCGTGAGTACGTAATACCTCCTTGGGATAAAACTGAAAAACTTTCATAGCCTTTATCGCACGTATATACACATATATATATATGTATGTATTGTGTACATTCATGATTGGGGGAACTTGAAACCATATCTGCCTGCAAAGTGCTGCAGATGTTCGGGAAATAAGAACATGGTGTGGAAAATTGTCTCTAAAGATTTTTCTAGGGCATACAAAAAGTTACAGGGTTAAGGGATACAATTGTTATCATCGATTTGATGTCTATCCGCCCGTTATTATTTTTTCAAACTCTGTACGTGATAATATTTTCGTTTTAACATTTATTAAATCACGAAATCAGTCAAACATTTTTCAGATATAACATTCTGATGTCTGTACTTGCATTTGGAGAGGAAAACAGAAATTCCATTACGTCTTATGTCAGAATGATGTAGTATTATATTGTTTTCCCGCATCTTCGCTTGTGACCGAACACAATCGTTTTTATACATTTTGAAAAGAATGACTCTGAGTCATGCACAATGTGCCATACGGTTTTATATTTTTCGAGTCAATGTCAATTTGGTGGTGGTCTCTGTCTAAATTGTAGTTTTACACAGTGGAACACGTAAACAATAAAATTCCGCAATTTTGAGGGGAATAATAAAATTAAAGTAATGAGTGATTTAAATCGCTCTACAGAACTGTGTAGGACCATTGGCTGAAGCGGTGAAGGTGTTGCTTGTTGCAATTTGATAAACGTTTTTACTTATTTTTTGCGCAAGAAGTTTTCTAACCGCTGAGAATAACGAAGAATGCCACATTGCAGCGACTTCTACAAAATTTGACAAAAAGATAGCAGAATTCCTAAACCTAGACATCGAAGAAGAAGCGAATTCATCAGTCTATAAACAGTTGGTCAGGCAACCCGGCAGTTGGTGTTAGCCCCCTTGTGGGAGCATTGCGATGGTTGTGGTTTAAACTCGTTGTCAACCGGGTACCTGTCCCATTGAAAGGCAGGAGTTTTATATAAGCTACGATCCCAACCAAGGAGGCGACCACGTCCAAATAACGAGCGAGCGAAGTCCTGGGCTTAGTCCTGTTGGAATGTCCAAGGTCTGCGGCCAATGTTTGCGTGCCCAAGGCTTTAATACACCCTCCAGAATATTTTCGCGATAATATTCGGCATATATTCTGATGCCACGGTCGATTAATACGAGTGTAGAGCGGCCATCTGCTGTTATGGCGGCCCACACCATCACCATGGCCGGTGCTTGAGTTCTGGTGACCAGAATTTCAATGAATTTACCCCTAGCTCATTTTCCAATATTTGCCGAATAGAATATTGCGACATGTTCAGCTAACAAGCCATTTTTCGGCCACTGCGACGCGGATTTCGATCAAGTCGCTTCTTTACTTTTCGAACCATTTCTGCTGATGTTGCTGTTTTTTTCCGTCCACTTCCTTGACGTCAGGCTACGCTACCAGTATCACGTAATCGGTAACGAGCGATAGTACGAAATACAAACGATTTATTCACATTTAGATGCTGGAGTGCTCTAACGATAGCCGCTTGTGGTTTTCCAGTCAAATACAAAGAAATCACACTTTCACGCTTGAATTCCATTACGAATAACTTTTTTCCTGGAAAATTCTCACCAAATTGCTTATGTGCGCTTGTAAACAATATAATGAGCTGTCACTGGAATGATTTTAACAGTTGTCGGAAGAGTGACTTAAAAATGACAGCAGTCTGAAGTTGGTTGCAGTTTTTTAATCTCACCCAGTAATTTTTTCCTTTTCTCCAGATTGTTATGGTCCCACTGTAAACATTTGATATCATTTCCATTAGCTCATCATCTGGTAATTGGCTTCAAGCAATATCTATCTAAACATCTAAGCATATACATATATAGGTATGTATGTATTGTTTGCATCCGCATGTCTCAGTGGCATAATAATTGATTGCCAATGGTTTCTCACAAGCTCGGCAACAACTTGCTTTTAAAATCTAGAGCTATGTACTTATCTTTAGCTATATGTACGTGTATTATCTCGCTTTTTTTTACTTAGTGCCCCAACGATGGCAGCAGAAACATTTTCTAGGGTGGTTTCTTTTCATTTAATATCTTTAGATATACATTTCTGTATACCCATTATCGAAGCTTTGGAGTCTTTTGTTTATACCCACGTACTATATCTACTGTTCAGTTTTTTCTTCTTTTTCAGGGGATTCAGGGGAGATTATATTTCGAAAGTAAAATATCAGTGGGCCGAACTGACAAACGAAAGAAAAAAACGAAACGAAACCATAAAAACTGGTTTCCTTTACTTCTTTTTTTCGATGTACTTCGAGAAATTCCATATAAGCGTCTTAACGAAAACCCAGTTCTGTACGGTTTTTCTGTTGGTTGCTATCGGGCGGAACTGTGTGCTGTTGTTGTTGTTGGTATTATGGTGGTAGTGGTAGTACCCATTGAAACATACCATTACCCCTTGTTGAAGCGCTATGTAGTACATTTGGCTTGGTCGTGAGCTAAATGTTGGATAAAAGATTTGTTACGGCCATGCTTTGCTGCCATTGCCATATTTCCTCGGCATGGTGGTCGGTCTCTCAAGTAGGTTGTGAGAATATAAATGCTAACTTTTGTAGTCATCCGCATTAAAATTTATAACCAAAAAATGTCGGCGTACGTGAAACGTGTAAGGTCTGACAATTATCGTAGTATACATACAAAAGTATACAGTATACATACAAAATTTGGGGTTATAGCAAAATTTTCCTTTAGTTTCCCCCAATCGACACATATGGAAATACATATTTCTCAATGATCATTCTATCAGATGGCTTGATAAATAATAATTCAAGTATGTGTAAAAATCTATGGAGCATTTTTCAAGAACTACCCCACTTAAAACTCCTGCTACAACTTTGACCGATCCCATATGTACCCCCTATTCCTGAAACCAGGAAAAAAAACTTTGATTATGATAAATTGATAGAAAAATAAGAGAAACCGTTTAAACCCTCTCGAGACTCTTAAATATCTGATGTGTATAACAGTATTTTTCCTTCTTTCTACTTTGATGACTCGAGGTTCAACGCACACCACTGCCTGCCAGCCGGCCTGCCTGCCTGCGCCTCACCGTAAATTTCTCCTCATTTGCCGATAGCAAGCCAACTCACTACATAAGTTTATATACATACACATATAAATGTTTTTAATGGGGTTTCCGCCTTGATGAGGGTTCATTTGGGATTTCATCAGTTATCTGAGGATTCCAAAGAGGGGTATTGAATTTCAATGATTATATACAGATGTTTGTTTGTACATGTTGTTCGTAAATACTTTTTCAGGGCATTTTCAGAATATTTGCTGTGTGAAAATTAAACGAAAGAACTTCAAAAGTGGATACATACATTTCTGCCAGAATGAGGGGGGGTGGGGAAGTGGTTTTTCTTTTTTGCATATATCAGGGGCTCAATTCTTGTTTTATGAAAAAGTGTAATGAAAATTTTTATATAGGAAAGAGAACGACAAATTTTATATGACGACAAATTGAATATTCTTGCATAGAACAAGGTCCGACGTCGGATAATGGCCTATATAAGGTCGGACCATGGTCTATATTAAGTGGGTCAGTAAGCCCATCTGACTACTAAGTTTGCAGTCAAAAACATAATTGCGATTTGAAGTTCAAAGAGAGTCATTAGTTCGAAAACTACTTAGTTTACTGTCAAAGTCTTCTTGGACAACTTTATTAGGCCTTGGGTCGGACAAGAAGACTTTACAACACCTACAATTATAGAAAGGGTATTTTAAATTTTTCTTTTTTGCTTGAAACACCTTAACATATTTCTCAGATGCCCCATAAACTACATTTTTAAAAAGAAAAACAATTTGATCAGTAAATCTGTCGATAATTCGAAAAGAAGACATACAACTAAGAAAATCTGAAAATCGAAAATTAGTTTTCCAATTTCAGGCAAATTAACACAAATTTAAAGAGGCTTTACATAAAATTTGATTATGAATTCCAGGCGAAATGATTACTCATAAGTTAGAATACAGGGTGATATAAAAACACTACAACCATTTTCAGACTGCTGTCATTTCTAAGCCACTCGTCCGACAGCTGCTTAAATTATTCCATTGACAGCTCACTATATTGTTTACAAGCGTACAAAAGCATTTTGGTGAAAATTTTCCCAGAAAAAAGTTATTCGTGATGGAATTCAAGCGTGATAGTGTGATTTCTTTATGTTTGGCTGGAAAACCACAAGTGACTATCGTTAGAGAACTCCCGCATTTTAATGTGAATATTTTGTGCCTCTTGCCATCGCTCGTTACCATGATACAGAACTGGCTATCTGGAAGGGGATGCATCATCTCCAAAAAGATTTGGCCGGTGAACTCCGAACGGAGATCACGGTCACTCTTGTCCATGACGAAGTTGGACTTGAAGCTTGTGGTGGGCCTAATTACAGGTCATTGCAACATAAAGGCCATGACTTCAAAATGGGGGGGTGACGACACTGAATACTGCAGGCTATGTCAGGACGAGGAAGAAACAGAAACGGTGGAACACTTACTCTGTCATTGTCCTACCCTCATCGGAGTAAGACATAGGCTTCTGGGTAAGCACTTACTGCCTGACCTGTCATACCTCTCCGAAACAGAACCAGCAGTCATTCTTCAATTAGCCAGAAGACTAAAATGGCTAAGGACGACACGTTGATTACACCGTGGACGCAAACCCACTAGCTTCTCTAATTCTTCTAAATCCTATATTCTACACTAACTATCTTTCTTACCTCACTTCCACTTCTTTCTAGACTAGGATGATCACAATGGGCCAATAGGTCTCCGAGTGGAGTGGTTGTTGTTTTTTTACGCAACCACACATCCTTTAACCTAACCTAACCTACCATGATACTGGACGTCAAGAAAGTGGACGGAAGGAAACAGCAACATCAGCAGAAATGGTAAAGAAGCGACTTGATCGAAGCCCGTGTCGCAGTGGCCGAAAAATGGCTCTTGAGCTGAACATATCACAATATTTCATTCGGCAAATATTGAAAAATGAGCTCGGGGTAAAGTCATTGAAATTCCAAAAGTGCAAGAACTTACACCACAACAGAAAGAAAACAAACTCAAAAGAGCTAAAGAGTTGCTTCGCTTGGCCTGGCCGAAAGTGGTGAACTGCCGAATTTGGTTTTCTCTGTTTCCGATGAGAAAACATTCGTTGTCCAGCAGTTGGTAAACAAACAAAATGATCGTGTTTACTTTCCAAAGAGGTCAGCTGAAAATGTGCACCTTCGGTTGGCCACCAGAACTCAAGCGCCAGCCATGGTGATGGTGTGGGCCGCCATGACAGACGATGGTCGCTCTTCGTTCGTATTATCAGAATAAATGCCGAATATATAATGCGAAAATATTCTGGAGGGTGTATAAAAGCCTTCGGCATGCAAACATTTTGGCCGCAGACCTTGGACATTCCAACAGGACTCAGCACGCGCCACCCAAGAATCGTTACAAAATGAGGTTTCTCGCCTCGTCCACCAAAATCTCCGAATACCAATCCGTTGGACTATTGTGTCTAGAGTATTTTGGAAAGCAAGGTTGGCACTAAAAAATACCAGTGTCGATCACCTCAAGTAAGCGCTTCGCCGGGAATGGGCCAAAATACCCCAGAGCAACATTCGGGCAGCGTGTGACGGTTTTATTGGCCGTTTGAAGGCCATAATTCGTGCCAAAGGTGACTAATTCGAACAAATCTAAACTTATTTTAAAATTTGATGCAATTTCCGAATTTTTGCTTTCATTCAATAAAATTTAAAAAAAAAGTAAAAATCATGGCGTTTGACTTTGTTGCAGTTTTTTTGTCTCACCCTGTATGCCTTCCTTCCTTCCCAAAATCTTCAATCGATGAGAGACATGTTTATTTTTTCTTAAATTCTATTTTTAAGCCTGCCATGTTGATGACGAAGCCAATTTAGATGTATATGAAACCCCAAAATTCATTTTCTCCATCCGACCCCCCTCAAAAATATTACCACTATCAGAGGAAGTTAAAAAAAACGCAAATGCTGAAATTCTTGTTTGCTGTCATCACGATATATAGTCTCATATTACTCAACTGGTTGTGGTCGTATGGTGGTACCGGCGTTTATATAATACCGAGTAGTGGAGTGTTGAAACGAAAACGAAAAAAAAAAAATATGTCTACATTACAATTGTGGAAAGAAAAATGCTGACAGATTATGGGGTCTTATCAAGCTCTTTGCCTCCGTATATATATACACACAATTTTTGTTATGTGGTGCTTGCTGGCGCGCTATTATCAGTTAATGGTTCAACAGCTTTGGCCTGAAACCATATAGAACATTCTATGGATTCTATTCTATACGCATTCACATTTAGGTATGGGGATCCAATACCCATTAGTTTCTCATATATGAAGAACTCCATCAAAGTGAAACGCAATACATTTTTTGATAACAAGACTATATAATTTTTCATCTTGGGCGGCACATATGTATGTGTGTATGTATGCATAATTATGTTTAATGGGTCAACATCATTGATATATTCTCTTTTTTCGAGCTAAACACAATAATCTCCTCTCCATAACATTGATTTTGTATCAATAATAATTTAGATTGAACACCTACATAAAGATGTGCGAAGAATGGTATTGGATATAAGTATATATAACACAAGCATACATATGTATGTTATATATCGTTTTTGCGTCATTTGAGATATAAAATACCGGTTTTTTAATCAATAACAACTGGAATAGGAATCACGGAATACGAATGACTCAGTTGACACCTTTAGTGACAACAAACAGCAACAACTTATAACTAGATGATATTTAAGAACGTTACGCATAAGGAAAGTCACTATCTCTTGAACCGGAATGGTATGATTTTGCTAATGAGAACCCAAAGTGAAATGGTGTGTGTGAAAGTAGATCCCATAAAAAAATAAATAAATAAAAAAACATAAAATATATTCTAAATTCAAAACTTTTAAGTTTTCGAATCAACAAATCCGACTACTATATCTGACAAGCTTAGTATTTTATCGAATAGCTAAAATCTCAAATTCACTTCCATAAACAGGATCTTAAAAATCCCACTTTCTAAATGCAATATACACACATGAACATACCCACTGAAATCTGAACACAGCTTATACCGGTTCTCCTTCACTAACTACTTACTTGCTGATCTGGCTGATCATATTAACGTGTCTTATTAGTCATTCTCATTGCTTACGAGTTGTAAGATTTGGAAAATTTGTTGGTTAAAATGAGTCAGTCAACCAATCAGCCAGCCAGCCGTATTTCGTGACTAAATATTTTCAGAGAATTTTTGAACTTAGCCAAATGGATAATTTGTTTTGTCATGATAAAAAATGTTTTGTGCGGGGGTTCCTATTTTGCATCAAATTTGTAATTATTGATGAAATTCTACTGTTGTTGTTGTAACAGATTCGATCTGATTCCTCTCATTATTGTTCTGTTTTTAACTCCAGAGTCCAATAAGAAAACTGTATAGATTGTACCCATAAGTTTGTCTGGGTATTGAAAAAGGTGCAGCGTGTGATGGGGGCCTGAACCACATGCTGGGCAGGTGTTATGCTCACTGCTGTTATACTGGGCCCATTGCAAATTGAGGTGGATGCACCACCCTGATCTTAATTGTGCCAAAACTACTCGGGTTTGTCGGGACACCTCTCTCATTCTTCATCTGTGATGGAAGGGGGATGGTCTCCGACTATATATAACATTTAGGTTGGTATTTCATTGACAGAAATTTATTGTTGTGGTTCTTGTAGCAGTAGTACATGTGAGTGCTAATCTGGTCCAAGCTCCAGGTTTAAAAATTAGTTTACTTTAACGGGCTGTAGCCAGAGATCTTCTGGAGTGAGTTGGGTTGGTTTGTGCGGGTCTGTATCACACGCCGGGCAGACGTCACACACATCTTCGCCAATTCGTGCCCAATACGATTTGAGACGACTACACCAATCTGAAGGTAATTTTGTCAATTGCTCCAAAACTACCACGGTTTGTCTAGGCAGCTGGCGTTCTTCAGCTGCAATGTAAACTGATAGCATCTGCCACTGCATCGTTAGGAATACCACTCAGACCTGCCTGGTAGGCTGCTTGATCTAGAGGTTCTTTGTTATAGCGTTGGACCTCCCTCTCTAGATCTCGCTTGCCCTTCCTGACATGCTTGGGTAGGGGAGAACATCCAATAATATCGCTAAGATCATCAAAGAACCAAATATCGGGAGGTACCGTTATATTAAGGGCTATACGAAGACCTACACAGACATTTTTCGGTCTTAGGCTGTAGTATCCAGTACGAACTTCAAATACCAAATTTGGGGCGTGGACCTGCACAGACAATTTTATGTCATAGGCTGTATTATCCATTACGAACTTCAAATACCAAATTTGAAACAATTTCTTTGAGGGAGGTGCCGTTATATGGGGGCCTATACCAAAACGTGGACCTACATGGCCTATTTTCAATAACAAAAGACAACCTTATGCAGACATAATATACATTTGAGTAAAATTTTATCAATCCACTTCATTTCGTTCGGAAGCTAGAGTGATTTCCACAGATGGATAGATGGATGGACATCGCTAAATCGACATATAATTTTATGCTGATCAAGAATATGTATATGTTTCCTATACGACGCCAATTAAAGGTAGTTTCGATATGCATTTTTTGAAAATTTGAATAATTTTTCATTCAAAAATTTAATTCCAAATTTGGTTTAACAGGTTCATTGTCCCAGCAGCTGTGGCGAGGCGACAACCTGTATTCTTCCACCTTGTTTTTTATTCTGCTTTCTTCAAAGTTTTAATTTCGATTTAAGTCATTGCAATATGTTTTGATCTTATTTTAATTTATATTAATCCATTAATAATTTGAACTTTTATTTCAAAATTAGAACGATATGATGATTTTAATTAGTTCATGACCTTCAACACACAGCCACTTCTATGCAAATTGGGTTAAAACTTGAAAGGCTCTTCTTTGTTGCATGGGTTATGGAGAAGGGGGAAAAACATTTAAAAAACACCAATATTTTACAAAAATAACTTCCCAAATATTTTTAATTCAATTGGTTCATGACCTCCACAATACACACACGCACTTCAATGGAAACAGGTTTTAAGTCACCCTCTTGAGAGGAACTAATATTCTTTACTTAGTACACATATTGTCGAGGCAACGATTTTAAAATCATATATTTTCTTTATAAAATATAATAAGCTGGTGAAAACCACTTTTCTAGAAATAAAACACACCGATAGAATATCCATAAAGTAACAACGTTTTGTTTAATTTTCATTAATTTCACTGAACATTTAAAGAAAATTCAAACAAATATTTATTCTCAAACAGAAACAACCCACACTCCCAAATTTAGTTTTTTTTTTTTTTTTTTTTGCATAAAGAACACAATTTATTTATTATTAATTACCTTTTAACTTTTCATTCAATACTGAACTTGTACACACACGTGCAATCAGAAATCTCAAGACCCCGTTTGTTTATGTGGTGTTTCGTTGATGGTTGTTGTTATTGTTATTTATTTACATACAATCACAATAGCGAATGTCAGAATCAGTCACATGCAGCTTTGCATTTGTTGTTATTGCTCTTTTGTTTTGTTTTATTATTTCAGTGTTTTCATCACACATTCAAATGCTTCATTTTTTTGTTTTGTTTGTTTGACTTTCACATACAGTAGTTGTTGTTGTTCTTGCTATTTTTGTTTTTTTAGCTTTGCTTTACACACGCGAACGAAATTTGTTTCAGTATTACATCCAATCTGAGAGACCCCGTTATGTGAAATGAGAAAGTCTAGCGAATGGGTCTCTATGTGGACCGATTTCTTTTTGTTAGCTGACTTCGCTTTGTTTCAATTTTCTTGCAATAATTCCACTCAGTTGTTTAGCTGTTCTTGGATTGGCTATATATGTGTGTAGTTGGTAGCAGCAGTTCCTCTTCTCTCTTCACTGTGTATATTTTTTGAATGTCAAAAATTTTTGTATTTTTCGCACACCCGATATCGTAACGTAGCCAACGACTGCTCACAACAAAATGAGACGCGACGACAAGCCAAAGACCCAAACACACGATTTTCAACGACTCGTTCATACCCATCAAGCTGAAAACCAAACAAACTATAGCCAGCTATAACACACAGCAGCAGCAGTTGTCTGTTTCTATATGGGTAAGAGCCGTGGCACTCAGGCAGTCACCGACCGACCAACAACTGAGCTGTATACACTCACACAGCAAGCAAAACGAGGCAGGCACGCAGCCATATACTCTGCTGTTGTTGTTGTATAAATTCCACCCGTAGTGCCATAGTATTTCGTCGTTGTTGTTGTTGCTGCTGCTGTTGTTTTGGGTATGGTGCTTCATATACCACTTAAACTGAACCCTCTGTCTATGCAGGCACATAGGGGGAATTTAATACTTGCCCAAAGACCGTAGATTCAATCCAGAAGGACGGACAGACAGACGATATATAAATCCCAAGCGTATATCAGCGAACCCTAGGTAGTAGAAGTAGTATGCATTGAACACCACGAACAACAACAAACACCTACAGCTGTAGAAGTAAAACAAATACACTTGCAATGATTGAGGCTTGGGCTCAGATTCGTCGGGTTCTCATACCCTGAGTGACTGACTGGCTAGTCGCCTTGAACGATAAAGCCACAACAAACATGATGTTTGAAACACGAACGGTGTGTGTGTGTGTGTGTGCACGTTTGAATGTATGTATGTGGTTAACTGTCTGGCCGACTAACTGTCTGGTGTAACGAAACGACCGTCAAAACGTGCTCGTAGTGCTGGTCGGTCGATTGGCTGGTATTATGCCGCCTGAACACGAAATGCCGGGTACTCATTGTTTTGGTTTGCAGTTAATCGGTTACGTACCAATACAACGAAACTCATTCGTGTATTTTGCACATTGTTTGTGTGTACACTCGGGTGTGTGATAGGTAGTAGCAAGCAAAAGCAACAAACATCTGCAGCAGCCCCCATAAGTAGAACAAGTGATGCGATGATGATGATGTTGTAGTAATAGGTAATGTCCATTTAGCGTTTTTTGTCATTAATTGGAGTTAATATTTTTGAAAGGGTAAAGGAAAAACACAGTGGAAAAAGGGTACAGAAAATAAAAATCGATGTTTTATTTTTTGTGTATCAATAATTTGGATAAGCATTGCTTTAGACGGGTAATTTTAATTATTTTATTAATAAATTTAGCCAATTTTTATATATTTAATTATTCGGACGACGTTTTTTTCTCATGTCAAAGAAAAACTTAAATTGGAATGAAAATATTACTTTTTTGATACGTTTTTTTATTAAGAGGTAAAGGCGTTCTGATGGTAAAATTAATAATGTAAAGTCACTTCTAATAAGCATACTCATCCCTTCATTTTCTTTATTTTATTATGCTCTATTCCTTGTTCGACCATTAATTAAGAAATATATATTTAATTCCCCACACAAAATTTGCTGAGCGAACAAAGATTTTTGTTCCTCTCCAGCAGAATTTAAAAATAGAAAAATACAAAAATATGTTCAAAATGTCAACATTTACACAAAAAGTTAAAAAAATTAATGAAATTAGTAAAATTAATTATATAATAAATATGTGGGAGAAAAACAATAATTTCTTCTATGCATATTAGTGAGAATTTTATTTATTTTTGTCATATTTCACATGTTGTCAAACATTTAATTTAAAAGTTCCGACAAATTTTGACGATATAGTGGGTTAAGGGCAAATATCGTTGTTATTTTATGTATGATTAAAATTATTCTTATTAATATTATAAATATCTAAAATAATTATTAAAAAATATATAAATATATATTTTACACAATGTTTACATTACTTCATTAAAACGAATAACTTTCAGAATCCAAGTTTTCAGAAGAAAACAGCAATCAGTTGAAGAGATTCCTCATTGTTTCTTCACATGGTTTCCTAAGACAACATTCCCATCAGCACCATGGACTAATATTTTTATACCCTCAGCCATATGGCTATTGAATGGAAGCAATAAATGTCGGAATTAGCATCAAATTTTAGAATAAGTTCAGATTTGTTCGATTTGGTCAACATTGGCACGAATTATGGCCTTGAAACGGCCAATGAAACCGTCACACGCTGCCCGAATGTTGCTTTGCGGTATTTTGGCCCATTCCCGGCGAAGCGCTTACTTGAGGCGATCGACACTTTGGTATTTTTAGGTGCCAACCTTGCTTTCCAAAAATACTCCAGACACAATAGTCCAGCGGATTGGTATCCGGAGATTTTGGTGGCCATTGTGCGCTGGAAATGAAGCGAGGAAGCTCATTTTGTAACCATTCTTGGTTGGCGCGTGCTGAGTGCGATGGTACTGAGTCCTGATGGAATGTTCAAGGTCCGCGGCCAAAATGTTTGCGTGCCCAAGGCTTTAATACACCCTCTAGAATATTTTCGCGATAATATTCGTCATTTATTTTGATGCCACGGTCGATTAATACGAGGAGAGAGTGACCATCGGCTGTTATGGCGGCCCACACCGTCATCATGGGCGGCGCTTGAGTTCTGATGGCCAACCGAAGGTGCACATTTGTAGCTGACCTCTTTGGCAAGAAAATACGATCATTTTGTTTGTTTACAAACTGCTGGACAACGAATGTTGTCGGCCACTGCGTCGCGGGTTTCGATCAAATTGCTTCTTTTTTTCTTCCGTCCACTTCATTGAAGTCGAGCTACGCTACCAGTATCACGGTAACGGTAACGAGCGATGGTACGAGACACAAACGATTTTTTCCCATTAAAATGTTAGAGTGCTCTAATGATAGCCACTTGTGGTTTTCCAGCCAAGTATAAAGAAATCACCCGATCACGCTTGAATTCCATCACGAATAACTTTTTTTTTTCGGAAAATTTTCATCAAAATGCTTTTGTGCGCTTGTAAACAATATAATGAGCTGTTACTGGAAAAATTTTAACAGCTGTCGAACGAGTGGCTTAGGAATGACAGCAGTCTAAAGTTGGTCTCAGTTTTTTCATCTCATCCTGTATGCCAACCCTTTTTGGTACCTCACCCACAAAGGGTTACAACTTTCAATACTTTTATCTGTCATAACTTGCGAAACAAGTCAGCTAATCTTTTCAAACTTCGTATATCTCAATATTTCTCTCAACCAGAAACCTGATGTGAATATAGAATTTATCGGAATTTATGATTTCGCATAAAATTGGATGTTAATGTTCGATTTTCTTGTAATTTTGACCCCCACCAATTTTTTTTATCTGTACATGTTGGACGAAGTATAGCTTCGGTCGTCTGTACTGGTACCACAAGCACAGTTTAATATTTTCCAAAAATTATTACACATCTCATCATATGAAGTCAAGGAAGTAACAGATTTAGTCGAAACCTGATAAGTCGCAATATTTATATCGAATTTATTTAGGTCCGTTACGAAGTGGACAATATTGGTTCATTCCTTCTGAACCTAATCCATAGAGGGTCAACAATTTGAATAATCATAACAGAAGTCAAAATATATTTAGATAATGGACCATTGGTTGAGGGTTGGATTTAAACTTGTTTTTTTTTTTAAGTGTTGACATCACTGGAATTGAAAGTAATGTTGGCAGATGTGGATACTGATGATGACGAAATTGCGTTCTATCATAATTCTCAATGACGATTATGATGTTTGGGCATTATCATCATCGTGTGTGCCGTGGTATTGCAGCAGTATTGGTCGTACCCGTTGTGGGTATACAAACACGTTTTGGTTTTAGGGCTTTTATTCCAAATTTTATGTTGTCGTTGTTCCAGCACATGGGTCTGGCTATAGCAGCCCGTTTAAGTTCGGTTCGTTTTGGTGCCTGACTGCCATTTATAAAATTTATTTGTGTTCTCTGCCCCCGCCCCCACCCTTGTTCATTGTTGGCGTTAGGTTGCGAAACAAGTCAGCTAATCTTTTCAAATTTCGTATATCTCAATATTTCTCTCAACCAGAAATGTGAATATAGAATTTATCGAAATTTATGATTTTGCATAAAATTGGACGTTAATGTTCGATTTTCTTGTAAATTTGCCCCCACCAATATTTTTATCTGTACATGTTGGACGAAGTATCGAATATTGGCTGAGGTATACATCTGTTGGCAAAACCGACTGATATTTTCAACATGTTTTATTAACGAAAAGAGTTGACATCACTGGAATTGAAAGTAATGTTGGCAGATGTGGAAACTGATGATGACGAAATTGCGTTCTATCATAATTCTCAATGACGATTATGATGTTCTGGCATTATCATCATCGTCATCATCATCAGCACCATTAGCCAGCCAGCCGGCTGTAATGTGCGATGACGGGCCTCGCTTGAGGTATTGGTTTTGAATGTATTGTGTGTGCCGTGGTATTGCAGCAGTATTGGTCGTACCCGTTGTGGGTATACAAACACGTTTTGGTTTTAGGGCTTTTATTCGAAATTTTCTGTATACCTTCCTATCTAGCATTATATTACCCCAAAATGATTCGACCTGCAAGCTATAAATGGCGAACAACTGACTCACTCATTGTTGTTGTTCCAGCACATGGGTCTGGCTATAACAGCCCGTTTAAGTTCGGTTCGTTTTGGTGCCTGACTGCCATTTATAAAATTCGTTTGTGTTCTCTGCCCCCGCTCCCGCCCTTGTTCATTGTTGTCGTTAGGTTGGTTGGTCGGTCGGTCGGTCGGTCTCAGTATATATAAAAGACCTTGCTTTTAGATTGGGTATGGCTTGAAGTAACTGGCTACTACCACTACAACAAAACAAACCAACAACAACGACGACGACGGCGGCGGCCAAGCCGAACAGTGGAGATGGCGAAAGAAAACGATGACTGACTACAGCTATGGACACGATAATCTAGATAGGTTCGAATGTCGTGAGTAGGTATACTGAAAAAAAACTCGTACTATGGAGGTTGTTTTGGGTTTACCTTTCATGATAAAATTTCAGTCTAAAGAGAGATAGAGAGGAAAAGGCCATAATGTGCCCCGAATAACGACCGTTTATAATTTCTGGGTATTTTTGTTGGAATATTTTTTGCTAAATGCCATTCACCCTACTGAATCCTCACATAAGCTGCCGTAGCTTAGGTTTTGTGTGCCCGCACCGAAAAAAAAGAGGAATTGCCTTTCGTGTATCTGGTTTCCTTTTTTGGAATTTATTTCGTCCTTCGTTGTACAGCAGCAACTGAAATACACTTCTAAGAAGTCCTTCAATTAGGGGTTAGTTTTGTCGTATTGCTTTTTGTTGTTGTCGTCGTTGTTGGGATGTTAGGCCTTACAACAGGAGGATTATTTCGAAATATTTAATGACACGAAGACATTGAAATAGGCATTTCTTTTTCATTGCTGCCAGATATACATTCTGAATTATGAATGTCTAACCTACTTATGTACATATGGTACAGGGTTTTCAGATTGGCAAACTTAAGCGATATGCCGTAAATTTTTTTAAAAATTAAAATTTCTTTAAGAAAATCTTTTAAAAACCCGGATAAGCTGTTTGTTTTTTTAAGGGATTTTGTTTCAAACAAAATTAGAACTAATTTCATACTACAATTATTAATTTATTTTTTGTGAGGTCCCTTCATTGTCAAA